GCTGCTTTGCTCATTTCAAATGTGGCAATTACAGTAGAGGTTTCACAATCAGCTTAAAGGAATTTTATTTCTGTAATATCTGTTGCACTCTTAGTGTGCTATCACGCTAAAAAATTCCTTGTTTGTTGTCTGTAAAATTGCATTGTTCTGGATGCTTTTCCCCCTTGTAAACCCTGTTCATTGGCTGCTTAGAGACATCTCCAGATGTACACAGAGATGCTACAATATTTCACTGCAAGAACAAATTAGTAAATGTTAAGGCCAGTTACATTTACTCGAGTTGATCCAAGCTTTCCATTCCGCACCTAATTGGTGAGGTGCAGAGGCTGCGCAGAGGGTGTGCTCTGGCATTCCTACGTGTGCACATGACCGCTGGAGCTGGATAGAGAGCCCATGTGAAGAACCAGTTGTTCGAGTGGTGTTAGCTGTGGGAACAATAAATGATTGTGCACGTAAACAAACGGCACAAATGTTCACGGGGAGAGCTGGGCTTTTAACTGCCTGCTGTGTTACTGCCTGGATAGTCAGATGAGCAAGAGCACTCCAGTATTGCCTTGCTGGACTCCAGCTCCATGTACTGAATCCAGGAATGTGAGGACTATTATCTTATAAATGCCATAATGATCTGTAATCTATAGATATCTTTTGTTTATTTATTGTACTACTTGCATTTTTGCTTCTGTTTGCATTCAGGAGTACCTTGGCCTTTGTAATGCTGGTGGGTTAGGTGCTAACCTTGTGCCAAAACCTGAATTTTCAGCCAGGTGATTCTCATAAGTTTACTGAGAACTGGCCAGATTGTATTTATCATATGTTGGGGGCGAGGGTGGGAATAAAAACAACCCAATAAAAAAAACCTCCTTTCTCCATAGAAAAGCAGTGCCTCTCTGTTTAATGTAGCTGTTAAGCTGTGGCCAGGCTTGAGTTGATACAAGCTTTTATTTCGTAAAAAAATACATCTGACCTGCGCAATGGAGAAGGTTGTTGTGAGCAGTACCTTGTGAGCTGTCTTTAGAACTGGGAGCATGACAGCCTTCCTCAAGTGATGATATGTGTGAGCTTGTCTTCTGGTTTGAACTTGGTGCTATTCCAGTGTTATGGTCTGATCTGAGGAGCTGAGGTGTTAATTGCACACTGCTTTGTGTCTTGAAGGTGGATCTTGCCCAGTAAGGGAATAAAAGACAAAATTTGTTACTCAAGGAGTAGTGTTTATAAATGCCTTTATAGCATAAGGTTATAGTTAAACAGGAATGTTTTGATTTTTTTTTTTTTTTAGTGAAAGGTTTTAATCCTTATTGTGAGTGGTTTGAAGAAAAATGTGTCTGGAACTAGGAGAAGATTTGAATTCATGTGAGTTTTAAATCTATTAGGAAACTTGCCTGCAACTGCCTTTGCTGTGGGAAAGACATATTTTAAGGCAGTGTATGTGCCCAGCTTGTTTTCACGTGTCTCGGTGTAGATGATGTAGAGTTCCTGCATCAATTGTTTTGCGTTTTTCCTTGAACCAATTGATTTGATTTATACACTAAAGGCGTGCTGTAGGTTGTCATGTTGTTGCAGTCTTAGGCTTTCAGAGTTTATCTGGGTGTGGTCTAGTACGAATTTCTCAGCTGGTATCTGACAATCTGGTTTGTGGAATCAGTTTTGCAAGAATGAAGCTGTAGCAATCGTGCGCCCCGGTGCTACGGAGCTGTGTGCCGCGCAGCCTCAGATACGTGGTGCTTGCCCTGCACGGGCAGGAGAGCTGGGGCACAAAAACTCCATGCCAGAATCTCAGTGTCAGTAAAGAAGGAGTCTGCATGACAGAATCCAAATTCATTGTCTCAAGGAAAACTGATTTAATGATGTTCAGTGAACACTGTGCTCACTGAAATGAGAGTCGCTCTGCAGATCAGGTCTGCAAGGAAGATCTCTGTGGCTCTGAGAAGTGCATCTGAGGACTTAGAACATATTCTTATTACTTGAATAGGTTGTGGCTACAGCAGTTTCATTTTTTGCAACTACTTGTGGTTTTACTGATGAATAAGCCAACTGCATTGCCTTACATACATTTTTCAAATATTTCTCTGAAGGTTAAAAAAAAAAGGCTGAAATAAAACATCTAAACATTTTGGCCATACCATATTCTAGTGCAGTGATCTAACTGAATTTAGTATGTATCTTTTTAAGAAGCAAAAATGGGGAGAGTTAAGTGTTGAAATTGTAACTAAGAAGTAATTTGGGGAGAAGGAAAATGTAAGGTTCTTGTGAAGTTTCTCCTCACTGTAATAGTGTCTTGTTGCATTCATCCTTCTCTTTGTACAAGATGAGTTCACTTCGAGCTGGACATTGCTTTTAGCCATGATTCCTTATGAAAGAGGCAAAAATCAGTAATTCATCTGAGCCACAGAGGTCAACCAGAAAGCACCTTAACCTAATGGCTTTCTGGCTCCTGTGTTGGAAAGTGAGCTCTTGGTCTTTCTGGAAGAATTTTATCTGAAGTGTTTTAGAATGAGATTTAGAATAGAAGCTCTGAAATCAATATAAGACACTTTCAAACCACAAGTGTTATAATTTGATTTGATACTTCTTTTAAACAGCCTCAGAAATGGAAAAGGATTTTGCAATTAGGGAATAATGTGACAAACAAATTGGCCTCCTGCCATAACTTTTACCAGAAATGGCTCTTTACGTTACTGGGACCTACAGACTTTTACAGTTGCACTTGCTGTAAATACAAGAACATTCAGTTCAGAGAAAAGTGAGAGCACATTGATTTAGTTGATATGCTAAGCATTGATTCTTGTGTATCATTAATAAATTATATGTAGCCTTTATTGACTTCTGTGGGATGGTGAATTCAGTTGCACTGTAGCATGTGTTCTCTTTTTGTAAAATGAAGTTCATAATGGTCACATTGTAAGTAACTGGCCAAATATTTGGGCAGAATACAACCCTTTTTGTGTCAGACTTGAAGTAAAATGCACTAGCCATCCTCTCCTTTTTTTGGGTTGGAATGGGTTGGGTTTTTTTCCTTCGACAGTGCTTCAGAAGGTGGTATTCTTGATATATATCACAGTTCATTTCGCATTTTACAAGCAGCTTTGTGATATGAATTTGGGTTGGGTTTATCATTCTTGATCAGTACTGATTGTATGGTGTCATGCACAACTGAGTCTTTCTGGGCAGTTTCTAACAGAAGCAGTTTAACTCCCGTGGACCTTGCAGGTTAGTATTACATGGCTGAACCTGACACTTCTATCCATTGTTTTTCATGATCACATAATCTATACCCAGGCCTTGTTACTCAGTGTATGTGTATAGGCTCTCTATGTTAATATTCCTTGATTTTCGTTGTGTTCATTTATGTTAGAAGGGTATTATGTTTTGTGTGATTTGATTTTCTTCAAGCATATATTCAACTGCTTTTTAAGATCAAAAATATATTGTTAAAATAGTCACAGTTTGCTTTAATGATGCTTGTAATTACAGCCTCGTTATTAATTCTGGTACTGCTTGAAATATGGGGTGAGAAGTAGATTCTGTATTTCGTGTTCTAAAACTTTATGGAAGGCAAATGACCTGCAAAGTGATTACTAGAAAATTAAATGCAGAAGAAGTTGGCATTTTTTTAGAAAGTAGGTGTTGGTTCAAAGAATGTCCACAAGCCAACGTTTATAGGCATTTCATTCCTTATTTTTTTACCTTTCTAGAGATACCAGAGTTGAGAATGTTTTGTTGCAGCAGCACAGTAAGATATCAATATTTCTGTTGGCAAGGATAAATTTGGTATGAACCAAAAAAATTTGGTGTGAATTTGGTATGAACCAAGGTACACCAAGCTGGGACTGGTCCAGCTGCATTGGTGGAATGGTTCAAGAAGATGTATGTTTGAGTAAAGAGGGGCTTTAGAACACACATTTTGTTATTCTGAAGATGTTAGTTCCTTTCACCCTAACAATTTACTTCTGAAAGAGTTTGGTACCCTTTGCTGCTTAGTTTCTATTCAGGTTACATTGGGTAACTCCCTTCCTTTTTCTCCATTGTGGTTAGCAGTGTGTACTGCTTTGCTATGCTGAGAAAGCTTCTGTGCAGGTTTGCTGCTGCTCTGTCATGTGGAAATGCATCTGATCATATAGCTTAGTAAAATCTTTGAAAGTCTTCTGCAGCACTAAATTACTCTTCCACAGAAATGTTTTAGATCTGAAAGTGTGTAAATGTTCCTATCTCTGCTTTTTTGATAAGTATGCATATCTTCTGTAAATGAAATTGGCCGAGGTAATGTGCTGAAACACAAATGTGTTTTCAATGTAAACATGGAAAATGTAGCACAGATATATTTTTTTAGAAACTGAAAAAAAACATTGTGGTAGTTTTGAAAAATCAATACTAATTCAACACCAGAGCTGTGTAATCTGAAGCACTGAAAAGATCTCAATTTTACAACAGCTAAGTTCTTCCTGGTATCCTTGTATGGTCTGGAGTAAATAGTGTGTATTTGAGCTATGCCCTCACATTTATTAGTGGGATCTACTCTTAATACTATTGCTGCCCTTAAAGACAGGATGTTTATTTACAACTTTATTATCGAAAAATGTGTTTAAGAACTTTGTTCTTGGTATTCTGTTACTCAACTTTATTTTCTTCCATTCTTTACTGTGGTTCAGAGATAATTCTCGAAATTTGTTTTGTTCCATCTTCGATGATTTTTTTTATTTGTTTGTGATTTTCAAAATACCTAGCTATTTGTCTTTACTCTGCAGAGATATTCTACATGCGCAGCCAAAATGTGAAATATTTGTCTTGGAAAAGACTTTACACGAAGCATTAAAAAAATGCATTAAAGTTCTTCTGTATCACATTTGTTATTGGTTTGGATATCCTTCTAGATGGATTTCTTTCTAGGCATGAAAAGTAGTCTGACACATCTCTGTAGAACTGACCTAATTTTATGCTGTTAATGTCATGTTCAATTTTACTCTGACACAGTATTGTTTTATAGTATTCATATTTTTTCCTAGGCAAACGGAGTGGGCGTAGTAAGAAATGGAAAGAGATGCTGAAGTTGCCCCCTGTCAGTCACTGTGAGGGTATTCGGTGCTCCATCGGTGAGTGTCCTGTAGCATAAAGCTTCTCCTTTGAGAGAGGAGGGTAAGAGTTTGGTGCTGTTAATGGAAAGGATAAAAAAAAAAAAAAAAAGCTATTAAACTTGTAATATGATGGAGAATTTATGAGGAAATGAAATTTATGAGAAGATAAAAAGTGTATCACAGCTCCTTGTTTGTTAAAGGAAATTGCTCCTAAAGAATAGATTTATAAAACCTTGAATTAGAAAAAGGAATCACATCATAAATTGATGGTAATATATTTTACCCTTTTCCTTAATGTCTTGTTAATAGTTTTGGTTTTTTTTAAGCTTTTCTGATATTATCTTGTATTCCCTCTTTCCAAACAATATTTCACGGTATGGTTGCTTTTTGCACCCTAACCTAAATTAACCTCAAGCATATAATTCAGTGTGTTTTTAGTAAATGGGATAGTCAGTAGAATACAGATGTGGCTGAAGAGTGTTTCACTATTCTTTGGAATCATTGCATATTTATGGTATCTTTGATAAATATGTTAATGTAAAATCTTCATGTTTGAGTGATGCTTTTCTGACCTCACATGGGAGTAATGACTACCCCACTACAAAAATAAAAATAAATGAAGATATTTATATGTCATTTTTTTACAGAAAGAGACTATAACCAGCTTTGTGACAAACAGCCAATAGGAAGACTTCTCTTCAGACAGTTCTGTGATTCTAGACCAGATTTGAAAAGATGCATTGAATTTCTGGATGCAGTGGTAAGTAGTGAGAAATGGATGATGGCTATCAGTAGGCATGTCTTATGTATTCATGTATGTAAATATTGGATTTTTGTGCTGGCTTTGCTGAGGTAGAGTTAATTTTCTTCATTGTAACTCATTTAGTGCTATATTTTGGATTTTAGACCAAGATAATGTTGGTAACAAGGATGTTTTAGTTCTTGCTGAACAGGAATTACACAGTGTCAAAGCCTTTGTGTTCCTGATGCTGCCCTAAAAGTGAGGAGGCTGATGGTGCAAGAAGCTGAGAGTGGACACTGCCAGGCCAGCTGAGAGCCCAAAGATTATCCCATACCATATGGTGCTGTGCTCAGCAATAAAAGCTGGGGGAAAGAGAGGAAGGGGGGAAGTTACAATTTGCCAGCTAGCTGTTATACCTAAGAATGAAGCCCTGCTTTCCTGGGAATGGCCAAATATCTCCCTACCAATGGGAAGAAATGAATGAATTTCTTAATTTGCTTTGCTTGTACCTGCAGCTCTGCATTATCAAACTGTCTTTATTTCAAGCTGCAAGATTTCTCACTTCTGACCTTCTGGTTCTTAGTGGGGGGAAGTGAGTGGGTGCCTGTGTGGGGTTTAGCTGCCTGCTTCTTTAAGACACAACCATTTTATTAATTTTCTCTACACACCTCTGTTTCCTAATACTATGTACTTGAAAACAGTGTGAAAACATAGTCTTTGCTGACTGTAAAGCTGTAACTTCTGGTAGATGTAAAAAAACTGTCTGTTGCTTAAAGGAAAATGTTTAGTATTTACTATGAAGTTTCTGCCATCTTTGTATGGTCTGAGCTATGGAAATGGGCATGATGGGAAAGAGAAGCAATTTTAGGAAGACCTGCTGCTTGGCTTCTGGAGCCTGCAAGATGTCTGTATTATGAACATTACTTGCTATACTCAGGCTTCAAAATGTTATAAACATAGACTTAAAGATGTTGCAACTTGCATGGAAGCCCTAGGCTACACAGCATATGCTAATTAAAAACTTTATAATGGAGATGGAAATTTAGAGAACCACCCATGGAAGGAGAAAAAACAAATTTTGAGACTAAGGGAAAAGGTCTTGATATATTTACATCTTGATATCTAATGCTGAAGAACAAGGGAGGAAGGAAGTGTGCCCACAGCTATATTTTGCACAAAATCCTCAGCCCAAAACCTTATTGGGGAGGGGGAAAGTAATGAGGAGATTAGGCAGGCAAAAACCAGCCCTTAAGAGGAGAGAAGAACAGCTCAGAGCTTTTGATTCTTTGTCCTTCACAGTTAATCCAAGAGCAATAAGATACAGTCTCAAACTGAGATTGCTGATGAAAGAACAGGTTTTCTCAGTCCTGCCATTTTTGTGCTTACATGCAGAGAACAAATGACCAAAGAAGACAGAAGTAGGGTAGTGCTGCTGCTTGCATGCATCCCAACTACAATATTGGAATGCAGGATGGCTCTGGAAGAGGCAGGGTGTAAGGAATGTACATGGGATTATTGCTGTGCCTCCTATTTCGCTGGATCTTCCTTCTCCTTTGGTAGTAAAAACTGAGGCATTAGATCAGCTGAAAAAGAATTTGAGTGTCAAATAGGTGAAATTGTTTATATTTGTCAAAGAATCTGTGTGCAATTGGGCTGACTCCCCAGGTGTGTTTCACTTTTGTGACTCCCAGGAGCCGTTTGAGCACCAGATTCCAGAGTCTAGATTGACACTTGGAGACTGAATGGATTGAATGGAAATCCAGAACAGTGGAGCTTTCATTCCTGAAGTGAATATAACCCAGAGCCCTTAATGAGTGCCATGCACTGACAACTGTGGATTTACCCTTAATGGTTACAACTTCTGTACATGTTTTAATCCTTATATCTTAGATAAGGAGTAGCAAAATCTTTGGCAGCACAAAAGAGAATGAATTTTAGGCATGACTGTAAGGCAGATGTGTCCTTGCTCTACAGATGTAATTTTCAGGTAAAACTGTCTCTAAGAAGTAACTGGTTTTCACTAACTGAAAAATTTGAACTGTTTTGAAATATGCAGCCTATAATGTTGTGTGGATTGCAACACTTCTGTGAATTAACAAAGACTGGTATAGCTCAGATAATCTGATGTAAGGGATGGTTTCACAATTTACTTTTTTTGTATTTGTTGTTCAACTTCCATTTGAAAAATCAGGGGGAATAATTATTCTTGGGAATCATTGAAACAAGGTAACCTTTGGTAACTCTCATGATCTGAAACTAGCATCCTGTCTTGATCAAGGATGTGAGATAAAATACCTACTATCTCTTACAGGTGGTTCCTGAGTTAGCCTGATTCCCTTTTGTGGACTTCAGCAAGCCTGATCTTTTAGGGGTTGAGGGGTTTCTTTGGTTGGTATTCTTTGTAAGGCAATACAGGAAGCAAAAGCTGAGGCTGTGTGCTTTTTACCTTGGCTTTTGCCAAGTTTAGCTTTTTAAAATGTTAAAGAAATTCTAGACTTACTCTTTCAGGGGAAAAAAAATCACAAAATGAAATGTCATAGCCTTAAAAACCTTGCATCTTAGTTAATAGATTTTTCTGACTCTTTTACATGAAGCAATATGATTTCAGCAGTGTGATTGTTTCAGGAGTCCAAAATCAAGGTGGTACCAATGCTGTGTTGTCTGCCTGTACTGAATACTGAGTCTGGTAAGGTCCAGTTCTTGGGAAGGTGTGACCTAAAAGTCTGGAGTCAGCTTGGCTTTACAGAAAGAAGAGTTGTGAAATAATTGCATGTAAGTGACAGAACTTAAAGTGAGGAGTTAGTTATCCAGTCTAGTGACTCATTTCACTAGCTAGGGACAGGGTTACTCACATATGAAAAGGAATCAGTGGCAGTTCAAACTTCCCTGTAAGTAACAGAATTATTTGGAAAGGCCACCTCTCAAACTTCCTTTTAAATTACACTATCCACTTAAAACACTATGCCTAACTAATTGTATTAAATTAGTGTTGAAGGTGCTCAGCAGACTGCTGAACATTAGGTTGATAAACTTTTCTGACTTGCTCTGGTTGATGAGCAGTTGCAGAAGAATTCCTTACCCTTAGACTTTCTGTTGTGGAATTGAACAGCAGAAATTACACTTGCATTTGGATTGATGGATTTGAGTAGCGTGCTGAAGTGGGTGATACCATAATGTCTCAGCAGAAAAAGATGTTGATGACTTAGTAGTGATGACTTGAGTCAGTGTTGATTAGTTGTCATTAATGGCAGAACTGGAATCAGGAATTCCATTATTTCCAGTGTTGTGTGTGTGTTTGAGTCTTGAACTGTCATTTTTTAGTGTTCTAGTTTTCTTTATAAAGGCAAATAATTTCTGATTAGATCAATTACTTGTAATTTCCAATGAGGTTGCTAATGACTGGTGTCCCAATAAGCCCAGCTGTTGTTTTGTTTGATACAGTTCTCCATTCTGGATGTCTGCCAAGTATTTGTTTCTAGGTGCATGCATTTACATCCTGAAATATGAAATGAGCTTTGATTGAGTTGGCCCAGCTAACAAACCTAATGTGTATTGCTGTTTGAGATTGCTCTTTTCTAATTCATCTTTCCCCAGATTTTGGGTTGTCTTTAAATCTTGTAACTTCTGATGTCTGCTTCTAGATTATTCCATAAAATTATTAATAGTAAGTAGTTCTTGGAGTTTTTCAGCAGTAGTATCTGTGTGGTGATTTGCTGGTTGTGGGTTTTTCCCTTAAGTAGGTACTTGTGGAGCTCTGTTCAGCTGCCAGTTGTTTATCTGCAAGATGCACAATTCTCTTTTTCTTCATCTCACTACCAGATGTTACCAAGTCACAAACTTTGAAAAATTGTATCTGGTCAATTTCAATTTTTCAAAGAATGATGTAGGGTTTGGTTTAGATCTCATTTATCAGCTTGTAGAAAGTAGTTTTATCCTGGTTTTAGCCGAAACTGAAGCAAAGAATAACACATGAGGGGAAAAAAGTACAGTGAAGAAAAAGCTGATTATTGTACTCCTGATTAATTTCCATCTGGATTAATTTCCATCTGTACTGTCCTACAATACTACAATTTATGTAGTATTGTAGGACAGTATTCTGTCCTACAATACTACATGAATACTATTTCATTGTAATTGATCTAGTTTAACCTCTAGGATGCAGTTTCTGTAATTGCATTTAGTCATTGTTAGGTTTTGTATGTTTTCCAAAGATTAAATTCCATATGCTTTGTTTTTTTCCTTAGGACTATTCTTCATACATGTTTCACCTTAGAGCCTTCTGTTCCTTTTCTATTAGGAATATTGTGTTAATTCATGTTAAAATTTACCTATCATCATGGAAAAGATGCCAAGTGACTCTGAACATAATAAAATTTTCAATTCCATTCCCCCAGGCAGAATATGAGGTATCTTCAGACGAAAAGCGCATTGACTGTGGCCTCAAAGTTTTAGAGACATACTTCACTAATGGGGTAAATATATTGCAAACATTTCCTCATGTGCTTTCTAAGTGTCAAATAAATAGAAAGATAAAATCAATTGCATTGATTTTAGTAAATTAACTTCCAAACCTCATTGATCCCATTTTTGTCATTCTGAGAGGTGTACTGCCTGCTAAAATTCTGCTCAATTAACTTGAGCAGAAACTTTGACTGATCTCTGCTTTTATATAACTACCACAATTACAATTTATTCTCCATTTAACACCTACAGAAAACTTTAAAAAAATTAACTCAGGGTGTTGTAGTCTGAAGTTTTTTAGACTCCTGTATGGCATTGGTTAGTTTCCTGTAAATTTTCAGAATTGCTGCAGATTTTCACAAAGTGAAATGCTGTTTTCTTCTGAAACATTCTGTTGCTTTCAGTTTCCGTAGTAATCATTAATAGCTGATTTTTTTACATTTATCAAGTGTTTTTTTTTTTATATCCAGTGGAAGTTTTATGTGGGTATATAATTAGATATATGCTTTTTATTAATAGATGCTCCTTCTCTTGCTTTGGTCATCTTGTACAAAAGGCCTTGAAGATTCCTTAAAAGCAGATAGAATCTTAATTTGCACATCTTTTTGAGAATTTCTTTGGGACTACTGTAATTCACATACATTTTTTCAAAAAAACCCAGATTTCTTTGACCTGGTTTGAAATAGTTTCCCAGCCTGTGATTGTGCTTTTTTCTCCTTCTTTCCATCCTGCCAAGACAAAGATGACTTGCTTTTTTGGTGGTAGACTTAGGGAAAGAAAAAGAAATTTGACTTATTGCCAAGTTTATTCCCCCAGGTACTGAAATAGTAAATAACTGAAATAACTTTCAATGCATTGTTCTGTAACAGGAAAGAAATAAAAATTTTGCTCAAGTACAACTTTATTGATTTTCTCTTTAGTCAAACCATTCCTTTCCTTTAGCTGTATTAAAGATTTTAATTTATCTTTGAATACAAAACTTTGCATTTTTCTGTTGATATTCATGCTTTCATTGTTGCTTTCCTTTCTTTTTATTTTGTTAAGTCTGCAGCACACTTGCCAGAAATACCTCAGGAAACAGTAAATGAATGTAAGGCAAGACTGGAAAAGAACCCTTCTAAGGATCTTTTCATGGACTGTACTAGGTAAGTTAAAAATGCCTGGTGCTAAGTTTAAGAATTACAATAGAAATTTCTGTGTTTCTAAGGAAAGTGAAATATGAAGTTGTTATACCCAGAAGTACTGAGTCCCTGAAATGAGTACAGTAAGAAACTTGGAACAGATTTATTAGCAGACTAGGTTTCCTTCAGATGTGATTTAGATGCTCAACTTTTGCAGAGCTTTTTCTTTAATGCTGCTTTTGCATAAAATCACACTGTTGTCTGACACCAAGAATTCTGTAAGATAAATGGTATCTTTCTCTTTATTCTTACTTTTTGAGAGACTCTCATCCATTCTGAAGGTACTCAGAAAAATATGAAGTTATAAGTTGAAGCTTGAAAGGTTTCTGAACAACTTTAGACATTTAAGATTCTTGAAAACAGGTTTAACTGAGGCCAGCACTTATGTGGCATTAAGATGGCTGATTAGATGATCACTTGTGATAGTTAACACAAAACAATACAACTTGCTTTTGTTCTGCAGTCATGAAGTGATGTTTCACACAGCAGTAGCAGGGGAGGCTTGTCTTGGAGGGATGGTACATGTTTATGAGTGTTACATATCTTTCTAAAGCCTTTATGTGTCTAATATTTCTGGTTCTTCAAGGCATGCTTGATCATGTCTGAAGGATGACTGCAGGTTTTGTCACTGCTTGGGTCATCTCCCTGGCAACAGAAATAAGCATGCTTTGTAACAAGCTGAGATTATAAGATTGAAAGGGCTGTGTGAGAACACCCCATAAAACACGTCTCAAATGGAGTGTCTCATGTAGATCATCCCCTTTCCCCTGTCCAATAAATACCTGACTACAGTTTGAATGACTTGTTTCCCTCCCCACCTCCATCTTGCTGTGTTTCTTTTAAGGTACTTGGTGTTCAAGGTTTGGATATGGCATTTAGTACTTCAATTTCAAATCCTAGAAAAAAAAAATACTTACCAGTCTCCAAATAATGCACGAAACCCTGTAGATATTTTCAGAGTTCATGTTTGCAGGGTAAACATGCATAAAAAGCTGCTGAGAAGCTGATGTTTAAGTGGGTTTGAAGACAATGAAAATGCAGAGGTCCAAGTGTCTCGTTCCTATAAGTAGCAGTAGTTTGGCATTCACAAGTGTTTTGACAGAAACAGTTTTCTGTAACAGACACTCACTTTGGGACATTTAGGTTAAAACCATTGCAGAGCACACTGGTGATGTTTTTCTGCCTACAGCTTCATTGATATGTTTAAATATATGTCTGTAGATTGATAGCACGTCCTGCTTCAACAGCCTTTTCCAGAATAAGATGGATTTTATTCTTCTGTTTATTTTCCTGCTAGAATTGTCCATGAATACCTAAGCAAAAGACCTTTTGAAGCTTACCAGGAGAGTGTGTATTTTTCCCGTTTCTTACAGTGGAAATGGCTGGAAAAGTAAGTTTGTTTATAATGTTTACATTATAATTTAGCTTTGCTTTGTGACAGATTTTGATTTTTATGCTGGAAATGATGTAGAGCTGAATGCTAAATGATACTGCCTGTCTAAGAAATTATGATCTGAAAGACAGGATGTAAAGGATGATGTTGATGGACAGCAGGAGAAGCAATACTCCAATGGAACTGTCTGTAGCCTTTAAGTAGTAAATTTTAAGTCTTTAAGTGGTATTGGGTAAATGCAAATTCAGAAATATTTGGCTGTCAAGAGTGCAGTGGAATACCAATCTTTCTTGGGAATACTATCATCCTTTAGTTTCAAACTTGGTCTAATTAGTGGTTAATAAACAGATTAATCTAGCATTGTAACCCACTGGGTAATTGGATAAGTACTGGGTTTTTTTGGGTGGTACAGATACAAATCTAATTAATTACAAGATAGCAAGATTTACATATGATATATGTATCAGAATCTATATTCAAATCAATATTAGGTGAGTGTCCAGACTCTTTCAGAAGGCTGATTGTTACAAATTGATTCAAATTCAGCCCCCTGGGTATCGTGATCACACATTCAAACATTAAGGTGCTTGAGCACTGATTTTATTGTAAATTCCAGTTATCCAATGGCTTTATTTTATCGAATTGGTTGCAAAAGCCAGTAAGAAAACTAAGGAAGTTACTCACATTTTCTCCTAAATGAACCTCCACTATTGTCCTGAGAACAAAGCTGCAGTGACAGAGAGTGCTCATTTAAAGCAAACACAGGAAAATCCACTACCTGATAATAGCCCTGCTCTGACACTTGGAGAGTTTTAGCATAGAGGGATCAACACCTCTACTGCCTCCTCTGCATCAATACCCTGACAATTTGGCTCTTGAACTGCTCTTGCATGCCACAACTCTTTCTTTAGTAAAAAACAAAGTGAAATCAGGAATGGTTTACCTTTTAAATGCCACATTGTAAGCATGATCCAACTGAAATGCAGTCTGCGTGTCAGCGAGTCAATAAAGGGAGGCAGCAGGAGGTGATAATGGCCCGTGCTGAGAGCAGTAAAGGGCAGACCTGAGCAGCTTTTGTTCCTGCTATTGCCAGTGCTGGTGACCAGATGAGGGAGCCCACGTTTCCTAGCAGAGCACCCCTTTCATTTGAAATTCACCTTATTATACTACTTCTATATGAGGTTAAGGCAACATTTGTTCAGAAATATATCAGAACAGAAAGGAGAAAATGAAGACAGACCTCTCAGGGTGGGGAGGGATTACTAACATTTGTAATTCCTGTTGCAGTAATTGTTTCTTTCTGTTAATCAGGCAGCCAGTAACCAAACACACGTTTAGGCATTACCGAGTACTAGGCAAAGGTGGATTTGGAGAGGTGAGTACAGAAGTGTGTTTCTGCAAGGCAGTTCTTGAGGAATCAAAAGAAAAAGGAGAGTCTGTTTAACTCTTGTCTCGATTAACCTGTATTTGACACATCACCTGGCAAGCTGTTGCCAATACAAACTGTTTGAATGTGTTAAAGCACTGTAGGTCATGCACAAAGAGGCAGAAAACTTGTAGTGACTGACAACAGTCGCTTCTATTAGAAATTTCATTTGGAAATGAGAATTTAGTTGCAATTTGCTAATTATGTAGAATATTCATGAACCTAATTTAAAATCTATGGATTTTAATAATTCTGTTAATAATTTATTGAACTGTCTCTGTACATGTTTTAACCAGAATCCTATATGGAAAGAGAAATTGTGCTACTAAACTACCGTTATGTATCTCCTGTTTGATTGTGATGTGAATATTTGTCCTTAACACATATTAGGACACTTAGCACTGTTACTGTAGTCATTTGTTTCACTAACACAGGATCCACAGTTTTGCTAAACTATTCAACCCCAAAAGAAATGTATTTGCCTCTGTCTAATCACTTTTTCTACTTCTCTTACAGTTTTTGTGAACCTTTAAAGTCGTTTCATGAGCAAAGGCTCTGTACTGATACTTACAGACCATAATTTTCTGACAGCATTAAAGAGTTTTGAAAAGAAAATTAAATTGAATCTTCTTTAAAATAAAAATTCTAAAAAGCCTCAAGCATCTCTGACGCACTATCCTTCTTTTTGTAGGTGTGTGCCTGTCAAGTACGGGCAACAGGAAAAATGTATGCTTGCAAAAAGCTAGAAAAAAAGAGAATAAAGAAGAGGAAAGGAGAATCAATGGCTCTAAATGAAAAAAGGATTCTAGAAAAAGTGAATAGTAGGTTTGTAGTAAGTATCTACTTTGAATCTTTTTTCAGAAATTTATCTTGTTTTGTTTACTTCATTTCGGTCTCTTCCAGGGGCTTGTGGGCACAAAACTCTTTTTAAAATTGATTTAGAGAGTGCATGGGAGAAATGAATGATATAATAGTAAATACATTTTGTGTGTGATTGAGAATAGTTCTATGCACAAGGATTATTTTTGGTCCTCTTGCTTTATTTCTGACAGCCAGAACATTAGGCAGTGTTTCAGCATGCTGATGCCACTGAATCTTTGTCCTCTGCTTAATAGCTGAGGTTTTATATCCTGAGATACTTTCATAGCATTTGTTACTCCGTTGCTGATATATTTTAAGATAAACATGACATTTTAATAGTGTATTGATTCAGGTTATATTGCTTTGCTGTGTACCAAGGCTTAAAGCTGTATCTTGGATGTGCAACAATTAACTTTTTAATGGAGCTTCCATGTAATGGCGATCTTAGTTTTAATACCTAAACATGATGCTATTATGTAAGTTATGGTCTGTTAGTAGCTCTAATTACTAAGCAGTGAAAGAAGTTAAAATGTTCAAAGATACAGCAAGCAAAACTTTCCCCAGGTAATGTTTACTTTTTAATTGAAATGTCATTTATATGTTAATTTCAAATACATTGCTTTGGTTTGAAATCCATTTCCTTATAAATTTTGTATTGATGTTCAGAGGATTTTAAAGCATCTGTTTTAGAGGGAAGTGAAAATTATTTATAAATATATGTGTATAAAATATGTAGGTATGTATTTTCTGATAAGTTTTATGTATTAAAAAAACCACTGTAGAATACTGCCAGCTACAAGAAAAATGAAGAACTTGCTGGCCAGACACATTAATATTTTAAACTATTGTAAATTATGGTTTTGTATAAATATGATAATGTTATTTTTGCACAAGGCTTCTGGGCTTAAATGGATTGAAACTGAATCCAGAGAGTACCTGAATTTATCCATAAATTACTAAAACAGCGAAACTTCTATTTTTGAGTTACATTTTTTTCAGCATCTGTAAACACTGTAAATCAATAATTGATCTAAGTTGAATTTGAAATTGCTTTATAAAATTGAGCAGGAGTTATTTTCCTCTTGCTGTCCAATGGTGGTTTTTTATGGAACAGAGAAGCTCTAGGTCTAGCATTTGCAGTAATACTGGTTTTGAAGTGGGCAGATAACTTGTCATGCCTCTGTCACAAGTACAGTCTTGAATAGCTGGACACATCAGTTAAAATCACCAAATGGGAATCTACACCTTGAGTAGCTGATTTCTGTATTTACTTAATTTTATTATTTAGTATTGTATTTGCACTTCTGAATTAAGAGTTTGGATCTATTACTGAATTAAAACAATTATTTACTTGTACTGCATTTAAAATACATTTTTTGAGTAAAAGAAAAAAAAAAAACCCTACTGATTTTTTTACCTAGCTAGTTTACCTAATGTAAGCTAAGTATACGTTTGAATTCCATTGCTCCTAGTACAAGTTAGGTTATTTTGAAGATTCTACCAGATGATCATCTGCACAGCAAAACTTTTTCTACTGAAAATGAATTTGTAACTTAAGCAGTTAAATTTTGTAGCATATTGCATTGTGTTAAAAGGGGAGGGTTTTGTTTTAATTCACAAGTCTACTTTAAAACTTTAAATGCATTTAAAAAACTTTTCCCTAAAACCTGAAGAAAATGTGGTGCTTTGTCCTTGCCTATCAGCACCACATTTCAAGTACAGTGAAAAGAAAGATTGTATGGAGTTGTACTGACTACTGTTGCAAAGTTCTAAATGAGGGAAATATGCAGTTGCCTGAGGGGGAGGCAGGGGTAGGAATAGAAACTGCACATTTGATTTAAAATAATTTGAGTTCCTCTAGGGCAGTTTTGAGTCTCGTAGTTCAGGAAGATGGTTTGGCAGTGCATAACTCCTGAGATAGTAATAAGATAAGGAATAGGCTCATGCTGTCTGGACAAAGAGTAATGCAGGTAGCATGCAGCTGAGGGGCATCATCAATAACTCTATTTTCTGGGTATGTAAACAGATCTGTCACTAAGCTTTTGTGTTGTGTGTATGGTTTGTGTACACAGGCAAATTAGTCTGAATTCCTTTGTGTCTTCCAGTACTTTGTAAGAGTGATTTTCCACTTGCGTGTTTTGTTCTTTTTGCTTTGAAAAAGGATTCACAAGTTGGTTGTGTTGGAAAAAAGATCTGTGAATTGTTTTGGGGTTTATGAGTGATTAATGGTTGTGTTCTCACCCTGCCTGTTTTTAGGTTAGTTTATCCTATACATACGAGACGAAAGATGCCCTGTGTTTAGTATTAACCATAATGAATGGAGGGGACCTGAAGTTTCACATATACAACATGGGAAATCCTGGCTTTGATGAAGAAAGGGCTATTTTCTATGCTGCAGAACTGTGCTGTGGTCTGGAGGATTTGCAAAGGGAGAGAATTGTTTACAGGTGAGAGTCATCTATTGTACTTTCCCCCATCTCTTCAACACTGAACATATTAATTGTTTCCTACTAACATAAGTTTGTATTTTAATTTTGTAGGAAAAGGATAAAAAAAAAAGTTTAGTTGTCCTTTTTGTGGCATATCCCTAGAAATATCTCTTACGTCTTCTTGCTGTTGATTTAGGTCTTGATGCTTGATATATTTTAAAGCAGTATAAAGTTGATTCAAGGTTTGTTTGTAAAATGAAATTAAACTATGATTTACAAAGCAAATTAATTTATAATTTTAATACATAAGTTTTAGGAGTATGACATTGTATTCCTGCCCACTCCAAAGTAGTTCACAGAGGGCTCTAGAAGTCCCTGGCTGCATTGTGTGTTACACTCACAAGGGTAACACACAATGCAAGATAGTCATAGCCCATGTGAAAAGCTCCTTCTTCTGTTTTAATTTCAGATTCCTCCAATAAAATTATTATTGCCTTTGAGTTAATGAAATTATCAGAAGCTTTATGTATTGCAATTGAGATTGTATTATTTTAATGCTCTGTTTTGTCTTTGTACATCGATAATTTAACCCCTGGTATGCATTAATGTTACAGAACAAGCAAAACAAACCTAGTGGTGGACCAAGAATGCTTTCTTTGTGCTTCTGCTGTGTAACACCAAGTGTCACACACACAGACACACAGAGTGGGAAGTGCACAACCAGAGTGAATCAGGCTTATGCTGGTGGTTGGATGTTGTTCCCTGGAGAATTTGGCCAATCTTACAATACTACACACTGTTTAGGCATACACATAGGAGGGAAGCAAGGGTGAGACATTTCATCAGCTACAAGTAGGTAATTTTACGTTGCCCAAATGAAAACAAAACTGATTGTTTAAAACACAAAGTAACAACAACACCAAAAAAACCCAAACAAAACAAAAGAACCCAAACCACAGCCCTGTGTTTAGGCCCAACTTGTTAGCTGTTTGCCTACAAGACAACCTTCAAACACTTATGTCAAATCTTAGTGTTCTTCATTTTTTTTTACCTTTGATCTCCCCTGGTTTCTCTGCTATTGTAATCTTATATTTAATGTCCATTTATTAACATTATGGGGATTGCTGAGACTTAAAACCATGAGAAGCAGAGCATCTTTGACTTTTGTATACAGTTAATCTCATAAGATAATGAAACTTTACCATGAATATACATATTACAGAACAATTAACCAATATTTGGGGGCAAAAACCCTACTTAGATTTCTTGGTGAACATTTTTCTTTCATTTAGAATATCAACTCTAGAGTCATTCTTCCTAAAATTTTTCTTTTATGTTATTCAGTCTCCTCTTCTTGTCACAACTGTATGTATATATGTATATATACATTTTGTTTTTAACAATTATTCCAATAATTGATTCTTTAGCCAACTGCTGGGTTTTGCATGTCTATTTCTGGCTTATATTTATGGTGGAATAAATCTAAGAGACCATCTCAGTCCACATGCTTATTGATGCATACCACAAATACACACATGTAAAAAATAACCATAAAAATATAACTATCTATAGTGCACAATTATAAATAATAATGTACATTATACATTTTATGCAAATCTTCATGCCTATATATGTTTGTGTATATCCTCAGGAGAATCTGCTAGGGTATAAATCCTAGAACAACTTCTGATACAGCTTCCATGGCTCCCCAAATTTTCCTTGAGCAGAGAAAAATTTAAACATTCCATTCAATGTTTTATTTTGTTCTTAAAGTAAAAATGCACAAGATGCAAAATTGCAATGCTGAATTTATTGCTCTTTTAGTATTTCCTGAGTCTTGCTATCATTTAACAGTTAAAAAATGTTGTTTGTGAAACTTTGATCTTTAGAGAAAAGTAACAGGAAACTTCTAGAAAGTTATTGCAAAGAATCTTAACTAGGTCTAGGAAGGTCTAGAAGTTTTGTCTGGGAAGCTTTAGAAGTTGCATGTCCAAGTTAAAGAAATGGAGTTTGAATGGATGATATTAAGCCTGTGCTTAGTTGTGGGATTATTCCTCTTCGTTGCTATTCTGATGCCCTGGGGTGAAATACAGCAAGGGGTCAGCATCAAACTGCAGCAAACACTTGTGTTTTACCACTGGGGAGTTGTAAAGCTGAGATTGCTCAGGAGAAATGTTTTTCACTTACGAGCACAAATTTTGGTGTAAATTCTGGTTCTTTATATCAGGTTTTTAGTGTTGTGTTGCCTTTGTTAATGTAAATCAAATAGTTATGTTAATGGAAGTTAGAGAGGATTAAAGAGTTCAGGGAAAGTGGATCTAGAGTTCTCTGGTTAAACTATTCATATTATAGGCCATCAACTTCACAGCTTTTTCCTTGTTTATGGGTGGAACTGGAAAAATTGCTTCAGTCAGAACCAAGAAGTCTTCTGTTGAATCTGTTGCACTTCAGGGCTAATAGTTTTGTCTTTGTTTAATTCACATTTCTGTTGTTTAATTTGTAGAGACTTGAAGCCTGAGAATATACTTCTTGATGACTGTGGTAAGTAAAAATTAAAATGAATTTTGAAATCAGGGATTATACCTCTAATACCAAGCCAGAAATGTAAGGGATTTCTTAATGATAAAAGAGACCTCGTTGATTTGAATTTAGCAAAGAACATACTGCCTTGCTTTTTAGAAAGCAGGGGAAAACTTTGGGGGTCAACCATGATTATATTAAGGGTCAATTTTCTACATTCAAATAGGTTCTTTTTCCCTTTTGTTCTTCATTTTCCCCCTCCTCTTGAATTAAGATCACTAAAATTTTTACATGGATTTCTTTTGTTTGTCTTTTCTTCAGCTATGGAAACATTATTTGTTAGGTGGGGGGGGTGCAGAATTTTACTTAGTAAACCAGAATGTTTAGACAGTAAGAAGAAATCTGAAGTATTTCTCTTTTAACACTTTGACTAAAAGAAGTCTGATGGTCTCTGATGCATATGTGGCTGGAAGGAATCAAGGAAGTACAAACAATATGAATAAATGTTTGTAGTCTTTTGTTTGTCAAAAGCCAAATTAATTCTCTTTAATGACTTTGTGTGCAAGTCATTACCAGAATCTTTTGAATTGACTGTGGAACGTGTGCAGGAATTCTCTTCTAAGCTGTGGATGAATATTACAAGTTTGTTCTTGTAACTGCTGAGCATTTAAGTTGAGGAAAAACTGTTTTTGAAGTCATTAGCACAGTATTTTTTTTTTAAGTCAGCATGTTCTGACTGATAAATTTCAAAAAAGATGATGCTTGAGAGAAGTCACTTTCCAAGAGCTAAAGCTTTGCTAAACATCAAATGCATTCTTTAATTTTTCTCTCCAGCAATGTCTTGGAAAAGCTGAAGGCTTCTTTGCAGAAAAATGTAGCCTTGCAGGACTGCACTAGAATGCTTCCTCTCTGCCAGGGATATTTTGATCTAGTTCCAGAGAGCACAGGAGACTAATTAGAAAATCGCTTCAGGAGCTCAGATTTGCACTTAAAAAGGGTTCATCAGATGTCAGGGAATACAAGAGCATCTGAATGTATTTAAAATAGCATTTGCTGCTCCAGAGCATTACCTTATTTCCAAGCAGTATACAGAGTGGCACTTGTCTTTCTCCCCTCTCTCTCTCTCTCTCTCTCTCTCTCTCTCTCTCTCTATCCCCTGATTATCTAACACATGTACATAAGAAATTAATAAATTAATATGCTGTTAACTAATATTGATTCTGTAGAGAGTGATGCACTCTTGGAGGCTTTCTAAATAAGTATTTAAAAAGCCTTGGACACCTTGGCTGCCTGCTTGCTCAGAAGGTTTTACTAGAGACCTTCTGAAGTCCCTTCCAGCCTGAATCATTCTGTGAGTCTGTGGTGTTTCTGTAAACAGCAGTATCCCTGTCCTTATAGCCAGTATTCACATGTGGGTTTTGCTCTGTTTTTTTCTTTTTGGCAACGAATCTTTCTACACAAATTGTTTTAAAATTGAATTGAAAATGTGATTGTCCTTTCTTCTGTCTAGAGTTTTACATTTTTATTAAGAAAGTACCTTATGTGTTTTTACATTAAAATGTCAATACAATTCTTGCCTTGAAATGTCTTGAATGTGCTTGAAACAGTTCATGAGTCTATCCCACAAAGAATGGGAATATCCATGGGAATGTAAGGGAGAGTGGGGTGGATTTATTCCCATGGCCCTACTTGGACTGGTTCCCCAGTGAGCAGCGCATGACAAACCAGTCTATTGCCAGATGATTTCTGTGCTAGAGGTACAGCTCTAAAGGCCATACGTGAGAGGGGAAGGTCATCAGCTTGAGACATTTGGCTGATAAAGTGCAATAGAAGCTGTTATGCATTTAGGAGTGATTCATGAGAAGAGGAAATCCCAGAATTGAGCTGACATTTTACCATATAAACAATTCTGAGTAGGTTATTGACTGGGCTGCTCTTGGTTTGGGGTGGGAGTGGGGATAGCAATTCCAAGTACTTGTGTTTGACATTATTGGGGTGCTTCATTACAGGAAAACAAGCTCTCTCAGTACAGGCTACAATTTTCTCACATTTGGATAAAATTAAGTTAATTTTGAAGTTTTACTAAGAAGTTGGAAAGCTAAGTGCTTGTGGTGGGTATACAGAATGGAAAACCACAAGTGTCTGATGCATAGATGCAGAACCTGAAATGAGCATTTCTGTTTGTCCGAGAACAGCAGCCTATGCCAAAGCTAGGAATTAAAGTGCTTAAGAGCAAATTATTTTTGTATGACCTTCAGAAAATCAGTTATATCTGTGCTTCTCTTTCTTCACATTTTTAAGGAGGAGCTGAATAAAACACTCTTTCCAAGTTAAGTTAAATAAACTTAGGGCTATATGAATGTTTTGATACTTCGCAGTGGGGTTTTTTATGACGTGCAATAGAATTTTTTTTGTTTTAAAAGTGATAGTACTTAATTATTTTACTTCATTAATTAGCTGACTATGTATAATTTATTTTAACATCAATAGGACATATCAGGATTTCAGATCTTGGATTAGCTGTGCAGATTCCCGAAGGTGAAACTGTCCGAGGACGTGTTGGGACTGTTGGTTACATGGGTATGTCAACATTCTTTGCTAGTTACCTTTTACCAGAAAATTTTCTTCTGTGAATATAAGAACTGTATTGGACCTAGATTAGTTACTAGACATGTTATGGGAAGAAGAAGGATTATAATATGCATTTGTAGATGGTACTTAATTATAAGCCTACTGATAAACTTGAAAATTTAACTGAAAATTCCAGCTTTAGGCAGAACTTTTAAGAAAGCACCTAATTTTTTTCTGAGATTCAAAGAGATTTATGGTCACAGGTAAACAGAGAAATTACTGTGACAATACATTTCTTTCCATGCTTTGAAAAACTTCATTCTCAGGTTTTTTTTTCATTCTCTAAAGAATATTGGTTTTAAGATTAAAGAAATTAAGTTTTCCTCTTGAATATAAACAGAATTCTCACTGTAGAAATTAAATTTTCTTTGAAGACAGAGGAGTCACACAAACATGTCTGCACAGGACCCAAAGAGAGTACTGAGAGTTTTTCCAATACACACAATTAGTCAATTTAAAGTGAAATGATGTGGGTGTGTGTTTGCTTTTGTTTTGTAGCTCCAGAAGTGCTCAAAAATGAGAAGTATACATTCAGTCCAGATTGGTGGGGTCTTGGCTGTTTGATTTATGAAATGATTGAAGGACAGTCTCCATTCAGGAAGCATAAGGAAAGAGTTAAACGGGATGAGATTGACCGGAGAGTAAAGGAAGACCAGGAAACATACTCAGACAAGTTTTCAGAGGAGGCAAAATCCATCTGCAGGATGGTGGGTGAAGAGACGTAGAGGTTTGAAAATTAAATTTCTAATCCTTTTAAAGAGACCAACTACTTTATTTTAAAATCTTGAAAATTTTTCAGAACTGGATTTCTTAAACCTTTCTTTACTTCACATGAAAGTTTGTGATTGTTCATGAACTGTTCAGTTACCAAAATTCAAGAACTGAGAACTTTTCTCAAGGTGAAGGAAAGCTGCATAAATGGATTATTCATGGCATGAATGAAATGGTCTAGTACTGCTTGGACCACTTGTTATTATAGATGGAGTTCAATAGCATGCTCAACTGGGGTACTGCATGGGAACAAGTGGCTGAGTAGTACACCAGTTTCTTTACCTAAAACATTATCTACAAGACAATGGCATTTTTTCCTATCTTGTCTGTTCTTAAATTTATACAGAAAGCTTCACAAGTTTTCTGTACTAGTTAATGCAAGAAATGTGCATTACTTAAGCCCATAGGAAAAAATAGAAGTCTGTATTTCCTGAAAGAAAAGCCCACTGCAACGTCTGTACTGTAAAGTCTTCTCAACAAGGCATCAATTGAAATATTTTCATATAACTTTGGGCATAATCTTCGAATCATGTGCTTTCAGGTGTTCTTTTGTCTGTTGAAAATATTTGTTCCCTGAATGTTGTTGTTTGAGTTTCCAGTTATAGTTCCAGTTGATAAATGATAAATTTACTTAATAAGAGGCCAAGTAGCAAAATAAACTGATTGAAAGACATAGTATGTAGATAATTTTTTTTAGTTGTGGGATTGTATCATGGATCAGCTTTTTTTTCCATGTATCTGCAGTTACTTGCTAAAAATCCAGGGGAACGACTGGGTTGCACTGAAGGAGGAGCTGCTGTTGTAAAGCAACATCCTATTTTCAAGAACATCAACTTCAAGAGGCTGGAAGCTAACATGTTAGAACCTCCATTCTTGCCAGATGTAAGTAGGTGAGACAGATTTGATTAGTATCTAAAAAGGCAAGAACTGTCATAATTCTATGTTAGCAATCATGTGAACTCCAGAGAAACCTTTAAAGTTAGTTTCATTGGTAGAAGAATGCCATTGTAGGTATTGATGACAACTAATTGTTTTTTGGTGTTTCATCTGAGATCACAAAGCATTTTACAATAGTGCTATTTCCCTAGGGAGCTTTGTAGCTGATTTCTTACCCCTTAAAAGTCCACTTCCATTGCTCAGATGCAGAAGAAATGAGGAATAGCTTTGAAGAAAATACTCCAGATTTGAAAAGAAGGTGACAGAAGATGAGTTAATTATGATAATCATTGAGATCCAGACAAGCTGTTTCTGGCTTTGATATTTCTTTTCTGTTAATTGAAGGATGGATAGAATTGCTCAGGTGACTTCTGAAGTCCATCTTTGTATTTCTGTTCCATAGAATAATGTATTTGGTGATCAGCAGTGTGAAATGTAAAATTGCAGAAAAAATTGCTCCCTTTTGCTCATCTAGGGAAAATAAAACCAAACTAAAAGTCCCCAGATCTAAAACTTTAATGAGGTAATCTTGTATTGTACTGCAGCCACGTGCCGTTTATTGTAAAGACGTCCTGGACATTGAGCAGTTCTCAACAGTAAAAGGAGTGAACCTGGATACCACAGATGATGACTTCTATTCCAAATTTGTGACGGGTTGTGTCTCAATCCCTTGGCAAAATGAGGTAATGCACATTTCATGGAAGATTATTTTCTTTAGTACAGCAGTATAGAATATTCAATAAAATATATAATTATAATTATTTTCTCTAGGAGATGTAAAGAGGTTTCTGCTTTAGACTTCTTTGCTGAGAGGATTCAAAAATTTTTTAAAAGAGCATAAGGAACTTGCTAAAAACTGAGATTTATGGTAAATTTGCATAAACAAAGTCTGGCATCTTGTCATCATATGCACAGTTTACAGAACAGTATTAGTATCAGTAGGACCCCCCTTTCCTTGTTCTTCAGTCACATGTTATTCAGCATTGCAGCTCACAGAAAAGGGATGGAATGTTATTCCAAGTGTTCAAAAGCAAATAGGTGCAGTGCAAGCTGTTTGTGTATAGCCTGTGTATCAATAGAGTATTCAAGACAGCAACACAGAATTGCAGACTCACCTTTTTCAAGGTTTCAAAACAAACAGTTCAATATCAGTTGAGTCAGATATTCCCTTAAGAGGTTTTTTTGTGTGCCTAGTGAATGAATATTCTAGTAGTCTGCATAGAGTACTAGAATTTTGCTGCCTCTGCATGCAATTCAAATCCCCTTTACTGTTTCAGCAAGAGCACTCAGTAACAATTACTTAAAATTGTAGCTCTTGTTATGAATGCCTTGTCCCCATTATAAGTTATTTGTGCTTTCTGAAATTACTATTTTCTTGAATTCTACTAGTGTCACTTTTCTCCCAGTATGATAGCATTTTATTTAAAGCTTGAACACAAAAGATGAGCAATTTCTGAACAATTTGGAAGAAAAAGTACATTCCCTTTTGGTTCTTTTTGCATTCCATTAAGAAGGATATTTGAAAAGGTGTCATTTGACATAGAAAGTTTTCACTGAGAAACAGTGAACCTTGGAGAAAGAAGCATTTCCTATATGATGATGTAATTCTAAACTTCAGAATATGATCTAGTCATTCAAAAATGCACTGCAGCTTAATAACTAACCCTGCAGAGAGGAATAAAGTTGGAAGTAGTTGTGGAATTCTTGTGATGGCAATTCCTGTTCTTCAAGGAAGAACTGCAGATTTCATTGTACATTTGTGCTTGTTTTTTCTTTTAATTCATGTTACTGAGCTTTCCCTCAGATTTTTGAGACAAGACTTTCTCTCACCATTCCATAATTTACCCAATGTCTTGGTTTACAACAAAAGCAGGCTGCATTTCTTCTTACTCCTCTTTATGCCCTCTCTCTCTCTACAAGGTATATTCACAGTCTTAAGCTGTGCCAAGGGAAATGTAGGTTGGATATTAGGAAAAACTTTTTTACAGAAAGAGTGATAAAGTGAATGGTCGAGAGAGAGAATGGTCTGCCTGGGGAGGTGGTGGAGTCACCATCCCTGGATGTGTTTAAAAAAAGCCTGGATATGGCACTCAGTGCCATGGTTTAGTTGAGATGCTAGGGCTGGGTTGGACTCAGTGATCTTGAAGGTCTCTTCCAACCTCATGATTCTGTGATTCATTGGCTGCCTGCTGCTGTGACAGATGTGTACTGGTGGCACTTGCTGGTAAATGCCAGCTGGATTTGGGCATCAGTCACTCCCTCCCTTCTGACCCTGCCTGTTGTATTTTGGCATTCACTCTTCCTGTTGTCCTTTCTGTACCCAGTAATTGTGGTTGTATTTCTTTTGTTTCTGTGTACACAGACAAAGATTATTTCAAAATCCTTGCTTCTCTTCAGAGACCCATCTTCATTATATCTTCTTTTTCCTCCCATGTCATGTTTATTAAGTTCAGTTCAGGGCATAGAGATATTACAATTTTTTGCCTGGGCTGCTTTAAAATGACCAGAATACTTGAAAGGAAAATCTCTTTCTGGTTCTAAAAGCTTCTCTTTATTGCATCATGTGCAGAAGAAATGCAGGAATGCAAAAAAAGCAAGGGAGTACCTGACACCTGTGTGAGTCTCTCATTGCTATTCTTTAGTTGGTTGAGTGCCCAAGGAAGAGTCAATGTCAGCTTTGTGCTTCCTTTTGGAGACAGTGGTGTAGTTTGGCTACACCACTGATGAATTTTTAAGTGTTAGGAGTACCCAGCCAGAGTAAATAGATAATACCTGGAACTTGTTTGAGAGGCTTTTATGGATATTTCATTTATATTTCATATGTTTCCAAGATGATTGAAACAGGATGCTTTGAAGATATCAATGCATATGAAACTGATGGTACTGTGTCACCAGACAGAGAGAAGTCTCCTAAGCCAAAGAGAGGCTTCTTTCACAGACTTTTTAGTGGAGAGGTAAGGGCATGTATTTTCTTTCACAAGAAAGTTAACTTGCATTCTCTTTTTTATTATTGTTAATTTGTGATAGGAAAACCAAGTTGCTCACTGCACACTGAAACTAATGAGATCTGTTTTGTTATGGCTTTGCTCCTGCACCACATTTCAGAAATTATGGCAATCCCTATAACTCCAGGAAGCTTTCCTGCCTCAGCATTCTGTCCTCCTCTAGTTGCCTGGGTTCTGTTAAAAGCTGTGCTATAGACCTTCCTTTGCTGAAGAGGTTAATTTGTGTCTTGCTTCTTACATATTTTACCATTTTTAATGAAACCTATGTACATGTCTTCAGAGATAATTGAGGCCCTGTGTAAAAACTAGTAATAAGTAAGTTTATAAGCAAAAATAAGTATCTATCCAACAAATAAATACATAAGTAGAAATATCCCCAAAATAAATTAGAAGCACCACGAAACAAATGTTAAAATATTTTAGGTAGTTTAATGCCTTCACCAAAACAATGACATAATAGATCTTTACATTGCTGGTAATGCACAGCCTTTTCTTACACACAGACTTCTTCTACTCTTTAGTAGAAGAATTTCCTTCAGAGAATTGAGTATTAACTACCTAGAAGACACATCATGTATTATAATTGTCTACAGGATGTAAGAAATAGACTATTTGTAAAGGTTTGCAGTTGAAGATGTTATATACAATTCTGCTTGCTCAGTGTGCCTGCACTTAGAGAGGAAATATCTTGAGAAGCTTTAGTATATTCCAGTAGTGAACACTTGGGTAGAAATCACTTTTGCTTTCAAGCAGAAATGGAATTTTAAAATTGCTAGGTGCATATTAAGTAGCCACAGCAAGGCTGTATATTAAAATTGCATGAAGAAATTTTTTGTCTTCAGCTGGCAATTCACCTTTCTAAAATGGTACAATGCTAATGGAATGTATAATAGTACTGTCATTTTTAGTTCATCTTTTCAAATACACTTTTCCCCCACTTTGAGTAATGGAATAGAAGGGATGGTTGAGTGTACTAATATTCTCACATAGCTAAAGTTGAAGCTTGTGTCTTACTGTAGTCTTTTCCAACCAAAAATCAGCAGGATTCATGAGATATGGTTCTATATATTGATAAGAAGTCCTAAAAAATGAATATGGTTTGACAGTTTTCACTTGGTTTTGAACTAATAGGATTGCAGTTAATTGTCTTGCGAAGCTAAAAGAAGGAAATAGCTTTAATTAAATTTTAACAACTTGAGATTTGGACTTGAGATTGTGGATTCCTTTGAGTTTCCCAAAGCATTTACTTAGGATGGAGTAAAATGTGCAGGAAAAATACCCACCCCCCAGCCTTTCTGTGCCCCATAAAACACACAAATAAACAATAGCATTAGTTCTGCAGCTGAGTTGTCTGTTTGTCTTCTCTTGCAGGTCTGCTTTAAGTCTGATTGCAGTGATGATGAGCAGGAGTCCTCCAGACTTTAAATCATGTTATCCTCATCAGAAAGGATGAGCAAACATTAAATGTTTTATATCTCTGTAGCAAATTGTATTATATATATTTTTTATCTGAGTTCAAGGATTTTTGTACATTTGTACTTCATTTGTTTTAAGATGTATATTTTCACTAAAGCTTAATTGTACAAAAAGCAATGAGTGCCATTTGAGTGAGTGTGTTTCTGTATGTATTTGATTTATCTTGATTATTTTTTCCCAGTGGAATGAATCTAGAAATACTAAAAGGATTTTAAAGCACAGAGATAGTATCTATGGCATCACTGTAACTTGACTTTATATGCTCCTGTTAAAACTCTTCTTCATCATTAGGATCTTTATTAGCAGTTTTCTTAACAGTAAAATTGATGTACTGATAAATTTAATAATTCTGGTATTATCCAGCAGCATGGCAGTGCTATTACCTAATGTATCTCTCAAGCAACTGCTAAGAGAAAAAAAGGAATTCAGTGCACTGTGGCCAGCTATTAGGAATTGCTCTTTATTATCAGGCTCTGTAGAATCTCTTTCTGTATTTCTGTATAAAGAGAACTTTGGACATTTAGCTTAATCCTCAAGCTGAAGTATCCCATTCTTGTCTTTCCTACCCATCTTACACATCCTCTCCACAGAGTTTCTTGGCATGAACCATGCAAGTCGACCTATGCCAAAATTTTATAACTATATTTAAAAAACTTTGTTGTCTTTACTGAAAGGATTTCTTTTTACCTGCGGAGACACAGATTTATTTTATTTTCTGTAAATGGAATTGTTTTTAACTCCATGTAGGATGTTACAGTTTTATAATGGGTTAAAAAACAAAGCATGGGCTCTTCTTACTAATGTCCTCTCTGCTTATGTTGTAATATGCAATGTTCTAGGGTTGACAGTGATCACTGCCACTGGGGGAAGGGCAAGGTAGCATTAAGTATTGAATTTAATTATGTAAGTATTTTTTTATAGCCTTTTAAAACAGAAACATTAAAATATGTCTTTAACGATTGCTTAATACAGATGTGGAACTGGTATTGAAGTTTGTTATGATTACCTGATGTCCATTAGTAAAACTGACAAAAGCTGCTTGAAAACTAGGCAAACTTCCATTCTTCTGGACTCACTGTAGGTCAGACCCTTTATTTTGTAAATTTCTAGTAAAACTATTCATCTGGGTATGAGATGAATTTAAAGAGCACATTTCATTAAGAGCCTCTTCTGTTTTCAAAACTGAGTTGGGTACTTGAAATATAGTGGAGTTGGAGACATGATTTTAGTTGCATATTTTGTTCTGTATTCTCAAGATTTGTCTCAACAGTGCATGCATTCAAATCTCTGGGGCACCAACTGGACCACACATGTACACATAGAGCAACTGAATAGCTCCCCACCTCAAAAAGGTCCCTCTTGTGATCTGCAGACCCACTGGAAGAAACTTCAGCTGCTTCTGAGAAACTCAAAAGATATATTTGATATTCAAGCTTATCATCAGGTTTTAATTCATGGTATTTAGTCTCTAAAGACAAAGTTTTAATGGATTACAATTTGAAAAAAATGGAAAACCAGTGTGTTGCAGAACCCTACTGGGGCTCATCTGGTGTCTCTCTGAAATTGTTCCTCTTGGCTACTGTGCCACAGAAATGAGGAATGAGACTATTTTCCTGTGTTTTCAGTGCATTTTTCCTCCAGTCTAAAACAGCACACAAGACAGCAAAATTATTCTTTTAGAGAGTACAAAGGGAGAAATTGGCAGAGGGAGAGAGAGTTTGTATGAATTACTGGAAGATGGTCTGATGTAATAGTGAAGGGATGGGAGGCTTGACAGAAATATCTGAAGTAAGGGTGTTGGCTAGAACCATTATGTGTGAGACAATGAGCTGGCAGTCTGACCTGACCCTCTTTATTTTGTACCACAGCAATAGAAGAACTCTAAAAAGAGGGGAATGGAAAAATGGGGAAGTAACAAAAGGGTTTTATACATACCTACATGGTTGGAGAAGTCATTGTTTCCCTGATTAAAGGGTTTGAATTTTTAAGATCTTGGGCTTGCTGTTCTGAGGCAAAGGTGACTGTATAAACAGCAGACATGCAGGGTGACAGTCTGGATTTAATGTCTGTGTAGAGTAACTTGAAATTTGGGCAAGAATACCATGGACACAAGCTGAATAATTTTTATGAAGAAAAATTTTTATGAAGAAAATTGCTTTTAACAGATAAAAAATCTGAAAATCTATTTATCATGTATTTCAAGTTTTCTTTCTGTATGAGATGGAGAGGAATCTTAAAAAAAAAAAAATCACTTCTCTATTTTGAGTGTTGAGGCTTAACATATATTTTCCAAGAATCTGTGAAGAAAGAGGGCTAATGATGAGAAAAGAGAAATTGTTCCTAAGAAGTGGTTATTTACATGTCTGCTTCTTTGGAAAAAGGAACTCCTTGTAAAAAAGTGAGAATTTGTTTTTATGAAATTTTACTTAGTTTAATTTCACAAGTTTTTTCTTAAGTTCAGAATAGTACTATTGAACATGTTTGCAGGATTATGACCTAATTCCATTGGGTTTGAGGTTTAATTTTTTTTTTTTTGGTTAGTTGATTGTTCTTCCCCAATAGGCTCAATATGGCATTATTCTACTATCAATTGTCCCTTTTAGCTAGAAATACAAGCACATAATAATGACTGCATCTTATCTGATGTGAATCCCCAGGAAAATTAGAAAAACCAAGGGAGTGGAAGGATCAGCAATCGGCAGAAGTCTCCTTACACAGTACATGGAGGGGAAGGTGTTGTGCTGTTTAACCTAAGGTGACTACATTGGTTAAAAGTCTTTACTGGAGTACAAGGAACTTGGAGGTGCACCTTGAAAGCAGGGAAAGCCTAAGGAGAGGCGAGAAATATCAAATATTTTGATATTTCCAAAATATCACAGACAAGGAACTTGGAGGTGCACCTTGAAAGCAGGGAAAGCCTAAGGAGAGGCGAGAACACCTGAAATCAAAATATCACAATGTGAGAAATTTAATATGGACTTAGCTCTTGGGTTTTTTTAGGACAAAACTGGGAAAAAGAAGGAGGAAAATAGCAGGTTGTGTTTACTTTACGTAGCCTTTTACTTCCATGACACTGTCGGGGTGGGATGGGGGGAAGCCAACATAACTTCTTGTAATTCAGCATTCTCTAGACCCATGTGTTAGAAGGCTTTAATAGCAGTGAGACAGTCCAGTGTTCTACTGCTGCAAGATTTGGTAAGACCTATGGAATTCCATGGAGTTATTTGCATGAGATCAACCCTCCTTTCCTGTGGCATGTGTTTCCAAGCATTTGTGTGTGTAAATCTTCATGTTTGCTTGTGAGTACCTCAAACCTCTCTATTTAGCTCAAAATTCAGAAACTGTGAAACAATGTACCAGAGTCTTATTGGTTTACTTAATGCTTTTCAATGTTGTGACCAGAAGAATAGAATCTTCATGCCTCAGGGTTGTTTTTTCTCTTAAGAAAGCTGTCAGCTTCTCCCTGCCCCCTGAGGTGTGTTCATAATAGAGATGGTGTTTCTGGATTGTAAAAACAACAGAACAGCCTCAACTGAAAAAACGAACACTTAAAACTAATAGTAAGTAAGGAAAAAAAACCCCTGTGCTATATCTGTGACAACGAGAGTGTTATTGACAAACCTTAGCCTTTAATATCTCTTGTCTCTTTTATTTTTCCCCAAATCATTCTTAAAACAGTAGTCCTGAATGTTTTTGAGTATGAAGGAGAAATATCTCCAAATCAGAATAAAATCGTCTGTTTATAAATTAATGATAGAAGTTATTAAAACCAACTAACAGTCCATTCTTAGAATGCACTTCAATTATTTTTCAAACTACACTGTAAGAATTTCTTCATTGCCATTTGTACAAACAGAGAATACTTGTTTACAAGTTACTAAAATATGACAACAAAAGTAATATTTTTCTATGGTTTACAGTTTAGCATTATATGAATTTAACATTGGAATTATCATCTTCATTTTAGTATAGGTTTTCAAAAAACACTTCTCTTTAGGAAGTGAAATTCAAATTATTGGAAAGCATCTTTAAGCTGAAGTCATATTTACTTTGATTTTCATTACTCGCTTGGCTTATTTGGTGATGATGATGTATTTTCTGTTGAATGAAACATTCTTTTTTATTTCATAATTGTTCTTGTGGTGTAACTTAAGTCTTGCACATGAGATGTAGGTAACTTTTTTCCATGATCCAGTTGTGTCCAAAACACCAGAATTCTTTCCAGGCATAGGAAGCTGACTGTTAAATGTGATGTGTTACTTCCAGCATCTCCAAACCACTGAGTGTTCTTGTGTGAGCTGTTTTCCTGGACGTTCCAGCATTGTAATTCCTGAAATAAAAGCAAAACACTGCCACATATCTCAACCACATGTATTACTGTCTAATGTGATTTATTAACCATGTCTGTCATGGTAGCTGGGATAGAAAAAGGAAAAAAAAAATGTAATTAAAATAAATTTCCAATTTCTTGAAGCAGAAAATGTCTCCTGCATAGTGTAAGCTTTTTACCAGTGTAAGAGTCGAATCCCGGAAAAAATGCCCTGGTTCTGCTGCACTGGCTCAACTGATACCTTGTCTCGTGGTCTGGATCTAGATTTCTGCATAAATTTCCATGTGAAAAGACAAAATTATGGGGATGGGCTGTTTTTCATTAGCACATTTATTGTAATTTTACAACATGAATTGAAGGACAGAGCCCCCAAATGCTCTTCAAAAGGGTTTCAAATTAAATGACCTTAAAATGACACAACCAGGCGGTGACATATTGCAGATTGCCTGTGCATATGCCAAAGCCCGTGGGCCAGCAGTCTCGTGGAGTAGTACCAATTACCTGCTGAACTGTTCATGGAAATGCAGAAATGCTGGCCAAAGTGGGGCTTCACGATAGGGTGAAAAATACTCTTGACATGCTCATCTTAAAAACATTAAATCAGGAGGTAACTTAAGAGACAAGGTAAGAGCATGTTTCTTTTCTTTTTCTACTGGAGGCTGAGATTAATTAGTTGTCATCTCCTAAATTTCAGATAATCTTTTAGGTATGCACTGTTAACTGGAACTTCATTTTCCTTTGAGGTAACACCGACTTTACAAAAACACTTCTCTACTTCTGCCTTGCTTTTTCTTGTCCCTTTCCTGGTTTACACCGTTTTATTTTTGCCAGTGCAGTTGTTTGTGGGGCAGATCAGTGACATGCTACACGCAAACCCATGGATCAGTTTGGGCCAGGAGAACCTACTGATAAGGTATTCACCAAAGAAAAACCTGATATCCAGAGTTACCTTCCAATTAGCTCACAGCTAATGAGCCTCTCAGCCGATGGAGCTCGGAGGGCCGGGAGAACAAAGAGCAGCGAGCTTGTGGGCAGGCAGTGCCTTGGCTGCTGTGAGTCAGCAGCCCACAGGGGACCGGCACACTTTGATCCAAAGCTTCACAAGCCTTGCGAGGGCTGCCGTGGTTGGTGCCTTGTTTAATCTTTGATAAGAGCTTATGCTCTTTTTACTCTGCTTAAATTTATTTCAAAGCGTGGAGTGGCACATGCATAGAGTGAGCAGCGATCCAAATCTGCTGTCCTCTTTTATCGTGTATCATTTGCTAAATAAAAAATTCATGATTATCCACATGTTCCAGCGAAACGTTTCGGCAAGCTTTATCATAAATTAATCGGGAGAAGTACTGGTCTTAAAAGCTCATATTTTGTAGCACTTCTATAATGAAATAAGGTTTTGCTTTAAGTTGAGTTGCTTTCAGGACTAAGGATAGGTTTCCTTTCAGAGCACTGTTTAAAATAGTTTGTCTTTTATTAACATGCTAATAAAGTTAACTGGCAGAGAGAGCACTGTTCTAGTGAATATTTAGCAAGAATGTTACCTATGACTTCTGTCGGCCTGAATATTCAGAGACGTGAGCTTTGCTTCATTTCTTCATGACTGCTAACAATAACCAAGTTGAATGACTGGAAATTTATTTGCTTAGAAGTTCCAAGAGCTGTTCTCCATTTTTATTGCTGGAACCAGTTTCATGTGTGTGAGATAAATTGAATTGCCAGTTCTTATCAGCTGTCATTCAACGTCCGTATTAACTAGTAGATCTATTAAAAACAGTGGTTGCAATTGGAAACTTCACAGTACTGTTGAATTTCTCTAAGAGTTTAGTCATGGAATCAATGATTTAAATATTCTATACTGTCTTTTTTGTATCCTATACGTTTAATATGTGTGCGCAAGAAGTATCCTCTGATGAAGCAGGTCCGCACTCAGGAGAGGAGCGCTAAAGGCGAGCACGTACGCTGCCAAGTTTGTAGTGTCCTGTAAGAGTGTGCAGCCGAAATAGAACCGGAGTGCCTTTGGCCGCCCCTCGTGCTGCGGGGGCTGGCGCGTTACCTGCTGGGGCGGTCCGTGCGGTGCCGCTGAGAACGCGGCTCCCCGCGGGGCAGTGCCAGGGCGGCCAGAGGCTCCCAGGGCCGGCTCCGCGCCCGCGGCAGCGCGGCCATCCCCGGCCCGGCCCGGAGCAGAGCGCGGCCGCCCGGGCGCCACCGCCGCTACCGACAGGGAGCGCCGCACAGCAGCGCACGGCCGCCCCGGCAGAGCCTCCTTCTGATTGGTCACAGAACCTGTCGCTCTCGCCGCTGCCCCGCCCCCTTCGCGCCCTGTGTGTTCCTACATAAGGGCGCGCGTGACGCCAGGCTGGGGTTGCCATGTGCGCATGCGCGATCGAGCACAGGGCCGCGGCATCGCTCCGGGAGGGGCGGGGCAGCTCCGGGGGCGGGGCCCGGCGCGGGGGCCGACGGGACGGATCAAGATGGCGGCGGGGCGGACGGGAGGCGCCCGCGGCCCCGAGCGGCGCCCGCCCCATTCATCGCGGCTGTGACGGGCCGGGGCCCGCCAGAGCGCCCGCAGAGCGCCGGGAGCGAGCCCGGGGCAGCGCCAGCGGCAGCGGGACAGCGCTCGGACCCGCCGGGCGCCCGTGACAGGGCGGGTCGGAGCGCGGGCCGGTGCCGCCGGCGCAGCGGACATGGCCACCATGGAGAAGCTGACGAAGGCCTTCGAGTCGCTGCGCTCCTTCCAGCAGCAGCAGGGCCCCGCTGCCCTCCCCGAGGAGCCGCTCCAGAGACCGTGAGTGACCCGCGGCCGGGACTCGGGGGCTCCCACGCGCGTGTCCCGCATCCCCCGGCCGGTTCTGGTCCCGCGGGGCCCCGAGCCGGGCCCGGGCGCTGCCCTGTCCCTTGGCAGCCCGCGGCTCCCGCAGACGTGTCGGGTGCTGCTGGCGGTTCTCTGCCGAAGTTCAGATGTGGAGTAACTTTAGGGGTAAGCGCGTTTGAAAAGTCACCGGTGCGGGAGATGAACGGGAGGTACAGCAGTGCTTGTGGGTTTCACAGGCTGGTTCTAGGAAGGAAAACCTTTTTATCGCCTAGTACACCGCTGCAAAAAAGGCAAAAACCTTTAAGCATAACTTGAATGAAGCACTGCTTTTAGCATTTTTCCTTCTGATAACTGCTGAAGCACTTTTTGTGAGACCTTGTTTATCTGTGCTTGATGCTTTCTGTGTGCCTTTCTCTGAACTTTGCAGCTTTCTTGAAATGAGAATTCAAGGCTGAGCAAGAGAAATTTCTTCCACTCTGTTATTCACTTTTCATATCTTTAAGTGTTGATTGTTTTTCAGTCGGATTTCTTCTTTCTTATAAGAGCAGTGCCCTGAAAGTTCATGTTGAAGTTGAAAACAAGTTTTGATATTTGTGAATTAAAAATTTAAATAGAGTTGAAGTTTCAGCTCTGATGCTTTCAAAAGGATGTCTCTTTGTGACAAAGTTCTTTTAAAGTTTTGTGCTGAAGTGTGCTGCACAGAGACCCAAGAGAAGTTAGTTTAAACGTTCCTAATATCTTTTTTCTTTTTTAAATGTGAGGGATAAATGTGTTAGATCCATGAGATATTCAGGTTTCCCGTTGGGGGGCATTACTGGGGCAAGGAGCTGTTCAGTGCCACGGTGCTGCCCCTTGCCTTTGCACCCTCTAACACCAGCTTTTACCCAGCAGTGTGAGGGCAGTAAGGCTTTTAGGGATAAACACATGAGTCACACCAATACTTTTTCTCCTGCTGTTGGGGAGAAGGGGGAAGCAGAAGGGTTGAGGAGCAGGTAACTTCTAACTTGGCAGTTTGCTGTGGTGCTGCAGAGGAAGCAGAGCAGTGGCTCTGGGCTCTTGGCCACCTGCTCCCACTGCACTTTCTGCTACGGTTGCCAACTGAATTAGCACGGTTGGTGCTGTTCCTCTCTGGAGAGTGTTGTCTCAAACCATCACAGTGCATTTCCACACTTCTGATGCTTAATAGGTGAGAAAACTAATCTTCTTCATGAACTAGTTGTTCTTAGGTGCCTTACTGGTCTGCAGGGACTAATTGCTCTGTTTTGTGCATTTTCTTTTTGCTAGTACTTTGTGTGACATGGATGAACATCTATTTCCAGTCTTTCCTAGGTGCTGTTCAAATTTCTGTCTTGAAAGTTGCTGGTGAGAGAGGTCATGGTATTGCAAGAGAAAATCCTTAGAATTATTTGTGATGCTTGTGGTACTGTGCTTGGTTTGGTGTCTAAATTTAGGCATGTTCTACTGTAAACATTAAAAAATTAGTGTTGCAGTTGTCCTCGTTGACTTTGCTTTGTGTATAAAAATAGGCTGTTTTCAGAAAGCTGATGGGATTGTATGCCCCAGGAACTGGACAAATTCAGTGACACACTGAGCCTCATAAAAGCCAGTAAAAAGCTGTTGTGGCAGCCTTTGCTGAGGCTTTCCAGACTTTTAGTGAAATAGCAGGTGACATATTGAATGTAATTCACAATACTATCTGCATTTATTTTTTCTTGTTTGTAGTAGACTGGAAAGGAAAATTGTGTTTGGGGAGAAATGTTCATCTTTGTTGTGGTTCTCTGTAAATAACACATAAATCTCTTGAAGTTCTGTGTAGTAAGTTCCTGTCATCCTACTGAGGATTGTCTCCTCCTGTGACATGTTTTAAGATCAGAGAGATTGGGGTAGAGAAGAATTAATTGTTTACCCAGCAGGTATCTATATCTTTCTTCACTTTATTGTAAGACAATGACTCCAGAACTTCTGATAATACTGATATCTTCTCTTTTTTTATTAAAATCTTAATAAAATCCAAGCTTTTACCAAGAAGATAAGATCTTTTTCTGTTTCAAGAGATTTTAATCAGCAGTAATCATGTGTTCTGCTTACATTATGCCTTACAGTCAGATGTCAGTCTCTGGTCCCCTTTCTTATCTCTTGTTGGGGTTTTTTTCCCTTCTATGTAGACTTGAGTTCTCTTTCATATTGCTTCTATACACTTCTGCTTGGACAACTAATTTTCTTCCTTATATTTTTTCAGCTTTTTCAGACTCTGACATTTTGTTACAAGTTGGATGTTTTGTTTTGGATCACAAAGCTCCCACTAACTTAAAAGTTGATTAGTATGGTGTAAAAATTTAGAGTTTGATTTGTGAATCCAAAAGTGGATTCTTTACATTTTCTCTTGTCAGTTTATTCTAATAGTCACTTACTGTAATTGTTTTCAGTTTTTTTTTTTTTACATTTGATGCTAACCATTAACTTTACAGCAAAAGGTACTGTAAAAGCCCAAGCAATATGCTTTATTCTATACTCACAATTTTTCTGTGTCTTTTATGTTTGACTGAAGCTGTGGTCATGGATTGGTTTGATCAGTGCTATATGGAGGCCTAGCATTAAGTTTTTGTTTTGCTGAAGATCACACAAATTGCATAGGTATTACCTGTTGCCCTGCTTGTCAGAAGTGGTTCCTTGATGGTTTTTTGGCATTACTGTGTCTAGGGTGTGTAGTAGACCAGTTCTGGTTAATTTGACAATCCATCACTGCCTGCATTACTGCACCTTGTTTCCAGTGTCCCCTGTATTGGACTGAGTGTATTTCGTGATCCACTCATGTTTCTGTTGGTTATTAAAAGAACAGGTTTTAGTTTCTGTTATTTTTGTCAAGATTAACGTCAAGCCATTTGGTTTGGTCCTTTTTTCTTACCACTGGCTCAGCTTTACATATTCTGTACTCTTCACATATTCTTAATTTCAAGGTCTAATAAAAATGAGCATCGGTGAGCTGCAACTCCTTGTAGTCAGCTCATCTGGACTCAGAGGGCAAAATTACCTGGGCTTGCTGGTTTTCTTACATTGTTTGTTAATCTTCCTGGTGTGTAGAAGTACAAGGAGGTTAAACTCCTCTGTGAGTGAGATGGAGCTTTCCTGTTGATAACTGCTGCTTCCATATTTTCTGCCTTCGGTTACTCATCAGATGTGTGTGATTGATTCATCAAATGTGCGATGCTGTTGTTGCCCCCCTGGGTATGCTCATCAGCAGTTTGCCTGTGGACTTCATGATACTTCTCAATAGAGCTTTGTTTGGTTTTTTTGAACTAAAAAAATCACGTGTTTTCTCTTTAGATACGGTTCTGTTACCCTTCTCCCTCTGTAGGCACAGAAAATATGTGCACATGCATAGTAATGCATTAAGCGTTTTCCTTCCATCTTTCATTTCTTTAAATTATTTTTTTTTTGGAAGTTATATTTTCTCTAGCCAGGTCTTTTTATGTTTTGAAGTTACTTATTTCAGCAAGGTGTAGATTATGTGTTAGTGGTGCTCTCTGCTTGCAGAAATTTGCCCAAGAGATTGATCTCTGCTAGTCTGAGCAATATTGAACACCACTGCCTGCCTTGCTCAGGGCTGTGTTATGTGTAGGTAATAGAGAACTTTATTCTGGTAGTAACCTTTGTCAGCAGTATTTTCAATATGTCTTGTATCTGAAATAGTGAGCTTATGGGCAAGTTCAGATGTGCCTGTTCTATTTTTGGGTCGAATATGTACTGAAAGTGGTGCTCATAAGAGCTTGGGAGTGCTGGGTAAAATTAGCACGAAAGTTGAAATGATTTAATCATTTTCCGAGGCGCCTGCTCACATCAGTGGTGCTGATGTTGCAAAATTAGTTGGACATCTTGGACAGTATTTGTTTTTTTGTTAAGAGATGGTCTGAAATGCTGCTAAAGACTCTGACACTTTTTCAGGATGGAGAGAAAGAAAGACATTGTGTATCTTGAACAAATTCAGGTTGTCTGCTCATATTCTGCCAGTGTCTTAAGCCCAAGAAGAGAGATCCTCTTGGCTGTTTAGCTTGCCTAAATAAAATGTTGCCAAACTAAAACAGAAAAATGGCTTTGTTCAGAGCTGTTCTTTAAACTTATAAAAGTAGAAAGTATTTCTGGGATGAGATGAGATTTTCTTTGTGAGAAAAATTGAAATGTTTGGAACAGATTTTTGAACCCCTCACTTCCAGCCTGAGGGAAGAAAAGGGACAGGGATACTGCGATGACTGAGATACTAATGACTTTTTTTTCAAAACCTCTATTATTATTTGAGCTGAAATTCCTAAATAATACAGTGTAGTTGTTTAAAAACACTTGTCTAACACTGTGTTTTGAGTTAGCAGAATTTAATGTGCTTATTGGCTACTTGCTGTTGGCCCTTGATGTTGCATTACTGCTATTCGTTTAATTCAAGGCTGCTCACATTGTTTTCCAGCTTCTAGCTCAGAAACACTGTTTTGCTGTTTCGTGATTTTTGCTATTTTTTACTGAGAGAATGAAATACTAAAAATTATCAGTTTTCACTTGGAAAACAAAAGGGAAGATTCTCTGTGAATGTGAGTGAAGAAGCTGGTAATTCTTTGTTGTGAAACACTCAGCAGAGATACCTTTGGGTGGGTGGTTTTGCTCCAGTATTGCTACTGCTTAATTATTTAAAAGTAACATCTGCTTTCCTAGAATTGATTCTGTGTCGGTGAAGTTAGGAGTAGGAGAGACTGCAGATTTGAATAAAATTTCCCAGTCAGAGCTGGGAGTCTGTCTTGCTGTCTTTTTTCAGTTCCTTTCTTGGGGGTGGAGCAGGGAAGAGCTGCTATTCCAAGAGCTTGTATCACGTTGAAGTGAATGCTAAACACATTCTGCAAAGGAGAAGCTTTTCATATTGTACTCTCTATTGTTTGTAGATACACATTCTTTGTTTCTGTGCGTTTTGTTCTCTTTATTGTGCACTCAGCTGGGCCTTTCCTGGGCTATACCAAGTGTTCCTAAAGGGATGTTGTCCTGGGTGGGCAGACTGCCTTGGGCTTTGCTGGTTTTGTGATCACCTTTGGAGGAATGTAGTGTACGATGGCATTGCTTTGTCACCCTTTGCAATTCAGATGCAAATTGTCCATTCAATACAACTGGAAGTTTCAAGACATTGGCAGACAGAAAAAAATCTAAGGTGATGCTATGTAGGAGGAGGGTCTTTTAAAAAAAGCTATTTTTTGTTCTCATGGCTTATTTTCTCCAATCTTCTTCTTTCTATCACTTCATTTTATTTTTGCTTTGTTCTAGGACTGCCTCATTTTTTCTATCCTTTCCCTCTGCTCTTCTTCATTCTTCAGTTTTCATTCCTAAGCATTTTCTCAGTGAAAGTTATGGAATTAATGTGATATTCTCTATTAAGTGCTTAATTCTTCATTCTTTTCCTAAGTTTCTATTTCTCCTTTGCTTGTGTGCCCATGTACTCTCACAGCAGCTGCAGATGAGCTCCTGAGTCTGCAGGTAGTTGGTGTACAGCTGTTTATGGAGTGACCAGAGAGTGCAAATGCATCTTCTTCTTGAGTAATGATTAGACACTACTTTAGCAAGTGTTTGAATGGTCACTTTTGAACTCGTCTCACACTCATTGTCATCATGTTCTTCCTTTAGAAAGAAAGAACTTGCAGCTACCAAGAAAGATCGGGTGAATCATTGTCTAACAATATGTGAAAACATAGTTGCTCAGTCACTAAGGTAAGGCAATGTCTTTAATTTATTGATTATTTATGAATGTCTTTAATTCATTAGGATGAATAACAACCTCAGAATATTAGTTGTTGAGAGGATTCCTTATAATTGCTTGTTTAAAATGCTGAGCTTCTATTTAAAACTGAAATGGTGTGAGTTTTTTTTTTTTTTTAACTAACTCAAAATCTAAGAAGGACTTTTGTTTGCCTGTTGGTGGAGTGGGCACTTTTCCTTCTACTGCAGACAGAGAAACTTAGGCACAGAGGTCAAATATCTTACCAGGTTATGGAGGAAAGAGTTGGGAAATGATCTCCCAACTCCTAATGAAGTGCTGTAGTACACTGAATGTCTTCTCCTCTTGCATATGTGTGTATAGTATATATGTAGTTGGATTATAAAACCCTTTCAAAAACTTCATTGGTGTTCATTTTCATGGTGCACATTGTAATTTTCTAATGTTTTTTTTTATTTAGGAATTCCCCAGAATTTCAGAAGCTGCTGGGCATTGCTATGGAACTCTTTCTCCTCTGCAGTGAGGATGCAGAATCTGATGTCCGGATGGTTGCAGATGAATGCCTTAATAAAGTTATTAAAGTAAGAGCTTTTACTATCACATTTTGTCTCTTCTTGATGCAGTGTCCTGTCTGAATTCCCACTGATGTTCTTTTAGTTGCCTTTCTTACTGTTGATAATATCTCATAATGTAAGTAAGCTTCTGTGCTAAGTTCTGTATGTGCAGAATGTGTTCTCTCTCTCTTAGGAGAGGTTTTTATGCCCAGATCAACACATTTAACTTTAACTTGTCTTATGTAATTCATTGTTCTAATCTATTCCTGTCTTCAATTGTTCATTAACTTTGTTCTCTTCAAGTTAACCAAAACAGGAATGTGGGCTTTTCTGAAATCATCTTGTGTGGGAGGAATACTCCTATTATTGTTCTGTAAACATAAAGACACTTAGCATGAGGAAAGGTAAAAATATTATATAAAAGTTGATTGAAATGTAATATGGTTTGCTGAGGCTTGGAGGAGGAGATTTCAGGCAGTAATTAGAATAAATATTTTTTTTCTGGAGATTGTTTGTTCCCCTGCTGTGATCCAGAATGAAGAGCTTGTTGGAGAACAGCAGATGGGCATTCATAGGAGGTCATCCAAGGTCTAAATCTTGATTCAAAGTATCTTAAAATGAACCTTATGAGTAATTTGTAGAAGCTTCTGTTTCAAGAAAGGGCTTGTGTTCACTTCCCTTTTTTTGGGTTTGTTTTTTTTCTGGAATACTTGAACTTTAAGACACTGTTATGTACCTCATAAATAATCTAGTTGATGCAAAGTTTAAGTGCTTTAGAAATATGCAAATAATAATTTTCTTTTATGTGTAGGGGTGTATAGAAGCAAGAAAGCTAAACATTTGTATCTGAATGAATTAAGTTTTAGGGATTGAGTTTGTGGCTGAAAGTTGTATGGAGAAGCTTACAGATTGTGTAGTGTGTTCCATAATTATAGGGAATGAGGAAGTGCGAGTTCCTTGCTTTTTGTTTGGCCCAATAGCATTTTGCTCTTTTCCTTTTGATTTGAATGTTTCTCTGTTGCAGGGAGAGCACTCTGTGAAATGCATACATTATTATTTAACTCAATTTGCTTTAAAAGCTCCTCTGAAACAGTCCTAAAGAATAAAAGCTTATTTCCTACTTTCCATGAAACACTTACGTAGGCTTGGTATAAAATTTACCTCAAAAATTCTCTAATTTATTTAATATTGTTGCTTTCTGGCATGTTTCAGGGTAACTTGAAAAACCTATTTTTTTCCCCCAAATGTTTGTATGGTAGTTTGTTTTGTTTTCAAGATTAAAGTGGTTTTAAATGATGGCATCTTCTGTCAGTCATTAAGCTTGGCAGTTGGTCTCAGCTCTGAAGTGGTAACAGTTGTGACATTCCACACACGTGGATGTATCAGGCTGTTATGGAGGCTGGTTGTACTTTGTATTCTCTTTCTGTGCTTTATGTTGTGTGGAAGCAATTTAGCAGCTCGGAGGGACACTTGTGCATAAACGCAGAAATAAAAAGATGTCCAGTTTTATTTTTGATTGTGCAAGTGCCAGTGATGCTTGTGGTAAGTAGAACAGAGGTGTTGGGCCCCTAAGCTTGTATTTTAGTCAAAGTTCAGCCATTTTTTAGAATCTCAGGCGTTTTTAGAGGCTAATTCTTTTGCTCGTTAGCAAAAGATGCTTTGTAGCTTCTCTTGAAATAAAATACTATAGATGTAAACATTACTTGTGTAACTTTGTGTCTGTCTGGAGTTTATGCTCATTACTGTAACTAGAAAATGAACTCTTCTGTGCAGACAAGGCTGAGCACATAACTTTAGATAAACACTCTGTAAGTCATCTTCAAGTATCACTACACCTGCCTGTCAGAACCTCAAAGACAGCATAAATGGCTCAAAATTTAAATAACTGTGGTGATACCTTTAAAAGAAAAAACACCAAGTTGGGACTTTGCAGGTTTCTGTGGGTGAGGTCAAGCTGCCTTGTCTCTAAAGCTGATGCATGCTGTTGTAGTATTCTCTGTGCTAATGGTGCAAATAACTGTTCACACAGATTGCAGTGCAATTGGCCTCAGTATTTGGAATTTATTGCTGTAGCAGTTTAGAGCTGAGTATGCTTTTTTTCCAAAGATGACATTGTAGATTCTAGCCTGCTAAAAATACAGCTGTACACTAACAAAAAGAGTTCCTGTAATTGGGTGTGTTGTAAGGACAGCTTAGCCTCAAAGTCAAATAATAGCTGGGGCCTTTTTGTGTTGCTTGATATCCTCATATATATATGGGCAGTGAACTCCTCATAAAAACTAAGTTTTGTGAAGTAAATCCTACCTGCTGTCATCGTGGCACCTTCAGTCTATAGTTGGGGTGCTTATGTTAATATAAAGATACAACCCAGGTAAGATTTTTCTGGGGAAGGCAATGCCATTGTACTGTAACAGGTGTAATTGGGGTGAATGGAGTTTTGGAGCATACAATTTTAGGCTGGGGAGATCATGCTCTGCAGGAACCACGGGCATTCCACTCACTGTGCTGGAGCAGTTGTGGCTTCTAGCTCAGTGGGTGACATCAGATTTTGTAGTCATCATGAGTAATCCTGTGAAGATGTGAGTTTAATCCAGGAAGGCAGTTAGAAAATTAGAAATTAATAAATTATTGGGCAAGGAATAAAAAATTTAATACTCCACAATATAGCATTGTATGAATTTACAACATAGGTACTTTGAGATTGCATGAGGGTCTCATCTCATCAGAGCAAGAGCTATTAATTTATTAACAGAGATTTATTAATAAATTGTAGTACACACTAGGGAAAAAAGTGGAGGAGGAAGGGTAACCATATATATACAAATTGTTCTGTATGAAGAGATTATATTTTCATATCTTTTTATTCTCTGATACTTTGAAGGTAGAGAATGATCAAGTTGGGATGAACAGAAAATTACTGGTTCTCTGTGCTTGCTTTCGTTTCATGTACACTGGGTTTTAGCCAGGCTGCAGGTTTGAGCTCTGTTGCTGTATGCTTGATTGGATCCTGGGATGTGACACTTGTGGTATGCAGAGCTCCTTGTGGTGTGTGTACTAACTGTTTGTAGAAAATAGGCTGATTCGTGAAACAAAGGGTTTTCAGGAGCTGTTAAAGGTAATGGTACAAATACTGCTTCGGTTTGAGAAATAGTAGGAGCCTACTTGACAGTGGGGGAGTATAGCAGGGAGTGCCTTTTTGCTGCTTGTGAATGCTGTTCTTGTGTTTTAATGTTCTGTTCATGAGTAGCTGTTCTGGTGATTGCCAGAAAGCACAAGAGGTCGGCTCTGCTTCTAGGCTGATCCCATATGGCCTTTTGCAGGTAGAGTTGGTAAAATAGTCAACATTTAGTGCAAGTAACTGTTAGAGTTTGTGGAGTTTGTCTGCATTTGTGTGAAGGATAAAGGTGTCTCTTCTCAGTATTTATCACTTCCTTAGTTATACATCAAATAGACCATTAGATAGTTCAGTGTCTTGTTTGAAGCTGTTCTACTGCAAGTGTGACATTTTTCGTGTAAAGCACCTCCCCTCTGATACAGTATGTTCTCAATGCATTTTATTGCAGGCTTTGATGGATTCCAATCTTCCCAGGTTACAGTTAGAACTGTATAAAGAGATTAAAAAGGTGAGTGATTTTTCTTTCATGTTCTTTCTTCTGAAATGTGGTATTTAGTATGTGTTCTAGTATATTGGAAGATAGCATTAGTGTAAATTAGTAAGTTTGTCTTTTAAGATCAAGGTCAAATCTTCATTTTTAGAAGGAATTGTGACTGTTTTAAAGTACTATTCTACTGAGTTCCTCACTGCTGTCCCCATTGTTTGGATTTAACCACTCCAGAAAGCTTATCTGGCAGAAAATGTGTGAGCATTTGGTTTGAATGGCAGTTTGATTTAACCTTAGTGACTCCCTACCCAAAGGAATAATTCATGATGTTTGCTCCACTGACTTAGCTGGAAAGAATTACTCAAACCAAAAAGGTGATGGAAAGAAGATGGAGGACAGTGGCATTCTTAATTGACACAACCTCATGGAGAATTAAGGCTTGAAGTAACCTGATACAACTACTTTATGAATGTGTGATATGTACTTACAGCTTCTTACAGAGGCATAGGGAAAAATACTGAAGTATCTCTCTAGGTATCCAAAGCTATAATTTAATTATGTCCACGTGGCATTCTTAATTGACAAAACCTCATGGAGAATTAAGGCTTGAAGTAACCTGATACAACTACTTTATGAATGTGTGATATGTACTTACAGCTTCTTACAGAGGCATAGGGAAAAATACTGAAGCATCTCTCTAGGTGATGCTTCAAAAGCTACAATTTAATTATGTCCATAGGAAGAACTTTAGTAATAGCCTTTTTGAAGTTTGTGACTGCAGAAGAGAAATGCCATGTTTAGGACAGTATCACTGAAATTGTGTCTCTTACATCTATAAATGTGGTCAGGCTTGTATAGAGAGAAAATAGAGGTGTTACTTGTCAGACAGTAATGATGCTGGGTTGTTTTTTTTGGTTTGGTGTTTTATTTTGTTTGTTTTTTTTTTTTTTTTTTTTTTTTTTTTTTTTTTTTTTTTTTTTTTTTTTTTTTTTTTTTTTTTTTTTTTTTTTTTTTTTTGTGTTTTTTTTTTTTTTTTTTTTTTTTTTTTTTTTTTTTTTTTTTTTTTTTGTTTTGTTTTGTTTTGTTTTTTTCTTTTCTTTGTTTGTTTGTTTGTTTGTTTTTGGAGGGATAATAGAGCTCTAGAAGATAAGTCGCAAAACCGAGGCGCGTGGCTTTTCTTCTGTTAGATGTAGGGATGTAGATATATGGATATCTTACTGTATTGCTGTGCCTTAATGTCATGCAATATTTTTGAGAGTGTGGAAATGGACATTACCTAATTAGCAGAAAACAGCCAACATACAAATTGCTCCAAAGTTCCTGCAGATTTATAACGAGGTGTAGGAGGAAATATTTTGTTGTTCAGTTGGTGTGTACTTCTTGAAAGGTGCTCTTGGCTTCATGACAGGTGACACAGAGGTAGCATGTGTGACAGGAGCACCCAGCAGGCTGAATTTTATTTGTGCATGAGGATCACTTCAGAAGCCATGCCAGAATGTGTTGTTAGGCTGTGAACCTGAGAAATGTTTTGTAATTCTAATGCGAGTATTTTTTACTTGACATGCTAACAAGGCCACAAGCCTTTGATGTACCAGCTGAAGAAAGTAATAAAGAAACGACAGTTTTTAAACATCTCAGTTTTGTTTTCAGGGGACTCAATTTGAGAAGCATTTTGGTTGGGTTTGAGCTATATTAGGTAGACAACCTCCTAGGCATCTTGACTTCCAGAGTTTTCTGTATTTCTAACAACATTAAGGAATTGTACTACATCCCTAGACACTAATGCAAGGGCATTCTGGTTCAAGTCAGGTGCACAGTGGAAGGTGTCAGTCCAGGCAGATAGATACTAAACATCAGCTGTCAATCCATTATGAAGTGCTACAGATCAATATGTTGATTTTTCCTTTGGTGCACTCAGAAGCTGAATGTTTATTTGCATATCTTCTCTGCTGTCAATTTTGTGCTGTATTTATATCCCTGCAAGTGTTCCAGTGATTTTCAGACTCTCATATCATCAGTGTTTCTTTGTTGGCTGTTGTCTTTTCTCTGTGGTATTTTAAGCAGATTTCAGCAGAGCAGAGTTCTCAGACACTTCCTTTTCTTTAGTGGTGTTCCTTATTATTCATTTTAGATTACTCAGAAAACTCCTAATACCATCTAGAAAAATGAAGGTAGTCATGGAACTGACTTGACTTCCTTTTGGCTAAAGGAAATTTATATTTTCCAGACACTTTATATTTTTTTTTTTGTTTAAATAAAATATACACGATTGTATGTTATAGGCAGTTCTTTGTAGGGAACGGTTTTGCATGATGAAATGTGATAGTTATATACTCTGTCTAGAATGGTGCTTCAAGAAGTCTGCGTGCTGCACTCTGGAGATTTGCTGAGCTTGCCCATCTAGTTCGGCCTCAGAAGTGCAGGTAAACACATTCTAATAATGAACTTTCCAAAGAACCTTTAAAGAAATACAGATGTTAACAGAATGTTACTGTTTGGAAATTTTAAATATGTAATTAGGAGGTTGGAGGAATTGCTATCACCTTATTCTCTCTGAATTTTTCATCAGTGTGTGTTTTTTTTAATGGAGTTTTAGTTCTATGCTATACATTACTGTAGGGGGGGGAGCTTGTAAAGATAATGACTTGTATTTTTTAAGTGTATTCTTCTCTTGCATTCAGATAATTGTTCTTTTTTTCCTGTGTTCTGTGTAGCTATCAGATACATTTTTGTATGATTTAGTAATACCACAGAACTAGAATATGGGTTAAAAGTACTTAGAAGGGTTCAGTTGTTCTGATCTCAAATCACTTTCTCTCCTGTGCCGTACACAGGCCGTACTTGGTGAACCTTTTGCCCTGTCTGACTCGGATAAGTAAGAGACCTGAGGAATCAGTACAGGAGACGCTGGCTGCAGCAATACCCAAAATCATGGCAGCCTTTGGCAATTTTGCAAATGACAATGAGATTAAGGTACCTTTCTTTACCCTATTAGTGCTCCCTGTTCTATCCCAAAGCATGGCTAGTTATCAGCAGTACCAGTCTTCATGGTACAGAAAGCAGCGTTACAGCTGCATGTCTGAATTAAGGCAGTAGCTGCCTTTGCTTGCTGTGCATGAAGTAATGCTTTGAATAAATGAAATATACATTTGCTGGCTTCTTAGTTCACTTCTGATAAACAGTTAAGTAAGTTGTCTTTGCTTCTAGGTTTTGTTGAAGGCTTTCATAGCTAATCTTAAATCCAGTTCCCCCACGATCCGTCGAACAGCAGCAGGATCAGCAGTAAGCATCTGTCAACATTCACGAAGAACACAGTATTTTTATGCCTGGTTACTGAATGTGCTTTTAGGTAAGATTCAGGGCAAAAAAATTAATTTGCTTTATGTGTAAGTAACATTACATGTTTTTCCATGTACGAATATGTATTGCTTTGCATATGTGAAAGGTTTTCAGGTAAAGGAAGGATACTTTGACTACCAGTTACACTGCTGATACTTTCTCTATCAGGTGTTAAGTTAGAGGAAGATATTTCCAAAGCTATTTGTCTCTCTCTGTGTGCTGCAGTGCTAGTAAGTAATATTGAAAAGAAATAGCTGAGGCTTGGGAAGCAAGTAGCTTGCTGGAAAATGAGGTCTAAGGATTCTGGGTGAACTTGCACAGCATCAGGAGTCTGAAGACTTGCATGGTGCATCAGCTTGGTTGTTAGTGCAGCAGGTCTGAGGTGGAGAGTACTCTGCTGTGCTCTGGGCCATGATCACATACCCTGTGACCTTTCTTAGAAGGACCACCACATAGATTCTGTTATAACTTAGAGCAGAAATTGAGGATTTTTTTATTTAAAGTGCACAACTTTGTATCAGGTATTGCTTCTTTATTTCTTCAGCTGTGAAGTTTGCATGGTCTTCATGTTGTTTTGCAAGTCATGGCCAGAGGCGTCTCTGGCTTTCAGTGGAAACTTGTCTCAGTTTTGTCGTTGACAAGGGGTTCTTTACTGTGTAGACTGTCTTGCAAAAGGAGATATAAGGAAGACCAGCAGATACATAAGGTGTTACCATGTTAGCCTTGCTGCTTTCAAGAAGTGTGAAAAATTCAAATGCTACATTGTGATTTTCCTCCCTCTAAAGTCATGTGTGATAATTTCTTTGTCAGTGATGCAGAATTCAAACAGAAACACGAATGGGAACTCCAATAATTGATTCTGATTTTTTTTCTCCTCCCTGGATAGAAGGTTGTGTTTTCTCCCATAGTTTATATTCGTTTGTAGTATGCTTTGGGGTTGGTTGTGATTAGCAGGTAGGTATATGGAAGAAAGTTCCCAAAACTGGGCAAAGTGCAAATATCTTCCATTTGGATAATAGTGCATTTGTGAGCAAGGGAATTGCACACAATTGGTGTAAGCTGTCAGGTGGAGAGAGGAGGCAGGTGAGAGGAGCAAGAAAGTCTAGATCATTTGATGAAAGCATCAGCTATTTAAAAAAGAATTGTGTTTTATTGTAGTAAAAAGAGAAACAGGCAAGGTGAGACAGGATCCTCTGGTCATTCTCCCATACTGCTTAATTGATTGTCAGTAGTATGAAATACATAAAAATTGCTGCTAGGTTTTGGTTGCTTTGTTTTGTTGTGGGTTTTTTTTTTTTGTTATTTAAAGAAGCTATTATATGGACTGCATGAAATAACATTTGTGTTGAAAATAACCACTGTCAGTAAGTTATTTGACCACTTTGTTTCTCCCCTCAGGCTTGTTGGTTCCTGTAGAAGATGATCGACCTACTCTTTTAATTCTGGGTGTTTTACTTACACTAAGGTATCTCATACCTTTATTGCAACAACAAGTGAAAGATACCAGCCTGAAAGGCAGTTTTGGTGTAACAAGGAAAGAAACAGAGATTTCACCTTCACCAGAACAACTTATACAGGTAAAATATGAATAATAACCCTTACCTGAAGAGTACTAATGGGGAAGGAAATAAATAAATAGTGATCCAGCAATTATTCTGGTACTGAACACTCTGAATTTTCAAATTCCTGTTTGTCTTGATAAATGATAGTTGGTCCAGTGAGTGGAATTTTTGACAAGTAATGACCAGACATCTACCAAAAAGTCAGTCAAGTGGCTACAATTGATTGACATTTCCCCCTTGGAAGATTGTGATGAAGATCATATATACCAAGCATCAGTTATTCTCAATTCACTGCTGAAATTTGATATTGTATAGGATAAGACACATAATATGTTCTGTCTTCATAGAGACTTATTCCAGTACTCTGCTGGCTTTCAGGTTTATGAACTGACTCTGCACTATACCCAGCATCAGGACCATAATGTTGTGACTGGAGCTTTAGAATTACTCCAGCAGCTCTTTAGAACACCCCCCCCTGAACTGCTCCATGCCCTGACTGCCTGCGGGGGCATTGCTCAGGTCAGTGTATCCAAAGATGAGCCTGCCAGCAGGAGCCGCAGTGGGAGCATAGTGGAACTTATAGGTAAGCTCTGCTCTTGGTAGTTGGAGTAAAAGGAAGTGAACATACATCATCAGCTCTAGTTCTCAGTGTTAGCAAAAGCATGAAGGTTCAATGAAATGTGTGAAGCTATGCATGGCATTCTTTTTTCCCCAGGTACAGTAGAAGTTCTTTCCCTCCTTCTTTTAAGTGGGTATACATTAATTGATAGATTACAAACTTCAGAGGGTTTTTTTTGCAGTTCATGTTGACCATTATTTTTTTGTTACACAAAGCAAGTTGAATATGCTTTTTTTTACCCCACAAAATGAATGTTCTTACCAATCATGTGACAACTGTTATTCATAAAAGCAGATCTAATCAGAGTTTGTATTAACTGAGAGCTCCTTGCTGAATACCAAAACCAGCATGAAATTAAAGCATGACTTAAGCTTATCCTTAACTGTTAAAATCAGCTATCAGCTTTCTTGTCTGTGGAGTGCATGTTCTTGAAATTCTCCTTAACTGCTACATACCTGTTTCAAAAGAATCAGTCTCTGATTGGGTTTTTGTAAGGAGTCTGTATTGAACTAATGGGTCAGCCAATATTGCTGCTTCTGGAAGGTAAATTATTTGCTGGAAGCAATCATAGCAGGGAAATTTAGAACACATTTTTGAAAGCAAACTACACACAAGTGGCACAGAATATTAAAAGTGTCGAATGATTAAAAAACCTTGGACTTCAAAAGCAACAAGTTTGCTATTTCTTCCTGGCTTTGGTTTTTGTTTTGTTTTTGTGGGTTTTTTGTTTCATTGGGTTTTTGTTTTGTTGGTTTTTTTTTGTTTCCCACTTGTGGTTATTAGAATTCCTTCATGATTTCATTAGCTCTGTCTTTGCCCTGATGTGTTACTTTCTGTGATTTGCAGCTGGAGGGGGGTCTTCATGCAGCCCTGTTCTTGCAAGAAAGCATAAAGGTGATTATTTTTGAAAACCAATCTTTAATTGCATTCCTTCCTGATTTTTTTGGGGTTGTTTTTTTTCCCCCTCCCCACTTCATTGTCTTGCTGAACTTGGGTCTTCATTCACAATTGCCTGTGTTATCAGCTGAGCTTAATCATTATAAATAGTGAACAGATTCTGATGCAATTTCTGATATTGCAATCAAGATATTCTAAAATAATTTAAAGCAATATAATTTTATTTTTACTGTAGCTCACTGTCAAAGTTATGTTGATTATGATGCAGTTTTAACTTCTTAAGAGCACATGGGAAAATAATCTCTCTGAACAGGGCATTCTTTTTCATGGTAATACTTAACCATTAATGTAACATGCTAAATAGTTAACTTTCCTGGTTTTGTTAGGTCTGGTTTTTTCTCTGCAATTCACTAATGCATGTGTATGTTTGCATGCTTCAATATGATGGTTTTTTATTTCTTTTTCTGTTCTTGATGATTATACATTTTTGTCTTGCCTGTATAGATTTTCTTTCTTCAATAGGTAGTTCATTTAACAGGATTTTAAAGAGTACAGTTTGCTCTGAAGTAATCTTTTTCCCAGTTTGTGCATGAAAGTACTTAATATTTAGTTGTATGTTTACACTTTGATTTAAACCAGTCATATTACTATGACAGAATCAATCTAGGTACAGCTGTGTGACACTTTCATCACCTGCATTAGGTGAGCCAAATGCTGTAGTGAAATTGTGTGAGTGTACTGTAGTCCCTGCAAGCATTAGTAAGCAAGAGATGTGCAATGCTGAAGAGAAAAACTTTAAGGAAAAGTAGTTTAAAACAAGGTGAGATTATATAAACTTGAAGCACCATTACAGCTTATACTTTTTTCAAATATGTCTTTCAATCTTCATGTGCAAGGAATCTCATTAACCACTTTTTAACTTTTTTTAATTTAAGAAAGCTTAAATAACCCTATCTGTATGCTTTAAGAGTATACCAAAATGTAAAGTAGTGGTCAAAGCTGAATGAAATAGTGCTTACAGATGCAGTTATCATTTCTAGTTTAGAAAGGTCATATTGAAAGAATGAGTGTCTGACAGTAGATATTGCTGCAGCATCCAAAGGTGAGACAGAATGCAACAAATCGGAATAACGACGCATATCACATGGAAATAAAAAATAGTAAATCCTCATTTAGGATCTTTGTATAGGATTCAAATGACCCCCGTGGCAGGGACAAATGATGCATTTGACCCCACTGATATCAGAAGGCTAATTAATTACTTTATTATACTATATTATTCTATACTATATTACACTGAATCTGCACTAGCACTCTACTCCACTAAACAGAATCTTGTGACTGTCTCCTGACCCACAGTCTGGAGACACACTTGGCCCTGATAGGCCAAGGAAACAAAACACCATCACTTTGGGTAAACAATTTCCATATTGCATTCTACTTTTGCACAAACACAGGTACAGCAAATGAGATAAGAATTGTTTCTTCTTTCTGTGAGGTTCCTCGCTGTGATTCCCAGAAAATATCCTTGGGAAGTTGTGCCTCACTTTTCTCTGTGAAGAGAAATGTGGCCACGTCTTTGTCATGTTGGTAGTCTTCAGTGTAGCTTTGAAGTGTTACTAATAGTGTAAATTCAATTAAAGTACTTGTTAAAATACTAATCTTTCACTTGGTGAGAAAACATGTGTGAGTCATCAGCTTTCATCCTTTTTCAAGACTATGGTATGAAGATTCTGTGGTCTAAACAATGGCATAAACAATTTGAAGAAATCCCTTCACAATTTTGTGCTTTGTACAGGTTTATTTTCAAATTGTGAATTGTTCATTTCCTGTTGCTCTGTTGTGTTAGAAAGGAGGGAAAATCCAAGCCTATTCCCACTTCCTCCTTGCAGTCATTTTGCAGTCATACAGAGTAGTGGGCAATGGATGGCACTTCTCAAGCTGTAATGCTCCTTTGTGTAGGGGTGTAAAGTGAGGCTGATCTGCAGAATTCTCTGTTTCACATCTTTGCAATCTTGCTGCATCAGATCAGCTTCAGTTCTGAGCAGCTGGCCTGCACTGGTGCGTTTATGCTTCAACTTCAGAAGATTATTTGCTAAAAAGGCTGAAAATTCCTTTTGAAATCAAAGCCTATGTTTTGAAAGCAACTTAACTGGATTTTTTTCTTGTCAAATAGAGGAAAAGTATCCTGCTGCATGTGTTAATATACTCATTTAATACATTTAAGCATATAATACCTAATGTGCCTAATGACTGTTTTTCAGTGTTCTTATTCTTTCACTTACTTTTAGAGGTGGGCAGCAGAAAATGGAAGAACATCCTGGTTTGTTTCAGTGAAATGGATGTAAATGTGAAAAATGATAGAGAAGAATATATTATATTTTGTGCTTTTTTTGGGGCCCTCCTAGAAGGATTTTACTCATTTGTTCATAGGAGTGTGTGGTTTTCAATTACTGTCATTTTACATAGAAGCTATATGGAAGTGCCATGTTTACTTTTCTGCCTTACTTACAGTTTTGAGTATCATAAATCATGCTTTTCAGAGGAAGGTAATTCTACAGTGGTACTGCTATGTATGAAAGCAGTGAAGAAAAAAAATTAATATGAAAATGTATTAATGCCTTTTTTACCTCCATTTAACTGGAATAAGGTACAAATGTATTCACCCAGAGTTTTCCAAACATTAGTTTCTTGCGTTATGAATCTTAGACTACCATTGCAGTTTGGTAGTCTAAGCAAAATGCTCCTTCTCACAGCACTTACTGTGAATCCCTCTGTCTCAGCAAGGGGCTTGCAACATGTAGAAGTGTGGCTTAGCAGCTCCCCCTGCATTCCTTGTGCTATCCCATGGACAGACTTTGCAGTGCACTTGTGTCCTTGGTTGCCTTCAGGCAACCTGCATCTGCAGGTATCTTTCTTTTTCCACTGCCTGTAATTTAAGTAGATAATGCTCTGTGAGTAAGAGAACTCTGTGGGGGTTGGGTTATGTTAGAAGTGGTTCTCAAGTTTCTTAGGGCAAAAAAATGCATCTCTGAAGATTTTTTGCCTTAGTAATCCTTAGCTCTCCATGGTTGTCCATGCTTCAGCACCCTGTCCCACCTGTGTTTTCTTGTGCTTCTAGTCTGCACTGCTCTTCCCCCTGGGCTTTTTCTGTACTGTTACCTTTGGAGTTCTGAAAAGCATTTGATATTTTTTGCATCCTTAAGGAGGAAGAGGTTATTTATTCTATTGCTTGTGGTACCTTAATGCCTTTAGAGTTGAGGGCAGACATCCAGATACTAGATATCCAGTCCTTAGGAATAGCACATACTTGGTGAAATTAGTGGGATCCTAAATGTCATCCACAAAAATAAACTGGAAGTAATAAGACTGTAGGTAGTTTCCTGAATGGTTGCACTGGTAAATAAAATTGCTTAACTCTGTTTTCTTGTCACTGCTGCCTGTTTCTTTCCTGATGAATTAGTGAGGGACTGGATGTGCACTTTATTCATTCCTTTCATCTGTTACCTGTCGTAGCTATGAAAAATTATCTGGATAAACTTTTTAAAAAATAGGTTTCACAACTGACTTCATCTGTTCAACATTTCAAACTGACTATAATTTTTGAAAAGTAAAGGTTTTTCTTATATCACTTCTTAGGTAAAGTACTTCTTGGTGAAGAAGAAGGCTTAGATGATGATTCTGAAACCCGATCTGATGTCAGCTCTGCATCATTTGCAGGTACCTGAGTTTTCTTTAGCAGTGCAGTCAGCAAATAAATTCTGTTACTGCTCTATGGAAAATGTATAAGTGGTGTGTTATGGTGGTGAGGAAGTGTATGGGCATTCAAAAAACATGGTAAACAAAACTGAAACCATAAATACTGCTGAGTGTAAAACTTCAAGAAGTTGACTGTATTCTTTTGTTAATAGGAGTTACTGGTAGAGATGGGGTGGCATCTTTCTAAGATGCCTATTTTCCTGCCTACTTAACTGTTTCATTACAGGCTTTCCTTAGCCTAGTTTAATACATGGTTTAGCCTGTGTTTTCATGTCAAGAGTGAAACACAAATTCAAGCACTGGACTGACTCATAAATGCCTGTGTTTTGCAGCTTCTGTGAAGGGTGAGATAAGCAGTGAGCTGGCTTCTTCGTCAGGTGTGTCGACAGGCGGCTCGGTGGGGAGCTCAGCGGCTGATGCCACGGGACACGACATCATCACGGAGCAGCCCCGTTCCCAGCACACGCTGCAGTCAGACTCCGTGGAGCTGGCAGGCTGTGACCTGACAAGTACAGCTACTGAAGGGGAGGAGGATGAAGTGCTCAGTCGGAGCTCCAGCCAGATCAGTGCTGTCCAGTCAGATGCCACTATGGATTTGAATGATGGCACACAGGCTTCCTCGCCAATTAGTGATAGCTCTCAGACTACGACAGAGGGTCCAGACTCTGCTGTAACCCCTTCAGACAGTTCTGAAATTGTAAGTGTGCAGCGGGCAGAGGGGGGATCTCCTTCTACTGAGGGGCCCGACATGTCTCAGAGCTCTTCCATGGAGGGCCCAGACTTGGATTCGTCTCCTTACTCGTCTTCTACTTTTCAGTCCTCAGCTAGTAACAGTGGAAAGGTCAGCAGCTCACACCTCTATTGGAGAGCTTGACCTCCTTTTAACACTTTCACTTCAGCAATAATGGAAAACTACAAAGCTGTAGTCGGTGTGTTCTCTGGATAGGTCATGTGAAGGCATTACAGATTTCTTTCTCTGAAAGAATGGCAATATCAGAGTCTTGACATAAACAAATCCTCTTCGTAGTATATCCTTAATTTTGTATAAATATATTAATAATTATTTTTGTGCAGGAGGGTTAATGGAAGTGTTAAAGGGTGAGCAGTTTTTTTGGAATGATAAAGGAATATTTCTGGAACACAGTGCTTCACATTGCCTTCTGCCTGTGCTTTTACACTTGGCAGCACAACTCATCTTCTTTTTTTTCCTTTTTATTCTGTCTTAAGGATTTCTCCTATAATGGGCAAATACTGCATGACTTACAAATGTAGCAGTTACATATCTAATAAACACCTGAAATGTGCATACAGTATATCTATTTTAAGACATTTGTCTCTCTTGGGCAAGTGTTTTGTAAGTTCATAATAAAAACAGCAAAAATACAGTTACTAGGAGCCAGAGCAGAAAATTCAAAAAGGGGAAAATGTAGAATTTCTTAAGACTTTCAAACATTATCAGACTTTTGACTCTAGTTTTCTGATAGTAATTTGAGAGAGGAATAGTCTCTTAGCATTACAAAAACTAGTAAATTTGTAATCGTGTTAAGAAAATACTCCTGCAAGTGTGAGGATTCAAGAATCAAAGGAATTATGATAATTGCTCTCTGAATTAAATGCAGGCAGTGCAGAGGCCAAAGTGAGCAGGCCTTTATTGACAAGGTGTGTTTATTGGCACAGTGTGTTTATGCAAATTCTTGTCAGTTGGCATACTGTTTACAAGCAGTAATTATGTGTAAAATTATCCTTTCATAATCGACAGACTGAGTGGTTGTCCGAGTTACTGACACAGAAGTTTTTTAATGAACAATTTCCAGGTGCTTTTAAAGACAGAAAGTAACTGAAAAAGTGTCCTGTTTTCTGATAAAATTAGTGAAATTGGTTTTTTTACTTTACTGCCATTGATTGTTATGATTAATTTTTATGGTTATTTTTCCATATATCTACTGCCTATATATTGCTTTGGTTCCAAGAGTCAAACTCTCTTCCAGATGAGTCCATCTTAGTAGTTTTGGTTTTGAATGAAGAAATTGAAATACTTGAAAGTTATTTGTCCTTTCTTGTCCTAACAGTGTGTTCTCAGTTTGACTTCACATATCCCGGACAAGTGAGGTTATGAGAGAGTTTAACTGCAAGGGCCAAGTTCATTTTGTGGCAGTAAAGGTGTTGGTTGTGATTTGTAACTGCTGAGAGGGAAACATTTGTGATGAGGGAGCTGCGGGGGCGCAATGGACTGTTTTACTTGGTTCTTGTTGGTAGCCAAGCTCGTAGCTCAGCTGAGAGACTCTCAGGTGGAACTATGGCCTTCCATAGCCCCAGAGCTGCAGGAGGAGGGGAAGTGCTTTGGGGCTTACCTGCAGCTGGACACTAATATTTATCAGGCTCACATTTGCATTCAGACAATTTGTAGATTACTAACACTGCATGTTTCAAATTTAATACTCTGTGTCAATATAAATTATTTTAAGTCCTGTCCTTGCACTGTGTAGGTTTTGGAGGGTGCTGAAGGACAGTATTCTGGAATGCAAATTGGGCAGCTGCAGGATGAGGAAGATGAAGCTGCTAATATTCTCCAAGATGATTCGTCAGAGTCCTTCAGAAATTCTTCTCTTGGTATGTTGATAAATACAGGGGTGGGCCAGACTGGTGACACCATTAGACAGCTGTTCAGGTGCATCTGCACTTGAGGGGAGTGAAGACTCATAACGGATATGAAAAACAAACAACTAGATGGATATGTGAAATAAGGAATATATTTCAACACTCGTGATCAATCACTTGTTTTGATCACTGCTAATTTATTTTCATGTTTGTATAATTAAGTTTAATTAAAGTGCTTTTAGTTTGCATCTGAAATGATATTTCATGAATTGCCTTTTTCTAAAGCTCTTCAGCAGTCTCACCTGCTGAAAACCATGAGCCATAGCAGGCAGCCCTCTGATAGCAGCGTGGATCGATTTACACCGAAAGAAGATGCAGCAGATGCTGGTGATCATGAGAACAAGGTGAGAAGTAATTGCAGTGGTCAGATTTAAAGTTCAAAACAGTGAAGTTTAAATAAAGAAAACTAAAAGGACAGTTATTCCAAGTAAATTCTAGTGGTAAACGTGGGAAGCATTTATATGTGATGTACCTCGTTATAGGTCAGAGTAACTCAGGTTGCCTGGGGAATCTGAGTTACAGCCTGAATTTCGTTTAACATAAGTGTTGATATCTTAAATGCAATCACCAGCAAAGCCATACGAGAAGACCCTGCTGAGAACACAAACCCTTTTTGTCTGTTCATTAGTAGGCTATAAAGATACTTTCTTACTTGAAATATCTTCATGCTGATTGCTACGTCTGTAGGTAACTTCATGATATCCTCAGAAGTTAGTCTTTGAGCCTGGTGCCATTCTAACTACAAGTTACTGATTTCCTCTTACATTTTTTTGACTTTATCTTTGGACCTTGTTCTGAGCTGGGATGAAAGTTTCATTTGTGGCAGGCAGAATTAGATCAGCTTGGCCTGTTGGGGAATTCTAAATGTAAAACTACAGAAAACAACTTTGGAAATTTTGTATGAAAAGCATATTATTTCTAAGTTTGATGGCAACAAGTGGTTTAGCATGCTCTTCACATGCTAACAGCAAGTCTAGGTAGTTTAGAAAAATCTACAATAAAATATTTCTGTAATAAAATTGATCCAGTTCTGATACAGGGTATAAACTTCTCCAAAGCATTGCACTTTGAAGCCTTTTTTTGGAATATATATTAAATGACATATGAATATTATGTATTCATTTTGACTACAGAAAACAACTTTGGAAATTTTGTATGAAAAGCATATTATTTCTTTGAGGCCTTTTTTTGGAATGTATATTAAATGACATATGAATATTATATATTCATTTTTTATTAAACCTTTAGACATTTGAGGATATGCAGTATTTTTAAATGTTATGCTAATATTTTTTTGCAATTGAAGATCAATTTTTCTCTGTGTAAACATTGTGATTTGCCTTCAATAGCCCTCCAGGGTAAAGGGGGACATCGGGCACTACACTGACAGAGACTGTGCTCCTTTGGTGCACTGCGTCAGGCTGCTGTCAGCCTCCTTCCTGCTCACTGGGGACAAAGGAGGTATGTTGGTCTTTGAGCTTCATTAGTTCTCTGAGTCTCTCCATGAACAAAGTTGGAAATGTGATCATTTTGCTCTGTCTTGGTTTTGATCTCGCTTTATTGGAAATAGGGACTGACACAGAAAAATGTCCAATAAGCACCACATTTACATTTTTTTAAAATACATCCAGGGATGGGGACTTATCCACATTCCTGTCATGGTATATGACTGATTTAAGATGCTTGTTAATTTTTCCCTTTTCTAAACTCTTACTTGCCCACATGCCCATATAATGTATTGGTTTTGGAAGGAGGTGAGCTGGAAGTATGTTATGGCTGTATTTGAGTATTTCAAATATATTTCAAATACCGTTCATTTGAGGAAAGCAAAAAAGCAGCCCATATATCACTGCTGCCTCTGACAGACTGGAACTGCTTACTCTACCTTCATGTTTTTGTACAGGCTAAGCTATTTTATTTTAGTGTTATTAATTAAATTTAAAACTTTAAATTCAGGAAGCTTTTAAATACCTTCATTTTAATAATGTTTGTTTCTTCCCCACAGCTTTAGTTCCTGATAGAGATGTGAGAGTCAGTGTAAAAGCCTTGGCAGTAAGTTGTGTTGGAGCAGCTGTTGCACTTCACCCTGAGTCTTTCTTCAGCAAACTGTATAAAACACCTCTGGAGGCAATGGGAGAAGAGTATGGTATGTTGCAGTTCACATGTTCCATTTTAATAGTGTGTTTGGGTTCTCAGATAAATGAGGCAGCATCTATGCTGAAAACTCCAAACCCGGTTTGGTATTTGTGAACAAACACTGCACAAATTGGAATGAACGTGCTGTGTGTGTGGTGAGGTATATTTTTTGTAGCAAGATTTAACTTTCAGTGGATGAGCTTGTAGAGCTTCTGACAAGTTGAAGGTGTTTTAAAACAATGAGTATGTGGAAGGGGTTTGTTTATTTTACAAGTGTTTTCTTCCAATTTAATTTAGTCCATCTTATAGATGGTTTCTAAGTCATTAGGTTCACTTTTACAAATGAACCACGGGGACCTGGAGTGTGCAGCTGGTTTGATACCTTGACCAAAATGCTTCTTTTGTTTCCCTGGAGCATTTTGTGTACAGCTGAAATAAATCACTAGTATTTTTAAATAGGTGATCATTGGTCTGAATGGTGTGATTGATCTGTAGATTGCATGCACAGAAAGGGATCTCAGAAGGGGAGAACTATGGTGAGCATGTTTTGGATGTGCTGATGTTGATTGTCCAATAGTTGAGACCTCCACTCCAACATTTTTATGAATCAGTAAAGTCTGATACTAGTATTTTTAAAATAAAGTAGTTGTAACTTATTTTCTTAGAGGAGCAGTATGTGTCGGACGTTCTGAACTATATTGACCATGGAGACCCCCAGATTAGAGGAGCTACTGCCATTCTCTGTGGAACAATTGTCAACTCCATTCTAATTAAATCCCGCTTTGATGTGGAAAAATGGCTAATAAATGTTAGAAGCTCAACAGGTAAAAAATTATTTTATGGGGATCTTTTTGTCTTTTAATGTAACATTTCAATGTTTCATTGCTCAAAAAGTTTTTTTTTTCTTTTTTTAGGAAATCTCTTTTCCTTGATAGACTGCATACCTCTGTTACAGAAAACCTTGAAAGATGAATCCTCTGTTACATGCAAACTGGCTTGTACAGCTGTGAGGGTAAGCAGTAGGAATTTATTTGCACCACCACAGATCACAGAGTTGTGATTCATTACTGTAATGCTGCTACGTGCAGATGTCTAAACATCCAGCATAAAATGATTTCTTCCTGAAGAACTTTATTGGCACTGAATTATGTGGTTAGATCATGTAGCATTGTAATCTAATCATGATGTTTTTCATGAGAAATGTACTGGCATGAGCTTTGATGTTGCATTAACCAACAGTAGGATGGGTGCATGAGGCAGAAAGGCTATGTAGACTGAACAGGGGAATGTGAACATATAACACCTGGTTGTAGCCTGTATTTGGAGAATAAAAATTAAATGTGAGAAATGACAAGTGAAATAGTGATTGTTTTCTGAAACAGTAATTTTTAAAAGTGGAAAAGTGTCAGGAAAGCAAGTGGTTCAAATTGGGTGAAAGATCCCTCAGGCAATTGTTGGAATAGTGAAGTCAGCTGAATTGGTGAGTATTGGTGTATATTGGTATTTAGAGTATGTGAATTTTATTTCCGTAATAAAATCTGTGGAAGATGTTTGATGAAAAAGCAGAGGGGTGAAGGAGTGAGCTTTCTTTGAGAGTTTTTCCAATGAAGTAGAACATGGACAAATCAGAGACTTAAGGACCTGTGAGGCAAAGCATAAATTTCAGTAAAATGTGGGTAGTTTGTGTATGGGAATTAAGGTTTTATATGCAAAGAGGAGGGGCTTGTGATACAGCTGAGGGGAGGAAATCCAGCTAGGTAAATGAGGCTGTCTTCTTAACCTTCTGTTCAGCAATCTTTATGTTTGTATGTAGTGATTTCATGTGTGAGTACACCTGTAATAATAGCTTTGTAGAAGACCACCAGAATTGTTCAGTTGAGGCAACTTAATACTAGTCAATTTTGGCTCTTGCTTTTTGTCAGTATATAATGTGGTCTGACTACACATTTTGGCAGAAATGTTCTAAGCCTTTTGGGTTGCTAATCCTCAACAAGAACAAGAAAGTCGATTTTGTGTAGTTAAATAAGACGTGGAAGTGTGGAGTTCTATAACTTTTTCTAAAGGTCGCACATTGTGTCTATAGTTGAACATTCAAATATGGAGGTATTACTTTTTGAAAAACTTTGGAAACCAGAGCCAGGTGTGTGAAAGTACCATGTGGAAATTAGGAGACTGTTTTTGTACAGATGAGAATATAATGCTTGTGGTGTTTAGCCCTGTGAGCCCTCCTTTAGAGGATTGCACTCTGATCTGTGTGGCCTGCATTGTTCTCCAGAGGTTAATTTCAGCAGCAGGTTTTAGCTGTTCACATGGAGATGGTTTTCTGGCCTTGCAGGGTACTTAGCTCTGATGCTTATCCTAGCTCTTATGAAATAACTTTTTTTAGTATTCTAAAGAAAACAGGTGGTTTTTTTGGTGACTTTCATTCTGCTTCGTGGAGAACCTCTTCTTAATATAACTGAAAGTTGTTTTTTCTTCTCAGCATTGTATCATGAGCTTATGCAGTAGCAGTTACAGTGAGCTAGGTTTGCAATTGATTGTTGACCTCCTTGCTCTGAAGAACAGCTCATATTGGCTTGTAAGGACAGAGCTTCTGGAAACACTTGCAGAGGTAGATTTTCGGTAAGTGTTTGTGTTTTTCCATGGGTGAAGTAGCTGAAGTGCAGAGAAGTATAGGAAACTGTAACTGTAATGGCACAGTTTCTTCTGAAGCATTAATGAGTTTCATAAAACTAATTCAGATCAGTCAATCCTCTGTGAATTCCTTTGTCCAGTTACCACTGCCTGCAAAACCAAGCCCAATCCTAGTAACACTGTATTGAAGTTTTTTGTTCATTGGTCTGTTGTATCAAGTCTTCTGTAAGTGTGCAATCAGAGAGGGACCACATCATTTGGAATTTAACTTAGTTTTTCCATCCAGTTTTGTGTGTTTTTAAAAAGAAAGTCCCTGACATGTACTCTCTTGTCAGCTCTCTCTAGTCACTCAGTTTCTTTTAGTACTGAAATAAATGTGACTTATTCTTTTTCTTGCATTCTCTCATTCTCTTTTGGTTTTTCCAAGCTGAAAGACAAAAAATGTTTATATGAAAATTGTTCAAGTTATCCTTAGTCATGCAAAAGTGGACTCGTTGGGAATAGTGATGTTTGGAATATGTTACTGTCTTTTCAAAAGAGTCTGATGGTTCTGTGCGTGGGGAAAAATACAATTATAATCATGGTCTTTAAATAATGGGGTTTTTTTAATGCAAGGACTATTTTTCTTCGGTTACACTAGCCACGTAGTAGGTTAGCAAATAACTTACCTTTTCTAAAGCTTGCAAAAAGTGTTTACTACTTATATTTTCCATAGAGTGGGTTTTTTTTTAAATAAACAGAAAGAACTCTGTAACTTACCTTTTCTAAAGCTTGCAAAAAGTGTTTACTACTTAATTTTCCATATAGTGGGGTTTTTTTAAAATAAACAGAAAGAACTCTCAGAACAGTGAAGGGAGAAATAACACACAATGTTAACTAATGTACTCTAAATTCTATTTTGTCATAGGCTAGTCAACTTCTTGGAAGGAAAAACTGAGAGCTTGCACAGAGGTATTCATCATTATACTGGTGTAAGTAAATTATTTAATCTGTATATTGTGTTTCTGGTTTGAGGTACCAGTGCAATGTCATCACTTTGTTTTTAAATTCTGTCAACACTGACAGCTATTGTATTTTTTCTGTAAATAGATTCAGGTTCTAAAACTTACTACAATTGGGAATATATGGAGATCCAGATAGCTTTGTTTTCTCTGGTGTGTTTGTATGTTTTGTGGCTTGTTCTCTTTTAACTTAAAAAAATTGACATTTGTGTAGTTAGAGAATGTGGTTGGCAATGTTAAGGTAAAGATGGTCTTGCAGGCTTGTATGGCAGATGAAATCTCACTTGTTAACTCTCCTTTAACAGTGTGGTCAAATGATGAGAATGGTCAGCGAACTTTATTTACAGTGCTAATTTATTTTCTAGCTATTAAAACTTCAGGAGAGAGTACTTGAAAATGTTGTAATAAGTCTGCTTGGAGATGAAGATCCAAGAGTGAGGCACGTGGCTGCAGCTTCATTAATGAGGTACATGTGATATTTTCATTTATAGGAAAAGAAAAAGTAGTTTAGGAAGATATTTGCATATTGATGTGTATAGCTAAAATAATCACTGGGTGTTTTTAATGTACATATATATATATGCATGTATATATATTTATTAAAAAGAGAGATGGTATCTGGAACACACATCATTCTCACTCATCAGGCATTTGTATTTTGCTTTCTCTTAGCAATCCAGTTACATTAAATTACATTCTGAGGGTATTACATTGTATTGGATTCTAGGGGTCACTTTCAGTTTCAGTTTCTCCAGAATATTTGTCTTCATGCTGAAGTGGTTTGTTCAGTATCCTGGCAGTGGCTCATTGACTTAAAATGTTACAGTTCTACAGATTTGTCCCAACTCCCAACCATTGTAGTTTTCACATGGTCATACACAGTGTATCTTAAAACTTTTGTGCTCACTGATCACAGTGCAGCAGCTAATTTTGATTGCAAAGCAGATGTTTGCTGTAGCCTACTACAGTTACAGTTGCTGTACAGATAAATGCACCAAAGGGTAAGGATTAGTTGGTAGTTTATTTACTGGAATTCAAAGACTTAAATTTTATGTTTAAAGAAGTTGGGAGCATGTAATACTGAATTCCTGGTATATTTTATTATCAGAGGAGTTTCTTTCCTAGTTTTTCATACTGGTAATTGCTGTCCATTCCTAATAACAAATAAAGGACAACTAAACTTTTCAAGTTCTGACATTTAAAAGTGTTTATATTACCAAAGCAGCTCAGCAGAGGAGTCATGAACTGTTGCATCATAGAGCTTGTGGCTTTTATTAAGGGACTTGATTCTGACATGGAGTTATTTTATTAACTGAGTGGTAACAATTTGAAGTTTTTTCTGTCTTCATGCTGACTTAGTGACAGGAGGTATGTTAAGATTGGAAAATACTTAACCTGCCCAAGAAAGCTACTACAAGCTTGTAGAAACCTGTTGAAACATCCACTAAGGGCATTCATTGGGAGTACTCTCGCTGAGATTACAAAAACATGTGTAAAATGGCTTTTAATTTACCTAACTTGAAAATACTGTTCAAGAAGACTGGATTTGATTTTATGTTTTGGTGTTGCTGCATAGAAATCAGATGGTAGAAAATTATTTTTTCAGTAAAAATGAGTTGTCAGTTGATACAGATACTCATGGGGAAATATCTGGGGAGATCAGGGAACAGCAAGAGAGAAGTAATCTATATATAAAGTGTTTGTTGTAGTATGTATAGGGATGTATCTCCAGAAAAGACTTTTTTTTTTTTTTTTAAATTACTGTATGTCTGGAGCAGTTGCTTTGTCCTTACTTGAGCTCCTTGATTGTAATGAAGAGCAGTTATATAAAGATAAATTAAGCTTAATGAATTTAGGTAATAGCTATTTACAATTTGATATGTGTAAGTAATATACATAGCTTGCTGAACTGTATATTAAATGTATTGAAACTGGGTGTTAAATAATATCTGAATAATAACTTTTCTTTTTGATGCTTAATTTTCTTTCAGGCTTGTTCCAAAGCTGTTTTATAACTGTGATCAAGGACAAGCTGACCCAGTGGTGGCAGTAGCACGAGACCAAAGCAGTGTCTACCTGAAACTCCTCATGCATGAAACACAGCCCCCATCTCACTTTGCAGTGAGCACTATCACCAGGTGTGTTACCTGCTGGCCTTGCTTCAAAAGGAATGGAGACCCAAATTTCACTTTGCAGTGTCTAGGATTGTAGTTAAATCATGCAAATCCATGTGCTTGTGAATTCCTTTTCTAGTCTGTAGGAGCACCTGTAGTAGGTTTAAGCTCCACAGAATATGACTCATGTTCAAAGAATACGCTGTGAGTTACTCACACAGTGCTCACATGCTGAGAGTCCTTGTTTTGAGATAGTTTCTTCTCTCCATCCTCAAGTCACCCTACTTGCCCATTAAATTATAAAACCATGTCCAGCTTTTCAAGCTAATTTGTATGAATGATACTGTTCTTCAGGTATGTTGATCCAGATTTATAACTCCCTACATCTTATTTAATGATTGTGGTTGCAGAAAGCTGTACTCCCTTTATAATTGAAAAATAAATTCTAATTTTGATAGTGAGATCATGGTGTATTTTTGCTGCCAGCTGTACTTGTTCTGTAGACACTGTGAGTTGTGTGTATTTATAGGGGTTGTAGGATTCTATCAGTTTGTCATACAAGTTTTTAATTATATATCTTTTGGTATATGATCTTGATCATATCCATTAAAATATATATATAGTATGGAAGCAATAGAACTTCGTGGATCTAGTGTTATTCTGGATAGAAAATAGGCTTTCTACAGCAATAATCCAAAGTTTGCAAGCATGCAGAAATGTTGAATGGATTAAGACAACAGTGAAGTTAAATTGGTGGTCGTTTCTCCAGTATTTAGTTAGACATTGTTAGTTGATCTGTTATTTCTGTTTGCTAACAAAGAGGTGTTATTTATAAATTAAATAGCATTTACTAATACAGCCCCAAAAATACTACAATATGAGAGGGTATTTAGACTGTTCTCTGGTTTTTATGTTACAAGCAGTCTATGAAATTCATAATAGTAATTTAAGCTTAAATATTTAAGTAATAAAATTAATAATTAATAAAGTAATAAGCAATAAAATTAATAATTTTTATTGGGATGGGGGTTTTTAAGTACATGTTCTAGTGGGTATAAATGTTTTTATTTCAGAGCATACAGAGGTTACAATATGCTGCAGAGTCCAACAGATGTCACTATGGAAAACAACCTTTCAAGGGTTATTGCAGCAATTTCCCATGCATTGACAATATCCACTACAAGAGCACTTACGGTGAGTTTTCTTGTATGTGAGTTTTTGTACATACAAGTTCCTTTGAGTTTTCTTGCTATGGTGGCTGACTTTTTCCTATTTTACGTGCTTCCTTTTTGTTTTATGATCTCCTGACTATATTTTTATTTAGGGCTTTTGTACGGTGACAATGGCAGTAGTAATAAATTCTCACTCTTCAGATACTGTGTTGCTAACTCTTTCCCTGGTGAAAGTAATTTGATTATTGGTGTCTGCTTTTCAGTTTGGCTGCTGTGAAGCTTTGTGTCTTCTCTCCACAACATTTCCAGTCTGCACCTGGAGTGTGGGATGGCACTGTGGGTATGTTCCCTCTTTTGTTAATTGAGCTTCTGGAAGCCACATTTATGAAACAGAAGTGGATTTACTTAAGCACTGAAGCCCTGGTTTAGGTATATGCTGTTAAGCTTATCTTAGCAGTTCTTTAAGAACTTTGTACAGAATACAGAGGATTATGACTTCAGGTTGTCAGGGTATTAAGTGCCAGCATTTGTTATCCCTGGAACCATGGTGTCTGTCACAGGGATTGGCTGCAACTGCTCTTGTAGATAGATATAGTCAGAATCTATGAAATATGATATAGGAGAAAATACTCTGCTTTTGAAAATATGTTTATCTTTGGGATATTATATTTTTGTAGTATCTCTTTAAAATTTGAATATTAACATTTTCATCTTGGTTTCATGTCTGTGTTGAAAAATGGTGGGTCAAAGAAACTGGCTCATCTTGGCTTCTCTAACAGTGTCAGATGCATTTAAATTTGTTCTGATTTGGCACATTGAGTGGGAACAGCAAATCGGGTGTCTGTAATACTTAAGTGTTAATATAGATAATACATGATAGTCCCAAATTACTTACATTCTGAAGAGTTTCTTCGGGATGAAAATGTACAGGTGGCAGCCTAAAAGCTTTGATTTTGCCTCTGATTGTTGGTGCTGTGCCATGTGAGCAGTAAAAGTAGCTACTGGAGATGTGCACCTGGGGAGCTGTAAGGTTTTTAAATAGATTTAATATAATTTGTGTTGATTGTTGCTGTCATTGTGTCTCTTACTCTGTTTGGTTTGGAAATTTTGTCTTATTTTAAAACCAAAACCCAAACCCAAAAAATCAAGCATTCCTCAGATGCTTTCCTTGCTGGCCCTTAGTGAGGCATGCTTTGTATATGTACTATAAAAAGTGTGGTCCAGTGGTAACAAATAAATTAATTCAGGATATGAGCAGTACTCAGCTGGAAAATAAAATCAGTGTATCTTCTCTTCTACCTAGCTTAGAAATGTTGTTTTAAAGATGCATGTAATGTTTATAAATGATCCAATGACATAGCCTTTGCCCTTTCCTCTGATTCCTTCTTCACAAATTTTTGGCCAGTGTTTATACTAATTTGGACTGTCATTTTATTTTTGTGGAATGATACAGACATTTATTGTTCTGGATAATAAGAATATAATAACATGGATAGTAACATGAGAATTTTGCCAAGATTCCTTCATATCTTAGGTATTATTGTTCCTATGATTAAGAAGTTACTGAAACTACTGTATTCCAACTCAACCCAACAGCTCAACATGGTTTAAGTAATGGATTTCTGACTGTGTGTGAAATAAATAACAGTTGCCTGTGAAAATACTTTACAAAAACCAAAGGAAGGCACTGTAATTACCTCTGGAGCTTTATCAAAATAATAGCTATACCTAGTGTCAATTTAATTTTCTGAAATTCCTGTAGTTGTGTTAGACCAGAGTAACTATATTAGAAGGGTTTAATTATTTAAAATTAAAAATATTTTGAAAGATTTCCAGGTTCCCTTTATTTAGAGGTTATGTAAGGTCTTTTTCTGAGAGAAACTGAAGCATTTAGGTCTCACAGCTTTGAGGTGATGTGTGTAATACACAGAATATCACCAAACATCATCTGGTGATCTCTGCCTGCCCTTTCTTAAACTTGACTTGCAGGGGAAAATCTGGTCTTACAATTATTGTCAAGGGAATACAGAATGCAGCAGAAAACTACCATCTTGGATAGTGGTCACTCAAAAAATAGAGAGTATTTGATGGAATGCAATTGTTTAATTAATCTCTTGTCACTTTAAAGCACTGTCTTGTTAAATTGCAATACTACAGCTAATGTCTCCCATCCTTACCTTGCATATGCACAAGACTTAACTCAAGATAGTTGAGGACTATAGTGGGTAGCAAATAAATACAGAATTCTTCAGTTTATCAGTAGATGTCACTATAGCCTTGATATTTGCTATCAAAAGGAAGGTAATTGCTCATAAAGAAACCAGAGCATTGTCAGGTCTCTCCTGCAAATTGCTTTTTGAAGTTGTATTTAAGTGTTAAATGAGTATTTCTGTAGCACAGATTTAATTTCATTAGATTAGCCATCTACTTGACTGTTGGTTTTCTCAAGACTTTTAATTTGGCAAAAGGGGGAAAAAGTCATGACGTTTCAAAATTAAACTTCCAGTGTTTCCCAGCCAAGTTCTTCAGATGAAGCTCAGAAGGGCTGCACCATTGGTATGGCTGGCTTGGTCCTGTCTCTCCTTTCATCAGCATGGTTCCCACTGGACCTCTCAGCACATCAGGATGCTTTGATTTTGACTGGAAACTTGCTTGCAGGTAAGGCAGGACAAGAAAAGTATGATTGTCCTAATATTTTTAGCATTAGGATTAGAATGGCCATATCTCACTCTATTCTGATTGAATGCCATGAAAAACTTGCAAGATTAAGCAGAAGAAAGAAAGAAGGAACTTGCATCTAGGAGATTTGAAAAGAAACTGCCTCTTTGTAGCTAAGTTGCAAATTTCCTCCAGTTGCCAAAGGGCATGCTTAGTACAAGCTGGGTACGAAGAACTCAAATTTTCTTGGTTTTGTTTTACACTGTGCAGCTATTCCTGGCTTTGAAATTCTGATTGAACTTCTGTTCATATAGAGACAATAACCATAGCTGCCTTTAAAATTTTCTGGTGCTTAATTCCAAGTTTTGTCTTCTATTTCCTGAAATTGCAGCGAGTGCTCCGAAGTGCTTAAAGAATCCCTGGAGTGCTGAAGAAGATGCAAACCAAGGTGCTGCAAAGCAGGAGGAGCCCTGGCCGGCTCTGTCAGATCGAGCTCTGGTCACTTTAGTAGAACAACTCTTTTCTCATCTGCTGAAGGTCATTAATATTTGTGCACATGTGATGGATGATGTTGCTCCTGGTCCAGCAGTAAAGGTATATATTAAAAATTAAAAAAATAAAATTATGTGACTTAAATACTGTTGTGCTTAAATACCGTTGTCCTCTTCACATTTTAGACTTCATACAGGTAAGTATCTAATTCCTTGAGAATACTCCACTCTGTGTAGTAAAACAAGTACCATGAAAAAAATGCATGTTTTTCTTCACATAAGAGGTTTTTCTTTAGTTCTGCAGTGTTTAAAATATTACCCTAAATTTTGAGTCTTTTATTGCTGCTGACTTGACTTGAAACATTGATTCAGTGAGGAGTATACAGAGTGTGTGAAGTATTGGATTGCATACTCTGGGAAATGTGTTGACTTTTGGGTTGGTTGGCTGGTTGTAATGCACTGAGCTCCTTTTGGGACTGAAAATAACTTTTATCTTCTGAATGTCCTGTAAAATATTTTGACTTCTGAAACAGCTTATATGAGTTATTTCCAGGTTTGGGGGGTTTTGAGATTTTTTTGAGGAATATGCATTTAGAGACTGATTTAGAAACTGTGAGACGGTATTGTTAAGATCAGTAATTTCTTCATATTTTAAAAATGTTTGAATACAATTTTGACACCCCTTTATCTGGAATCAAAAGAAGAGTAGTCACTGAGCTCTAGTTTAACTCATTGGTTTATGCTGAAGGTGAAAATCTATGTTTGAATACAATTTTGACACCCCTTTATCTGGAATCAAAAGAAGTGTAGTCACTGAGCTCTAATTTAATCTCGTTGGCTTATGCTGAAGGTGAAAATCCCATTGGCCTATGCTGAAGTTGAAAATCAAGTGGAGAATATATTCAACTATTTCCTTTTCACACAAGAAATTCATGTCCTGAACCCAAAACATTTCAATTTAACTGACAGTTAAATGAAGGGGAGTTTAAACAAGAGAAAAACATGCTTGTATTTTTGTAGAAGAAAAAAAACCTACTTGCTTACAAAACTAATAAAGGTTTTTTTAATTCTAGGCAGCATTACCTTCTCTCACAAACCCACCTTCTCTTAGTCCGATTCGGAGAAAGGGGAAGGAGAGGGAGTCTGTGGAACAGGCATCTGTGCCAATGAGCCCTAAAAAGAGTGGTGAAGCAAGTCCAGGTAGGCACATCACTTCTGTTAACCCTTCCATCTACCTGCCCCACACCATGTTATGGCAGAGAGAGAGGAAATAAAACTGCTGGAGTAACCTTGCTGGAGTTTCAGTTCAAGAGACTGGCAGGGCATTGGTGGAAAGGCAGCTGTGGAGTGGGTGGGGGCTTCTTTACTGTTTTGGTTTTTATTAACTGTAAACTGAAAATTAACTGCACTTTTCAGAACCAAAGTGCTGCTGAATCCTTTTCCTCACTTTTTGTGAATCTACTCAGCTATTGACTAAAATAATTTTTGCACATATGTTACTTCAAAGAAATTTGAAAGTTTACTTCCAGTTTTTGGCAGGAGTGACTTACATTGCTTTTGGAAATGAGATTACGAATCTTGAAACCTTTTCTTTCATTAATAATAAATGAAGGAAACACGTGTTAATTCTGTTTTGTAAAGTGTACATACACTTCAGTATTAAGCCCTCAGGGTTAATTTCTCTCACCACAGCAGGCTGGATCGTTGGAATGCTGTTCATTTTCCAGTTGTGCACAGTTTGTGTCTGCAGTTTGGAATATACATGTGGATTGAAAAAACCATGCTGTTTAATAATGCAGATGTAGTAAATTATGTTGTGTACATGTCATGAACAGCCTAGAAAAGGCATGTTGTGCTGATCTTTGATATTCTTTTAAGCTTCTAGGCAAACTGATGCTACAGGACCTGTTCCAACAAGTAAATCATCTTCAGTAGGAAGCTTTTATCATCTTCCATCATACCTGAAGTTATATGATGTCTTGAAAGCAACCCATGCTAATTATAAGGTACTTCATGATATTGTTTGGTTGGACTGCAATGGGGTTGGATCATCATTTTGTTTCTTTCAAACAGGCTCTGCCTCTGTCAGCTCACTTGTTTACCTGTGTAAACAGTTTATACAGACAAAAAAAAAAAATTTAAAGAAAGATCACAACTACAACAGCTTATACAGACAAAAAAAAAAAGAATTTAAAGAAAGATCACAACTATCACCAATAAAAACAAAAACAGGCCAAGCAACAACCTATGATAGCCACTGTCACCCTGTTGTTTCTCTGCTGTCATTATTGCTGGTACCAAATGACTCTGCTGGCTTGGCAATCCCAAATAAATCTCCATGTATGTTCTCTCTGCACTTTATTCCCAGGATGGGGAAGCTTTTTCCTCATTAGTTCAGGTGACAGAAGATGCATTCCGTAGAGTGTTGGTCATCTGATATGTACACTTCAAGGACTGTGTTCTTATTACACCTGCTGTGTTTATCAGAAATGCATCATCCAGCTCCATTGCTTATCAATGCCCTAGGGCTTCCTCAAGCAAGAAGATTCCTTTTTTTTCTTGGTCAGAATGGAGTCCTGCCTTTCCAGCAATGCATAAGGCAGTCTAAGCTGTCAGTGAAATTTTATACAGAGGATCATTTTGTGTCAATACCCACTTCTTCCAGTAATTAGTGTCTCCTTGTCAAGTAATGTGGTTTTATTTTCTGGGAACAGGTTACTTTGGATCTCCAGAACACAAATGAGAAGTTTGGATGTTTCTTACGCTCTGCCTTAGATGTTCTCTCTCAAATCTTGGAACTTGCTACTCTTCAGGACATTGGAAAGGTATAAGACTTGTTTGTTTTTTCTTTTGGAGTTAACATTGTCCAGTATCTGTGGTCCTTACTGGGAGCAAGCACATATCACTGATTTCAAAATTGCTACTTTTCCAAGGAACAGTAGTCCAGTCCTAGAAGTGTTTTGCTTCCACGAAGTTGACTAAAGTGGTAAAGCACATTCTCCAGGTTAAATTACTGCTGTTGAAAACTGGAATAATTTTTTGCTTTTTAAATTTCATGTGGGGATTTTTCTTTCCAGCCAAGTGGTTTGCCTTCAGTCATTCCCTATATTCATATGTCTAAATATACGAAATGTCAGAAGGCCTATTGCCCTCGTTCTTCTCCTGTGTCTTGCTATTTTTTCTCCTTAACTGTGATGTTAGACATTTTAGTATTTTAAGATTAGGAGGAAAATGTTGAGTATTTATTTGTAATTCCTGGATTTCCCTTAAATTACTGTAGTTTTACTTAGTACAAAAACCTGTGCTACTGACCAGTTTTCACTGTAATTTTTGTATAGTGAAAAAACTCACAATTTAATGCACTTGTTTTTCTGATTTTCCAGTGTGTAGAAGAAATTTTGGGATATCTAAAATCATGTTTCAACAGAGAACCAACAATGGCAACAGTGTGTGTACAGCAGGTAAGGAGTTATTTTTTAATGTGTTGTGTGAGTGTTAATCTTGATGTTCTTTGGCTGTCAGTTGGATATTAAGAATGGCCATGCTTTTAGGGAAGTGGTATGTAGAAATATTGCGCCCAGGTGGAGGAAACAGAGCACATTTTCTTTAATTTTCACTGCTTGTTCTGTAACTTGATATTAGTTTCCTCTTGAACTGCTTCCAATTCACAGAACTATTTTAGCTGATGTTCAGAAAACAAGCTTGTTTCCTACCTTACCAAAAGTATTTTTCAGCCACTTAACTGCATCAAACAAACCCCAGAAAGCAAAGAACTTACTGCCTTAGTGATGGATTTCTTGCAGACTTCCAGTCAAATATTTAGGTTTACGTCCTCAAAGGTTAATTATAGTAAGAGCAAGTCAAGGGTTTTTTTTTCCTGAAATATTAACTTTTCTTATTTTCCTTCCAATTTTCTTCTCTAGCTATTGAAAACATTGTTTGGGACAAATCTGGCTTCTCAGTACGATGGCTTGTCTTCAAACCCCAGCAAAGCTCAAGGCAAAGCTCAGCGCTTGGGTTCCTCCAATCTGAGGCCTGGCCTCTACCACTATTGCTTCATGGCGCCCTACACACACTTCACACAGGCCCTTGCAGATGCCAGCCTGAGGAACATGGTTCAGGCTGAGCAGGAGCACGATGCTTCAGGGTAACTTCCTTCCCTTACCTCATGATGTTATCTTGTACTAGACTCTGTTCTTAGTGTTTTTCATAAATGTGAGTGTCACTGGGGTGCTGTGTAAGTTGAAAATACAGACTTAAGCAGAGTAACTTGTCTTGGTGAGCACATCCTGAATGTAGTTGTCACTAATGTGTTTTCCAAAGCAAAGTTAAGCCATTAAAATAGACATCATTGAAGTTTTTTAAAAGCATAATAATTTTAAATGCTTGTATTCAAAGGTATATTATTAATTTATAAATACAGCAAGTAGTGTGTTAAAGGAAAGGTAGAAGGATAACTAAGCAAAGACTAGAAAATCTTCCTTTGATCGAAGTGTATTGTAGGTTGTCTGTGCCCTTTGTTTTTACTAAAATTCTGGTAGCAGTTAAGTAGATTAAGAGAAATTGGCATTGGCACAGTAAAATGCATTTAAGGACAGTATATTTGTTGTATTTTGTTTTAATGTGTGTGGGGCTTTTTGTATTTTTTTTGTGACAGATGGTTTGATGTGCTGCAGAAAGTTTCTACACAGCTGAAAACTAGCATTTCCAGTGCAGCAAAACATCGTGCTGATAAGGTACTTGTATCTCTGTTCTCCTGAAAGAGCTGTACCTTAGATTTAAAACATTTTTCCTCCTTTCAAAACTAATTTGGCTTTGAATCAGAGACGTGTTCAGATGTTAGATTACTTTAAAATCTCTCTATTACAGAATGCTATTCACAATCACATTCGTTTATTTGAACCCCTTGTCATAAAAGCATTGAAACAATACACAACAACAACGTCGGTACAGCTGCAGAGACAAGTTCTAGACTTGCTTGCTCAACTGGTTCAGCTGCGAGTTAACTACTGTCTTCTGGATTCAGATCAGGTTAGTGCCTCACCACATTTGCAAATTGTCATACACATCTCACCAGCAGGCTCAGTTAACATCTGCAGCAAAAATATTTCCAGCAGTCCATTCATTGTACTAAAAGTGAAGACTTAACAGGAGGTTGAAACTCAATTTCCCAGCCCTCAGACACAAAATGCTTCAGACTTGTGGGGTTTTTTGCATGTAAATGACTTTCTGAGTTCTGCAACAGCTATTTAAGAACTGCTCATGAGATGGACTTCAGGAATAAAATGATGTGGACAATACAGTCAATTTTATTAAATAAAACTTCATTTACAAATGGAAATACCTTTGTCCATACTGAGAGTATGGACTTCCTTATGACTGATAATAAGCATCATGGTTGACAAATATTGTTTGATGTTAATGGAGGTGAGGGCAGCTAGTGGCAAATACTGTTAGCAAAATACTGTTAGTGGCAAATAGTCTGTTTAGTCCATAGAAGCAGTGAATTTGTAACATAAAATTTAAGTAGTTTACTTAGAGGTGTTTTATTTACTACAGTTATTTTCAGGTTTATAAATGAATGTGACTAGCAATGCTTAAGTTTTCTGTAAATTCATGAAGAGATAATTATTCTGAATACATAAGTGGATTTTGGATTTTATCTCAGTTTAGATTTTTAGCTGATTCTTACGTTCTTGACTGCAATACCTCAAAAATTGTATTTCATGAGTGAAAGATGAAGTTATACTTAAAAATATACAGACTACAGGTTAAACGTGGCATAAGTTCATGCAAGCCATAAAAAATATTCAACAGATTTCTCCATCTTTTGTAACTGCAGAGGGAACATTTCATAATGTGGTGCAAATTATTTTCAGTGCCTGTCTATAACTGTCAGAATGGTTTCAAATGGAAATTAATGTCTGTTCTGATGCACACTTTATTCTCTCTTTAGGTGTTTATTGGATTTGTGCTAAAGCAGTTTGAATACATTGAAGTAGGACAGTTCAGGTATGAAATTGGCAAACGGCCTTTGAACAATGAGGGTTTGCAACTGTCTTGTTCTGAAAAACATTAGTGATGTGTCACAAGTAGTGATTAGATTTGCTGGTTATTTCTGCCTTATGAGAAAGGGAGAGTTCTCTTGTGGGCAATGTGCTCGTTTATTCTCTGGCTCCAGTGGTAACTCTTCCAGATATTTTAGATTCCATGTGACTGAAAAAGTCAGGAAGTAAAATGGATAATAATAATAATAGTAATAATAATAATAATAATAATAATAATCTACAACTGTGTTGTTTTGTTTCTCCATTTTGGTATTGTAAACCCATTCCTTTGGGCCCTGCCAAAGCTGTGCTTCCAGAAGTCAGCATTTCATTGCTAGATGCAATTGCTTAAGGGAGAGCTACTTTTTCCTATTGTGGATTCAGAGTGAGTCCATATGTACTTGGTCATCTGGTACACTTTGGTCATAAGCAAGTCAGTGAAATTTTTACTGTCAGTTATTTCTGGTTTTTCTCACATTGGAGTTTTAATGAAGAGAGAAGTTGTTCTTTTGCTCTGTGGATGTTCTACAGAAATAATCTAGACAGTATGTTATAATATTAGTAACTGTAATGGTCAAAGATGGAAAGAAAACCCTGGGGAAAAAACACATTTTATAGAACAGGACACAAAAATTGCAGAAGTACTGTATGAAACCAGACCAACATGTTCTGTAATAAAACCTTGACTGTAAAAAGATGGGTTTTACTGAACAAAGCTGTGCAATTCAAACTTGACACTGGAATTTTTTATTTTGTTTTCAGGGAGTCTGAAGCAATTATTCCTAATATCTTCTTTTTCCTGGTGTTGCTGTCTTATGAGCGATATCATTCCAAACAAATAATTGGAATTCCCAAGATCATTCAGCTGTGTGATGGTATCATGGCCAGTGGGAGGAAAGCTGTTACACATGGTAATTCAAAGCAAAAAAAAAAAAAAAAAAGTTATTAAAAAAAAAAAGGGAAAGAAAGAAAAAAGACATCAACACTTACTAGTAATAGTTCAGCAATAAATCCAGGGTTGACTACTAAGCTATAGAAAACTGTTATCATACTGAGTGTTTCAGAAGAGCTAACTTTTAAGACATGAAATACTTTTCGCTTAATTCCTTCAGGAAATTCATTATATCATACTAACACTACTGCCCCACATTTTGCTTGTTTATAATTGCAGCAGAGCTTTTATTTGAAACTTTATTCAGTAATAAGTTCACAACTTAGCAGTATGTGCAAGGCTTTGATTTTAATTTTTTGTCCACTTCCCTTTCCTTCTACTTTCAGCCTTTAAGTAGAAGCATCTCTCTCATAATTTCCAGTGATTCTGCAGAGGAATACTTCATAAGAATATATTTTTTTAAGTTCTGTGAGAATAGGGAAATGTATTAATAATTTAAATTTTCTAAAAGAAGTAAAAAAAATATCCATCATTATGCATGATAAATATGGGGTTTGTGGGTTTTTAGGTATGGGTAAAACCTTTAGTGAACTAGAACCCAGTTTACTTTTAGTAACTGAACTGTTAGTTCAAGAAATCACTGTTCAGGAGTGATTTGTCTCATACTAAAACAAATACATCTCATTTCAGCAATACCAGCTCTGCAACCCATTGTTCATGATCTCTTTGTGTTAAGAGGAACAAATAAAGCTGATGCTGGAAAAGAGTTGGAAACTCAGAAGGAGGTTGTAGTGTCAATGCTGCTGAGACTTATCCAGTACCATCAGGTAGGAGAGGAGGATGAAGGGTCCCTCTTTGTGGTGGTCTGTGAAAGGGCAACATTGCTGTGACTGCTAAAAGTGCTTCAGGCAATATTAATGATTGTCTATACAAAACTGGAATAGGTGGACTCTGTGTGGTATCTTTCCTTGTAGGGAGAGAGCATGCAAAGATTTTTAAGGATATGGGAAAGGTTCTGCACTACAAGTTAGTATTTTAGGTCAAGTAACATAGCTGTAGAATTTCCTAGTCGAGCCTAGAAAATAGAAAACTAAAAAGCTCCAGTTAGGATCATGATCTTGGCTGTGTTGCAGACAGAATAAACAGAAGGTTGGTGGAAGAGAGGAAACTTAAAAGAATGGGATTAAAATGGAGGAGACAAGTTTAAAATTAGGAAAGATGCTGCATGGAGATGATTTAGGTATTGCTGTACTTGAATAACACTTACTTGAACAAGGTAATGACACTGGTAATTAGGTATTTGTTATGACTTAGTGCTTTGACCTAGACTTTGGAAAACATGTTTCTGCTTTGTAGGAGTGTAACAATGACTTGTCAATACACTTTGTTTTAAAGAAAAACATAAAAGTAATTTTAAGGGAAGTGTCATGATCAACATGGGATCTTACTGCTTATTCAGGTGCTTAACAAAACTAATGTGCCTTTCTTTCATAATGTGAAACTGCAGTTCTAGTGTATGCTAATGTAAGCACTGTATTTTCTGAAAAAAGTCAGTACATCTTGTCAAAATAATTTGTTAGAACTGCGTGTTCAGATTGGGGTAATTTTGTGTATCCACATTTTCTTTTGAATTTGTAGTTTTATAATCATAAAATGACTAATATAACTGTATAAAATGACACTCTGTAGACACATGATGTGAAATAGTGAATAACTTTGTTATATAAGGTACTGCAGTTGCTGGCAGATCCCCTTCTGACACACTTAACCTATTAAAGACCACCCATGCACTGCTCTTCCCACACCATCCCATTTGTAGTTCTTTTTCTACCCTGTTCTGCTGGTGCAATATGTATAAACCAACCCTGGGCTGTTCTGTTGTTCCCTGGCTGTGGCTGGGATGGTCTGCAGTGGTTTCCCTGGACATTTGAGAGGTTCCCAGAGCAGCAGCCTTCAACTTTTTTCTGTTGCAACTGGAGCTGCCACCCATGGAGCTCCAGAATTAAGTTTTTCAGCGTGGAATTGCCCCTGTCTCCTCTCCTGAAAAAATCTTTTGGGAAGAAAGTCACCTGGGAATCTCCCTCTCCCTCATCTGAACTACCTGAATTTGCTTTACAAGTGCTCTAACTTGTTTCCTGAAACAGATTCTTTTGTCCCCCTTCCCAGTCCATATATTAACATTCTTGCATGCTGTGTCTCTTGTCTTCCTGTCCTTCAAAGTGTAGTCTCTGTGTGTGTCTCTATAACACATCCAGCTACCAGAAGTGCTCCTTGCTTGGTGTGCTCCATTATGTTGTCTCTTAAAACTTTTATATGAAAATGACATATCTCAGGTGGATGAGCCCCATAAAAATGTCTGTTTTGTTTCCTTGACCAAATTTAAACTTTATTGAAGCTAGAGTTAAGACAGAGTATACATGTGGAAAATTGCTCTCTTTCTTCCTCCCCTTTTTGTTGAGTAAGTGGTATGGTATTTAGATTTATGATTCTTTTTCCAGTTGTTTGAGTAGTCTTTGACAAATACCATTTCAAAAAGTACAAAACAAACATTTTTTTTTCAAGTTTATAAAAGTAGCTGGAAAATTCTTTAAAAACCACCACCAAAAAACTCATAACTAAGGACAGGCTTTTAACCTGAAAATGGGGTTTTAAAAATGTGCAGTTTTCTCATGTGGGTTTTTTTTCCCTTTTGTCTTTTTGGTAAGTGGTTGAAATGGTATTACTGGAATGTTTTCTGTTAGTATGGGTGTTTACTTACTTTTTTTTTTACTTTTCCTCAGGTGCTAGAAATGTTCATCTTGGTATTGCAACAGTGTCATAAAGAAAATGAAGACAAATGGAAGAGATTGTCCCGGCAAATAGCTGACATCATTCTCCCAATGCTTGCAAAACAGCAGGTGGTTATTTGATTGTTTTAATTCTATAAACACCTTAAATAATTGCTGGAATGTATGTATCAATAGTAGCTTTGAGTATTTGATTTTTACTTTTTTTATATGAAGACAAAGGTTATTGAAATTGTGGTTGCCATATATGGAGAAAACAACTGCTGCAAGGTAAACTTAAGTCTTTGAAGTGATGAAGTTCATATTTAAATGCATGAAGTATATGCAGAATGATCAAGACTGTCTCCAGAATAAGGGTGTTCTGTTTCTCTTAGGTACATGGTAATATCAGAACATTTAGTAAATGGTTTGAAGATGGTCCCATGTTCACTGAATGTCAGATTTATTTTTTTCGCGGCTGCAGACCAGATTACTCAAAGTCCCATCCAACCTGGCTTTGAGCACTTCTAGGAATGGGACAGCCATCTCTTCTTTGGGCAACCTATTCCAGTGCCCCACCACCTTCACAGTAAAGAATTTCTTCCTAATATAAATCCACCTCTTTCAGTGTAAAGCTGTTCCCCCTTGTCCTATCACTACCTGCCTGTGTGAAGAGTCCCTTTCCAGTTCCCTGTAGTCCCTTCAGGTACTGCAAGAGCCTTCTCCAGACTGAACAACCCCAGCTCTCCAACCTTGTCTCCGTAGCAGAGGTGCTCTAGCCTCAGATATTCTTTGCTCCATGATGGCAGTTCCCCAGTTCTGGGAGAAGATCTCACATCTGGGGAGAGTGGGCAGAATCAGACAGCAGTTTTAGAGCAGAGCTGAAATGCTGACAAAATGATTTTTTTTTTTCGTGGCTGCAGTGGGTCTAATTGCAGACCAGATTACTCAAAGTCCCATCCAACCTGGCTTTGAGCACTTCTAGGAATGGGACAGCCATCTGACCAGATTACTCAAAGTCCCATCCAACCTGGCCTTGAGCACTTCCAGGAATGGGACAGCCATCCCTTCTTTGGGCAACCTATTCCAGTGCCCCACCACCTTCACAGTAAAGAATTTCTTCCTAATATAAATCCACCTCTTTCAGTGTAAAGCTGTTCCCCCTTGTCCTATCACTACCTGCCTGTGTGAAGAGTCCCTTTCCAGTTCCCTGTAGTCCCTTCAGGTACTGCAAGAGCCTTCTCCAGACTGAACAACCCCAGCTCTCCCACCTTGTCTCCGTAGCAGAGGTGCTCTAGCCTCAGATTTTCTTTGCTCCATGATGGCAGTTCCCCAGTTCTGGGAGAAGATCTCACATCTGGGGAGAGTGGGCAGAATCAGACAGCAGTTTTAGAGCAGAGCTGAAATGCTGACAGAATGAAATTGCTGTTGTTTTGTGTGACTGCACATGGTCATCTTCCAAATTACTTAAGCAGGATAGGGTAATCTAGATTTGTAGTCCAGTTCTTTGCTTTTTGCAGTTGATTACTTTATAATTTATCTAGAAAACTGTTCAAGTAAGCTGTCCTACCACTGTAGCTCTTCACTTTTCTGATGATTAGGTTTCTTTTCTCCTAGTTACCTGCGTAAGTTTAATCGTGACCAGCATTCCAGTCTATAAATAAACCTGGTAGGATGTGCAGTGAGGAGAAAAGTCTCTAAATTTTTTGACAAATCAGTCCTCTGGTCTCATTCTCTGAATAAGGCCTCTTTCTCCAAATGAAATATATGTGGTATGCACACTGGATTTCCTATGACAGATTTTTGTCCATGTTCTTAAAACTCATGTCTAGGAAGGCCTGCAATTAAACTTAAATTTATCTTTCATAGCTTTTGGTTGCTCTGGATTTCGTACTGTGAAGAACAGCTTTATTACAGGTTGTTACAGAAATGTTTAAAACAGAGAGTGTAAATTTGGTGTTGAAGTTACCTTTAGTGGACAGTTAGAAATTAGTTTTGTGTTTTTCTTTCACAGATGCATATAGACTCTCATGATGCTCTGGGAGTACTGAACACTTTGTTTGAAATTTTGGCCCCTTCATCCCTTCGCCCTGTGGACATGCTTTTAAGGAGTATGTTTGTTACTCCTAAAACAATGGTAAGCTACTGTTTTCAGAGAAGAGAGAATCTGGTATCTTCCATGCAAAACAAAAGAGAATGTGTTTCTCTTTAATAATTTGCTAAGTGATGTTAAAGTATCAGCAGCATAATTTGGAAACAAATTGACTAGAACTGATGTGATTTACCAGCTGGGAGTACTTGATTCAGGAGTGTTCTGCTTATGAATTACTTTCCTTCATTTTGTATGTTGAGGATCAGGAATGTCGAGGAAGGTACTGTTACAATAAAATAGAATACAATTTAATAGGTAAATTACATTTTTTTATACAAGTATTAGTAATGCTTTTATAGCTGAGAGATTGTTTACCAGTGAATATGAGCTTGACAGTTACCACAGGAATAGCATTTTGTAAGATCTGAACTTAAAATTTATTTCTGGTTTGCTCCATTCTCAAAAGGGTCTGATTTTTTACAAGTTAATGAAAATGCTAATTTTTTAATGCCTTTCTGTGTTGTGTCATTTAACTTCATAAGCATTCAACCTTCTGTATTTCTGTGTTTGTGTTAGGCATCAGTGAGCACTGTCCAGCTGTGGATTTCTGGAATTTTAGCTATCCTTAGAGTTCTGATTTCACAGTCAACAGAAGACATTGTTCTATCCCGTATACAAGAGCTTTCCTTCTCACCATATTTGATTTCATGTCAAGCAATCAATAGACTGAGATGTGGAGAAAATAATGTGTCCACACCAGAGGATCGCACTGAGGTCAAACAGGTGAAATACCCACCTGAAGAGACATTTTCCAGGTACACTGTCTTTTGAATAACCTGGGGAAAGGTAAAGAGTTCTGAGAAATCACAAGTACACTGGGCAATATTTAGCACATATAAAACTTCTGTATAAATGGAATCAAGTCTGTTAATAAGTTGTCATAGGACAAGTGTGTGTGGAGGACTGAATGATGAAACATCCCTTTAAGTGGAAGCCCAGGTTCTGTATTAGAAACTTGGCAGCAGTGGGATTCAAATCTGTTGAGTTAGTTCTGTTCTTTTTGTCTTTTTTTTAAGACCCAGCTTTGTTTAGTTGGTTTCCCTTGCTGATGTTCTTGGTCAGTGACAAACTTCAGGCAAAAGAAGCATGGAGAGATGGCAGCAGTATTACGTTGACATAATGTTTGTCATTAAGGCATTGTGTTTTAATGTGGTGGAAAGCATTAGAAATAGCTGTTTGTTTAAGAAAATAATAACATTTTACTTAAATAGGGAACTCCAGATAGGAATAGAATGCTGTTTCATGTCATTCAGCTCACTCTGAGGGTAGTGGGTTGAGGGAAGAGGGTCTTCTGGACACCCATACTGTGACCTTGTGTCCAACAGCAGTGCAGTAATGGAGTTGTGGTTATGGCCAGGAGCAAGGATGGCTTTCCTCAAATGCCCTCTTTTGGTGCTTCTTTTGACAGCACACATTGTCCCAGCTGGAGGTCTGATAAAGAACCTGTGTAGTAGAGTATGGATAGATGAGGTGAGGTAAACAGGTGAATTACTGTGACTTGCTGAATTACCCCTGCTCAGCTGAGCTGTGGTGACTGTCACAGATTGTTTTTAGCTTGATTTAGCTCAATTGCTTTTAGCAAATCACTATGAAGACACCGCAGCATTCTGAATATTTGCTTTGTGAGTTGGGCCAGTGCTAATGTGACTGTAGGTGATGAGAGATAACCTGAATTTAATATGTAATTATTGACATGCTCATGATCATATAGCATCCTATTTGTTTTAGGTTAACCTGTTCTGTAGCATTTCATTTACTATGTTATTTAGGATAGGTGGAAAAGAACTTCCTATCTTATTTTTCAAACCAAAGTCTCATAGGCTAACCTCATCTTTTTCTGAAAGATTGATAATTTTCCTATTGATTGTATATGTGTTTCTTTCAAGATTCTTACTACAACTGGTTGGCATTCTACTGGAAGATATTGTCACCAAGCAATTAAAAGTGGACATGAATGAGCAGCAACACACTTTCTACTGCCAGGAGCTGGGCACACTGCTTATGTGCTTAATACATATCTTCAAATCAGGTAATACTTGAAATGTTGTCCAGGTCATAGCATGCAATGCTAGGCTTTTTGAGTTCTAAGACAATTCATAAATGCATTGAACTACTGAGAAGGAATATGTAAGTGCTGAAGATGTATCTTACTCCATGTAGAGAACTTAGCAAACATGGTGCTCGTGCATGCAGGGCACATTTTGCACATTTCTTCTGTCTTTGTGGAACAAAATGTAAGTAGTGATTCTTAATCTCTCCTTTTAACTGTCTAAAATTTTTCAGTCAAAAAAGCACAGAACATTCCAGATTTGTGGCTGTACTTCCCATGTTTTGTCTCAGTTTGGAGGTTGGTTGGTATGTCCAGCTTAAAATACTGAGACACAGACCACTAGCTCAGACTCATGACAAGGAAAGTTCCTGGCTTTTGCCATAATTAATAAAAATATATAAAACAGTCAAGCAAAAAAACCCCCAACAAACCAACCAAAAAACTAACCAACCAAAACCAAAAAATACACCCCAGAAAACCAGGAAAGGTAGCACCTTTCCAGCTAGCTGGTCTTGAGTTCCTTTCTTCAGGTTTGCAAATTTTCCCTTAGGTTTCTTCTGCTGGATACCCAATATCTACCCCTTTAGTAATTCCTTAGTCCATAGCTTGATTCTTTAGTAATTTTCTGAGTAGTGGTACTATCATGCCTTTCTTTTATTCTTTCTTGCTATGACTGCCCTTTTTGCCTTCTGATTTTCAGCGTGCAACTGAAATGCAACCTTGGTTTGCTCTTAGTTGTCTGCAGTTTAAAAGGTCTTGGCACAAGTCCCTCATTCTTCATAGGCTTTCTTGGGGACATGGGACAAGGAACTCTGTGTTCTGTTGCCTTGGTCTGTAAAATTGGAGTCCTCCAATCCGAGCTTGGTGCAAAGGCTCCAGGAGTGTGTGTGAAGAAACACAAAATTAATCTTTGTTTTAGGTGTGCTTTAGGGGCCGGAACTCTGGACATACAGAGTGACAGTTCTCTTCCCATGTGTCTGTTACAGTAATAATTTTATTATGTTTTTATTCTATTTTATGATATTAAATTACGTAATTATAATAGTATATGTTTTAATTATATATTAATTTATGTTTAGGATAAATATTTGAATCAAATATTATAACAAATAACTTATACCAGGTTGTTTTGGAATAAAGTGATTAAATGGTGTCAAGCCAGGAGCAAGGAAATCAGAATTTGAAGCTGGTGATTGAAATTGGGCAGCGGGTTCTTCCACAGTGGGAGCTGGGGATAATTGAAAGGAAGGCTCAGCTAGTTCTGCTGCTGTGACTGGCTTCCAGGCTGCACTGGGAGTCTTGCCAGGAATTATGTAGAAATTTTCATGCAAAATTAAAATTAAATATTAAAATACTCATGCAGAGCACTGGGATATGTGGATTGGATGATCTCTAGAAATTAATTTAATGTAAATCTACAAATAACTTCAGGTATATTACCAGTATGGTGTAACAGAGTAAAAGAAAAGTTGTTCAGATATCTGGGCTGTATTTTCATGCCATAACATATTTATTTAGGTTGAGGATTAACTAAGTGCCTGAATTTCTAATGCTTTTCTTTTGTTCGGTTGGAACCTCCATAATTATTTTCTCTTTAAGTTATATTCTCCTAACTATGGGTGTAGCTTACAGCAATTTGTGTGTGGAAACATAGGCTGTATTCTGTCATTTCTAACCATAGTTCTGTTTGGTTGCTTTGTCTTCTCACCCATTGCAGTTTTTTCAAAATGTAAGCATTGCTGACTCCTGTGTTTCCGACTGTAGGAAGCTACTAGATTATAAGTGAACATTCTCAATCTATTCCTTTGAAGTTAGAAATAAAGGGCATGGACAAAGTAAAAAGATGAGCATGGAATGGTTTTAATGACTGTAGGATGTCACTAGATGGTGTAGTTTCTGCAAATGCAGGGAGCTGGAATGGGGCTAGCACTGCTTTACTAATAAGTGGAACCAGAGATTTGAGACTCAGCTATTTTTCCCATTCTTTGCTATTTACATTGTGTGTTTGTCAGTCCTGGGGGGCAGCTTAAATTGGTCCACATGGCTGTGGAATTTACAGCTTCATTTTTCTGTATGTCTGGCAAGGAAAGCAAGTAACACTGCAGATTTCCTTCATTATTCTGATTAGCTCTTGGTTCCTAACTGACTCTGAAGAAACTTTTTTTGCCCCCTGGTCTTATCTTCTCATAGAAACTCAGAGTCCTGTACCTTTAGACAACTTTCCTTGTTTTTCCACCATTTTCTAATTTCTTTATTTCCAAACCTTTGTTTTGGCATACAAACACAGAATCAGTAATTCAGAAAGCAAAATTCTGCTTTTTTGCTGAGTGTTCTGTTTTCAGGGTAATGGCAGAAATACGTAATTTTTGCACTTTAGAAACTGGATGAAAGTGAATAAATTTAGTTTCAACTAAATGTGTTTGGAAAGCCATCCTCTGAAGTAGGATACTCATAGGTGTTTTTCCTTAACATGCAGAGTAGTAGTTACCTCGTGGTTCTTAAGTAGAACATCTGTGTTATTAATATACAAACAAACTAACCCTGGTCCACAGGTGACAGTTTTAAGTTTAATGAAGGTTTTCATGTATCAGATTAATGACAATTGTCATGAAACCTATCAAAACATTATTTATTGAATCTGAGAGCTGGCAATTTCTGGTTTACACACTGCCCTTGGGCAAACTTCATCACTTACCTTAAATTTGTAAAACTGCTTCGAATTTACCTTTCTTGCAGGAATTCTACCCTGAATAATTGTAAAACTTCAGAATTCAGACTAGAGCTTTGTTACTCTAACATGGTTTTATTGTTTTCAGGGATGTTTAGAAGAATCACAGCTGCAGCCACCCGACTTTTTACAGGAGATGGATCTGATGGTAGTTTCTATACGCTTGAGAGTCTGAGTGACCTTGTTCAGTCCATGATTCCCACTCATCCTTCTTTAGTTCTCCTCTGGTGCCACATCTTGCTTCTTGTCAATTATACCAACTACAACTGGTGGTCAGAAGTGCATCAAACCCCAAAGTAAGTTTTGGTTTTGTTCCCTAGTAGTGTGTTTCATATAATTATATTTTCTAAAATCATATTAAAACAATCCAGCTGCTTTCTTCCAAGCCTGTCATTGAATGGTGCTGCTTGTATTATGAAATGTAGTTCTGCATTTACTTTGTGTGTACATATTGTCTGTTCTGATATTGGTGTGACTTCCAAGCTAAGGAAATGTGTCCTGCACTCAGTTGCTCCTCTGAAGAACTGCCAGGTAATCTCTTTACTTCTAAGGCAAGAAAACTTCATCTTTGTACTACTTTTTATTGAAACTATGGAAATAACTATAGCAAAATACTCAGTGTTTCATGTTGATATGGAGACCTCATACTTCACTTTCTAGGAAATAACCAGCCAGTGGAGATGATGGACACTGTTGTGTTTATGGCAATACAGTCTGATCATCTAACTGTAGCTACAGGATTATCTGTTCTCAGTGAGTCTAAATGCTGTCAAAACATGGTGTTAGCACCCTGCTGGTTCATTAGCATTAAGCACTGTAACAGCCTCACTGAACATGCTGTCTGAAATTTGGAGATGGGTTCTAAAATGGGTATTCTCTTGGTCTGAAGTTAGTTTATCCCACCTGTCAGGCATTGGAATAATTTGTCCTCCGTGGATAAGGAAGGTACCTCCTCTGAGGGTGGATTAACTGTAGAGGGAGGCGAACAAGTGACTTGAGGGACATTTCTGGTGCTTGTGCAGTGAGTGTTGGGCAGTCTCATCTTGCTCTACACCTGAAGTGCATCAATACTTTCACAAATGTGAGACTCTTGCTTCAGTTCAACCTTAGGTATTGAAAATATATTATTCTGATTTGTGGAAACATGGAATTACCAGGATTATGAGCAAAGCAGGGCATCTACTCAGACATTGGAAAAGACTGTCTTGGGAAGGGTGGAATCACCATCCCTGGGAATGTTGAAAAGGTGTGTGGATGTGGCACTTCAGGATATGGCTTAGTAGGTGAGGCATGATGTGGTGCTAGTTTAAAGGTTGGATTTGATGATCTTACAGGCAACTTTGATGATTCTATGAACGAAGATAGCAGTACATTTTTTTTTAAATTTACCAGTATTGTATCTTTTCTGGGTTGAGCATCACTTTTAATCTGACACTAGACTAAGTGCTCAGGAACACTGGTTTGGTTTGAGAAGAAAATACAGGAGTAGGTTCTGCTGTCCTACCAGAGATGCAGCAGCCCGCGTTCTTCTTTTAAATAAATCATTTGGTTCTTTAGACTGTCTGAAGAAGCAATAAGCAATGCTGCAATTGTTAAAAAATAAAGATCTGATGGAAAGCAAAGGAATTGTAATGTTTGAATTACAAGCAATTCAAGGAATTGTAATGTTTGAATGAAGTTTACAGGCAAAGACGTGTCATATGTAAGGACCTTGGTAGGATACTCCAAACACTTTGGTTGTTCATGTTTCAGTAGCCATACCAAGAAAACAGTAACAACATACAATGTATTTTTTGCAGGCGACACAGCCTTTCTACTACTAAATTGCTTAGCCCTCATATATCTGGAGACAGTGATGAATCTGACCTGGAATCTAAGCGTGGCATGTGCAATCGTGAGATAGTGAGAAGAGGAGCACTCATTCTCTTCTGTGACTATGTTGTGAGTTTTGAATTATGACTTTTATAACTACAGTTTTGAGTTATTTCAGGATGCTGACAGTCATTTATTACTGATATGTGTTAAGTGAAAAATGAAGATCTGTGAAACTAGTAATTTTATTTTCAGATGGTGCTTCTGTAAGCTTAGATATGACCTCATTTGACATTGTTTTCTGTTCTGAACTGAGAGTTCTCTTGACTTGTGAAGTTTACCTGGTGGGCAATAGAATTACCTTCTGGATATTGCATCCCTTACTTGGGAGGTGCTTGGAGCACACTACGTAGTTCCAGACTTCCCAATATCAGTAGGAGTGCACAATGTCCAGGAGACAGCAAATTTCCATGCCTACACTGTAAGCAGAGAGGTTTTACATTAACATTTTAACTTCCATTTTGGTTCTCCAGTGAGAACAATTTCTGTGGCTTTGGCCTTTTGCTGCTTCAGTATTAGAGTTTTAGTTCATTGGGAACTTCTGAAGTGAGTTTTCAATAGTAGGAGGTATTGCACTTGGCTTTGCACCTCAGACCAGTTTTGAGGTAAGGAAACTGCATTCTTTTCAGGTTCAACTGAACAGAAAGCTTTGTTTAGGAAGCACTTCAAGTACTAATGGACAGTCACTAGAGTCAGATTAGAGTCGTCCAAGGTAAAATCCTCCAAAAACCTCTTTACTGAGGTACTGTACAAGCTCTCAGCATTGCCTGGTTAACTCTACAGATATTTTCGTCTTGCATTCCACTGCTTGTTTATATACACAAGCTTTTAGGTGTTTGACATTAATTATTGACAGATCTCTGGATTTGCTTTCCAGAAATTCTTCATTTTGTGTTAATGGCCAGTAGTAATAAGAAATCTTTAAGAAGCCTGAATGAAAATCACATTTTGCAAGACAATTCTGTGTGTATGTTTATTTCAAACCCATTTCATTAAAAGCAGCGTCTTTGAATCAGCCTTCTCAATTTACTTGTTTCTAACCTGTTCTTTAGTGTTTTTAGAAAAATAAGCTGCATGTTCATGGCAAATACCTAAATTTGCAACAAGAACAAAATCATGTAAAAATAATGATGGTGGTATTAAGATATAGACACTCTATGTCATTATTTCAAAATAGCTACCAGAATTATATATGAGAAGCTTCATGTTATGTCATGTGTAGTAATTAAAATCTTAATTTTAATTACTGCAATCAAATTTTAATTTTTTCCTCTTTAGTGTCAAAATCTACATGATTCAGAACACCTGACCTGGCTTATTGTAAATCATGTTCAAGACTTGATTAATCTGTCCCATGAGCCTCCAGTACAAGATTTTATCAGTGCTGTTCACAGGAATTCAGCAGCCAGTGGTCTCTTCATCCAGGCCATTCAGTCACGCTGTGAGAATCTTGCAGCTGTAAGTTTGACTTCTTGACTTCTTGTAAAGAATAAAGTATTTCATGTCAGCATAAGTTTAACTGATAAGTATGCAAAGTTTGACATTTCTGGGTCATTTATCAACTTCTAATTTTATTTTTAAATTCACTTACTTAAAAATGCAAGCAGCAAACCTTATATTAGCAACTTCAGCATTAGCTGTGTTCCAGTCCATCAAATCTGTGTATTCAGGTGGAGATGGTTAAGCTGCTTTTCTTCCTTAATGGATATTTTCCCACATAATCAATATCTGATGGGTAAATTAAAGCTGGAACTTTCAACTTCAATTTCAGTGCCTTAATAGTGTAAATAGCAAACTAACTACAGAGGCAGGAGTAGGAACCAGTCCATCTTCATAGGCCCTGGCAGTATGAAAATTATTTGTGAGCTCATGCCTTCCCCATGGATCTGTTTTGAAAGTTGTAGCCACTTGGTGTGGGAAAATCACTGAGAAATTCAGGGTATTATTTCTGTTGATTATTTTAGTTTTCAAATTAAAAGGAGTGGATGGTGTTTTATAGGGATGTAAGGTTGTATGCATCTCTCATAATCATAGGAAATTTCATTTGCTGGACTTTCTCTAGAGATAATTGTGATTAATGTGATTATAATCTAGAGATAATTGTGCCACCTGCACCCTGAGTAGCTTCAGTGCTGTTTCCTATCCCTTTCCATCGTCTCTGTGCAAATCTAGGGCAGCTTTAAAGTTATGTGATATTTGTCTGGGGTTTATTAGCTGAGAATCAGCAGAATGAACTAAGCTGAATATGTTTTAATAGAAGATGTAGTCACTGTGTGAAATGCTTGGTGATTATCAGGAAAGACAGTAAAACTAAAATAGCTGGTATTAACAGACTGTTCTAAACCAAGATTGGTTTCATGAGTAAAACTAGTTTGTCTCTGTGTTTCTTCCTTTAGAATATTAGTGCTGAAGGTGCTTATATTAAAAAAAAAAATTAAAAAAATTATTTGCACACCCTTTTAATCCTGAGTTGCTACTGCTGTTTCTTAACATATGCTCAGAAAGCCCCCCAGGAATTGTCTGCATTTCTGTATTGTCACGTGTCTTGACTATGCACATGTTCCTGCCTTATTCCAGAAAAGAGTTGAAGCTTCTCACTCTGTTCAAAGCTTTTTGCAAGTTTACCTAAATTTTAGCTTTTCCCCTAAAAGTTTTGCTTCCTATGTTTTGATTACTGTTGTGAGTTTTTACAGTTACACATCAAAGAACTTGGTCATTTAATTAATATGAACACTCAGTATCTCATTCACACAGAGATGATTATATTGATCAGGTAGTTGTCTACTACAGTTTTTTCTGAGCGTCTTTCCCTTTAAAATCTTTGTATTCCAAATGCATTGTAATTTTTTTGTCTGTTTCTCTGTTCCGTGCTGTGTGAACACGTAGCCCACAACCCTGAAGAAGACCTTGCAGTGCTTGGAGGGAATCCACCTGAGCCAGTCCGGGGCTGTGCTCACCCTGTACGTGGACAAGCTGCTGTGCACTCCCTTCCGAGTGCTGGCCCGCATGGTGGACACCCTGGCCTGCCGCCGCGTGGAGATGCTGCTGGCAGCCACCCTGCAGGTACACTGCACCCCCTGCCTGGGAAGCACTTTGGGTGCCCCCAGTGTTGTCAAGAGCTATGACATCAAAATATGGTTAAGTGATTTCATTTGACAGATTTTTTTTTTTAATTTTGTATATAGATATGTGTGTTGCCCTGATTGTTTGAGATTTTCTAAGCCTTCTGATGTTTACATTCTTGTAGCAAACTTTCTCACACACTTCCTGTAAATAAATTATTGTTTTGCATTCTTTTGTAGAGGAGGAGAAATTTGATGGACTGTTGGTCTGTCCAGTGTCATTGGAGAGGTGGCACTTTAACCCTCCAATCCACTGTCACTTCTGGAAATCTAGAAATGTTGGAGTCAGAAAATAAACTTCCCTTTTTTACCTTGAGAACAGCAGCATGTTCACATTGTGGTTTTTTGTGTCCTATAGTAATGTACATGGATGTTTACTTTATTTCACTTTATCTGCCTGTAACTTTGTTGATCTGGTAAAAGTATTTCTGGGGATTTTACATTTATCTGTCCTGTAAAATTCTTGTGATTTTTTTCATATAGAACAGCATTGCTCAGTTACCAGTTGAAGAACTGGATAGAATTCAGGAGTACCTTCAAAACAGTGGATTAGCAGCAAGGTAAATAGTACCAAAAATGCCATTAAAATGTAAAACTAAGTAGTGTTATAATACAGATCGTGTTAAGTCTGTTTTCCCACATCTTGGCTTTTTTCCTAGATGTCAGATAGTGGGTTGTTTTTGGGAGTAAACTGGGATTAAAGCCTCTCATATGATGCTGGCATGTTCTGGCCCAAGGTGCAGTTGTGCTATCTGTGTTGAATTTGCAGTAAGAACTACTTAAAAACTGAAGCAAGCTCTAGAAGGTTGCTTCAGATTCTCTTTCCTGCATCCCACTCAGTATTTAACTTTTGAGAGATAGCAGCTGCAAATTAATTTCTTGACAAAATCTGTTTTACTAAAGCGAACTTCATTTTCCTCAAACTTGCAAAATATTGTCAGTTCAAGCTAAGTGGGCTTGTGTGTTTTCAGTTTTTTTGGGTTTTTTTCTCCCATACAACTGTGTTAAAAGTTTTAACTGTTTAGTCTTCTGGCTGTTTAAACTGCGTGTATAAAAAGGAGCAAACTACTAATTTTTTAAAAAACTTCTGTTTGATGTCGGAAAGATCCTTATTTACTCCTCTTATCATTGCTGTTTGAGGTTAATATCTGTTGACTGAAATAAGTGTAGGGGAAAGAACCTAAAATGTGAGACTGCAGTAGATCAATAGTAATGTGCTTACCCAGGTAATGGTCAATTTAATTTTAAAGAAATTTAAAAATTACTTTGTACAAGTTCTTGGTAGCAGTAGTGGAGTTTAAAAAGAAACACAAAAAAAACAACCGTATTAAAAAAAATCTCTGACACTGACATAAATCCAGAAACTGGAGTTTTTAGTACAGTGAGGGATAATTTTTTTTTTAATAGAAGTATAGTTTTAGTGGGTTGTTGGTTAGCATCTGTTAAAATGTATTTTTTTGCAGTCAAATAATCAGTACACTAACTTTGACGACTCTTACTCATTAAAAGATGTGCTGGATAAAGAAAGCTATATTTTAAGCTTAGGTATATCACTAATTGTAATGCTAAATTAAATTTACATCTTTATTTGTTGGTGGTGCTGAATTAATTAATTTTGGCCTCTGATACCTGAAGGAAATTTGCATCATATGACTGCCTGTATCTAACAAAAAACTGAAGACCCTAGTGCTTTTTTGTCCTGGGATTGGAATTGAGTCACTGGATGTCTTTTTAAATTTAAAACTGGATTTATTTTTAAATGATTTACAAAGCTGAGATAGCCCTCTGCTGATGTGTTCTTCTGTTTTCAGGCACCAAAGACTCTACTCACTCCTGGATAGGTTTCGTCTCATGGTAGCACCAGACACGACCAGTCCCTCACCTCTGGTCACCTCACACCCACTAGATGGAGAAGACCAACCACCTTTAGAGAATGTAGTTCTAGACAAAGTAAGATTATGTTTAGAAAGAGTCACTAGAAGTGCCTTGGCTATGAACGAGCTTTGTTCTTTGCAAAATATTTAAATGCAGCTTATTTTTACTGTGCAGTTAATGCTCTCAGGATTGTCAGATTGTATCTCAAAAATAGATCAGTGATTAATTTCATGTGTGTTGGCTGACTGTTGAACATCCCTTAGGATGGATGACTAGCACAAACATAGATGTTTGTTATATTGACAGTGCTGTGAAAAATTTACCAAGTTTGGTTTCTTTGCTCAGCTTTAATGGAAACATTTATATGCAGTTCAATAGAGACAGATAAATAATCTTGGTTTTTTGATGTGTTTTACTACAGTATTGGTTTTATTCATTTACTGGAAGTTGTTGGCTGTCTCTTGGAAATTAAACATTGCTTGTTCAGTTTTCCCTTCTCAGCTTTCAATTACTTTTAGGGAACAATCAAGAATACTGAAGTGTTTCTGTCTTTCATGAACTTAGACGTGTTTATTTCCAAGTGAAGTGATAGGCTAAGAGCAAGTCTTGGGGCTTTCTGTGCCTTCCTTTTTTCTAGTTTGTCCCATGGTACAAATAATTTCTCATTTTCATCCCTCCATGTTCTGTAGTGATACACAGTAATAGGAAACTTATGTAACTGAAATGGCAAAAATTCTTCGATTAGCTGATAGTTGGGATGAGTCTGAGCAGTCATTGGCTTAGGGGAGATATTGAGACCTACTTGGACAGCAGGAGAAAATGCTCTGCCCAGAAACCATTTACCCATAGCGTTGTCTTCAGATTGCCCCAGAAATCTCAGTTGGGATGAGTCTGAGCAGTCATTGGCTTAGGGGAGATATTGAGACCTACTTGGACAGCAGGAGAAAATGCTCTGCCCAGAAACCATTTACCCATAGCGTTGTCTTCAGATTGCCCCAAAAATCTTTGGCTGTCACTGTAAATTCTAAACAAAAGTAGTTTTTGTATGCTCCCCCCACAACTTCTGCATGGTTCACAGAATCATAGAATATCTTACATTGGAAGGGACTCATAAGGATCAATGAGTCCAATTCCCTGCTTCTTTCAGGGCTGCCTAAAAATAAATCCCATGACTAATAGCATTGTCCAGATGCTCCTTGAACTCTGACAGGTTTAGTTCTGTTCTAATTAATTTCAGCAAAATTATTTGAATCTTTGACTATATATATATTTTTAAATAAATAAATATATACTATATGTTTATTCAATTTACATTTATTATGCACATTTATTTTATATATATATTATTTGAAAAGTTTTCTTCCTCGTTTATAGTATTGGCTTGTCTCTAATTACTGTTATATTTGTGTGACTACTGAGTATTCCATGCTTTTTTTCTGGTCGTGTTTAGGATCCTAATACAAGTACCTACACTCTGTATTAAGATAAATTTTTCCTCATTTCCTGTCCAGACTTTATGGGAATAGACAAGTTGTCACTGAGCATCCATTGGTCCAGTTTAATATGTTCCATTTCCATTCACCAGTTTTTTGTTTTGCTTTGCTTTTTAATTTGAGAGGGTTTTTTTATATTAATGTAGACTACAGATGTCTTAGACATTCAGTGCTAATGAGCAGTTCTCTCTCTGCCCCCATATACTGTGTTGTTTTCTGAAAACAAGTATGTAATAAATTTCCTTTTTTGATCATTGAAGGACTGGTATGTGTCACTAGTGCGGTCACAGTGTTACATCAAGTCTGACTCAGCACTTCTAGAAGGAGCAGAGCTGGTGAACAGGATTCCTCAGCCTGACCTGAACTCCTTCATGACCAGCAAGGTAACTTTGTCAGAGGAAGAGGATGAAATTAGTTCAATTGTTCCTATTGGTAGTATTAAAAGGTAACACTTCAAATTTGTATAATACTGATAATATATACCAATAATACTAATTCACTTAATTTTAGAAACTAAAATAGTGGATATTTGTGAAAAACAGTGGATATCTGTTTAGCAATGTTGCTAATAGAAACTTACTAGTAGTACAGGTTGAATAGATAGAGTGGAAGCAAAGGTTTATTTATGTATTGCAGTCAGAGAAATCCAATTTTATTGTTGTATCTAATCTTGATTTGCCATACAGTTTCTTCCAAGGCCAGCTGTTTCTGTAACCTCTTCAATATCTGTGCTGGATGACTTGCAGTAAGACAGTAACGGGCCACGGTAAACTTGGCAAAAAGGGCAACTTGTATCTAAGAATGTCTTTTGTTCACATTCTCACCATGATTATTTGCCACTGGTAATCGGAAGTAATACTGGGGAAGCTGTTTCTAAAAAGATACTTCATTACTTGAAGATTCCTTGAGTATATATATATCATCCTTAAGCTTTATTCACACATTGTCCTGAAAATTTGGAATAAGCGTATTGATTTTCCTTTCCAATATGGTGCTGGTTGGAATTGACATTTGGAGCCAGTGTGGGCTAAACCATGTTGTTACACCACAGTAGAGCAGAGGTACTAATAATAAGTTAGTTAATCAATAAACTGTAAATTTGCTACCATATTAGTATGTTAGAATAATACCACCAAATACTTAGTTTCACTTTAAAAGCAATTTTTAAAAATTTCCTGTTTGATTTCAGGAATTCAACCTAAGCTTGTTAGCACCTTGTTTAAGCCTTGGCATGAATGAGATCTCAAGGGACCAGAAGAGCAGCCTCTTTGAAACAGCTCGGAGGGTAACTCTGGACCATGTGTCTGCTGCTGTACAAAACCTTCCAGCCAACCACCAGGTTTTTCAGCCACTATTGCCAACTGAGCCATCAACCTACTGGAAAAAACTAAACGATATCTTTGGTAATAGAAATAATGATCTTTTAAAGTTTATTCTCTCCTCTGCAAAGATACTTTACAGATGTCTTGTGAATACATGAACTTACTATTAAAAAAAAAAATCAAGATACCTGGCATAAAAGTGCTTATGAAATAGTTCTGAAAATCATTTATTGAATGGAAAAAAATTCAAACTGCTAGATTTCATCCAGTCTTATTTTATAGGAGATGAGGTGATGTATCAGTCTATGATGACACTTTGTCGTGCACTGGCTCAGTATTTGTTGTTACTCTCAAAACTACCAGCTGGTCTCCGTGTTCCTCCTGACAAAGAGGGTGATATTCTGAAATTCGTGGTGATGTCAATAGAGGTAAGAAACTACACCACAATTCAAGATGCAATGAAATGTTGGGAGAGGGAGCAACTCTATCTTAAACTGATCACCACTGAGTAATTTTTTATTGGGGCAATTATTTTGTCTGAACTGTAGAAATTTCTTCTTAGTGTTTTTTTGTGTTTGACTTTTGCTAGTAAATCAGATTTGTGTTGTGGGACAAGGACAGCTTTGTACAAGGAGAGATTGAAGGACTGATGCTGGCATTTGGGAGAATGGGTCCTGCACTGATTTTTGGGACACTTAATAAACAGTATATAAATGTCATCATTTTCTTGTACTTAAAATAAATAGCATTTTCTTGGGGAAAAAACCCCAATATTATTTGCTACTAATACTTTACATTTTGCTGAGTTTAAAAAGGCCCGGTTGGTTAGAAGTTGTTCTGAGAATTTGCTGTTAATGGGGAGCTTCTCTTTTTGTACAGGCACTATCATGGCATTTAGCACATGACCAGATTCCATTAAGTGTAGATCTTCAAGCTGGTCTGGATTGTTGCTGTCTGACACTACAGCAGCCTACTCTTTGGAATTTGCTGTCTTCTGCAGCTCATGTGACATATGCTTGTTCTTTAATTAACTGCATTAGATTCATCATAGAAGCAGGTGAGTGCAGTTTGATCAACTAGGGGAAAAGTTTTGTAAACAGATTGCCAGTCATCAGTGATCAAATGCTGTGTATCTGGAGTATTTCCTTTGAGTCCTTATTAATAATTTGTTTGACACATTTAGTTTTTACTACTTTAATTTTCCATTTAAAATATAGTGTTTACTTTTTAACTTGGCAAATGCCTTGGATATGTAAAACATTTGACTACTGCGTGGTGTTGTTGATTAAAAAATGGAATATGAAATAGGTAATAGCTGTTCCATTCAAATATTTTCTCCAATTCAGTTGCTGTGGAACCTGGTAATCAACTTCTGAGTCCTGAAAGAAAGAATACTTCAAAACCTTTAAGTGAGGGGGAAATTGATTCAAATGTACAGAGTAAGTAAACAGTGAATTTTGCTTCTGCCCTAAACTTTCACTGAAGAAATATTTTTGGTACCCTTTCCATTACTATTATTTTTAACAATGAAAGTTCATCTTATTTGTATTTGGTAAATGTCTGTTAAATATAAGTTGCTATATTTTTACAGGTATAGTTGTTTTTTCTTGAAAGTTATACATTAATGCAGATTTTTCTTTTGGGGGATTCTGTTAGCTGTGCAGCATGCTACAGACTGAGCTTTTTAAAGTGTGGAGTTTTAAATTTTAAAAATTTATTTGTTTATATCCTTTTTGTGGTTTTGTCCTTTTTAATTAACATACTCTTTCATTAATAATTTTTTGTGTTTCTGTCTTTTTAAATTATTTGTCTTTTGAGTGGATTTGTAAAGCTGAATTTCTTTCTCTCCCAACAAAGAAACAAAACACATTATTGCAGCATGTGAAATGATAGCTGAGATGGTGGAATGCTTACAGACTGTCTTGTCACTGGGGCACAAAAGAAACAGCAGCATCCCTGCATTTCTCACTCCTGTCCTCAAGAACATCATCATCAGTTTAGCAAGGCTGCCTCTAGTGAACAGCTACACCAGAGTACCTCCCTTGGTATGTTTGTTATGCTTGGCTTTCAGGACTTTAAAAGTTGTTGAAAAACTTTGAAAACCAAACATGGTGCTGCATCTGAAGTTCTTCAACCTTCAGCTGGTTTGGTCAATCAGTTTTTCTTTTTGAACACTGAGTAACAAACAACACGTGCAAGGCCACTTCTCTGTTTCTCAGCGCTCTGTTTTTGAGGGGATGTAAAAACATAGTAAGTTTTTTGGTTGAAATGTTTTTGCCCCCTCTCTGATGTATCAGTGTGCTTTTTCAGGTATCATTAGTATATGAACTGTTCTCCTTAAAGTCTGTTGCAGCATAATTTCTGCATAATTTCTAAACTGAAATATGTGACAAGAACATACTTGCTTCTATAGATAAACTTGGACCATAAAACTGGATCATTAATTTACAGTGGGAAGTATGGTGGAAAAAGCCCTAAAATTAGAAATATGCTATACATTGTATATAAGTTTTGTTAGATTTCAGTCTTCCTTTGAGTATTTTTCTGTTTGGAGAACTGCTTTTATTTACTGATGTATTGTTGCCTTTGAATGGTTCCTATATATTTAGAGCTGTAATATAAATACTAGATCTGGTTTGGATAATTAAACTTCCATTATACTTCTTTAGGTGTGGAAATTAGGCTGGTCACCAAAGCCTTCAGGTGACTTTGGCACAGTTTTTCCTGAAATCCCAGTAGAATTTCTACAAGAAAAGGAAATCTTTAAGGAGTTCATCTATCGCATTAATACACTCGGTATGTACAAAATTAAATTCATACATTTGGCTCTTACTGGGCATTTACATGTGTTTTGAAATTACTGAATAACTGTATCTGAAACCATTTGCTTACTTTTGTTGCTTATGTGGAAGACAGATAATATTTCAGAGCAGGTTAGTAATTGTGCTGCAGTAATTCTTACATTTTGTTCAATTAAGAGAATTATACAAATAAAGTCAAAAGTTATTCCATCTCAGGGTGATTTCAGTGTGCTCTTGCAGAATGACCATTTGTTTTCTGGGGCATATGCTTGACAGTATGTTTGAGAATATTTTGCTTTCCCCCCACTTTTTTCTATTAATGCAGAGTATAAAGTCCTGTGGTAAGATCCCTCTGTAACCTACCTTCAACTCAGACATCAGATGTTTAGGCTGGAGTAGAAGATCTTGAAAATGTCCTTCCTACCCAACCCATTCGAAGAGTGTCTTAGCACATTGTTTCCAGTTCTCTCCATCTTCTTGGAGCTGAAGGAGAGAAGCTGCAGTGTTGTTCTCTGCCATTCCCATCCACACCTAGTAGATCACAGAATAAGCTGGATTATAAGGGACCCACAAGGATCATTGAGTCCCAGCTCCTGGCTCTGCACAGCACCATCCCCAGGAGTCACACCCTGGGCCTGAGAGTACTGTCCGGACACTTACTAAAATCTGTCAGGCTTGGTGCTGTGTCCACTTTCCTGGGAAGCTTGTTCCATTACAAAATAAACAAAACCACCAATATAAATAGCCAGTGGTATGAAACTAAATCTGTGGAAGCAGTGTACCTTTTTTTAATGCTGTTCCTTGTTTAGCTTTGTGTTGAGACACGAATGGCTATCTCTGAGTGTTTCCATAGGATGGATCAGCCGTACTCAGTTTGAAGAGACTTGGGCTACTTTGCTTGGTGTGCTCGTAACTCAGCCCATTGTAATGGACCAAGAGGAGAATCAGCAAGAGGTAATGTCATTCACTGTATTTTTTAAAGGAAATTTTACTTAAATCAGGAAAAGTGTTACTATTAAAACTGTAAAGCAGAAAAGAAGTGACTAACACTAAGGAATTTTTTCTATTTTGTATTTCCTTTTTCTCATACCGTAGTGAGTTCAGACACATCCATCTTCTGGCTTAGAGCCTCTACAAGCATGCAAATAGTGAGGAAATAAATTAATGAAGCTGTTTCAGCTCTTTATTAGTACATTATTCAACACAGTTTTTGGGGGTTTTTGGTAAGATTCTTGACTAGAAATTAATTGACCTGAAGATGCATATTCATGTGTCTTGCTCCCACTTGTAGACTGTATATTGGCTATCTGGGCTTCTAGCTTAGGTAAATGTTCAAAATTCAGGGGAGAGCATTTGGGGATCAGAGCTGAAGAAATTTAGAGCAGAATTTGTGTCTAATTTATATACCAAAATATATGTATTTATATACCAATTCCTATACCAAATATTTCTATCCAAAGAACAGCAACAATACTGGGGCTGGGGCTGAGGGAGCGAGGGTGTTTAATCTCAGGAAGAGGAGGCTCAGGGGGATCCTCATCACTCTTCACAACTACCTCAAAGGAGGGTGTAGGCAGGTGGGGATTGGTCTTTTCTGCCATCTCTCAACTGAACTCCTTAATTTGCACCAGGGAAGGTTGAGATTGGATATTAGGAAAAGAATTTTCACTGAAAGAGGGGTTAGGCTTTGGAATAAGTTTTCCAGGGAGGTGGTGGAGTAATTGTCTTTGAAAGTGCTCATTAGAGGTCTGGATATGGCACTTAGGGACATAGTCTAAGGGTGATTATGGTGGTACTGGATTCATAGTTATGCTGGGTGGTCTGTGAAGGTTTCTTCCAACTTAGATGATTCTGTGAAAAGTCAAGATGAGAGTGAACTTGGCAATCATGAAAGAGATTTTTCCGTCTTCAACTGTCTTAACCTGCTAGCAAACTGATTTTCCTGGGTTCTAGTTCTTTGACCTGAAAGGTTATTTCCCTAGGCTTGTTCATGGTCCTGATAGTAGATGCACAGCCTAAAGCTGTTTGAAGAATTCAGGGGACAAACTGTGGATCCTGAGTAGCAGACAAAGGGGTTTTCTTCTCTTGCTTCCTAGGTGTCACACTGCAGAAAGGAAGAGGGAATCATCATCCCTCTTCCCTGGTTTAGCATTTTCTCTTAGTTATACAGGCTTGGACACCTTGACTTAAGTGTTTGCTGCATAATGGCCATGTTGGGTCAGACTTAGGGCAATCTAGCCATTGGTTGTTCCTTATTTGTCATGTAGAGAGTATTTGTGGAACAAGAATAATATTGCTCCTTTGCTTTCCAAGGCAGACCAGTACATTCAAAATTGCAAATATTTTAAGCACTCTTGTAAATTTCTGTGTATTAATATTTTCTGAAATAAAAATAAAATATTTTGAAAGTTAAGCATTGGTTACCATTTTACATCTTCTAAAAAGGATCACATGCATTTGTGGTCTGTTGCTTTGTTTCAACAAGTAACTAATGGGTAGCTGCAAAGAAAGAGGCTAAACACTTTAAAAGAAGTTCTGAAATGGATATCTTGAGGTTTTAATGGGACAAGAGAAGGGTGCATGCAGAGTGACTGATGAGAAGGAAGGATGTGTTGCTGCTGCAGTCAGTGCTTTGTGTGCATTGTTAATGTCACATACATTTCTGGATGGGAAAAAGAGCAGGTGTCAGGCTTATTAATGATTATATAGTGAAACTGATATTCAGAGCTTTTGGGATTTTTTTTTAACAATTCAAATTACAGTGAGTTCATTTTACAGGAAGATACAGAGAGGACCCAAATCAATGTCCTTGCAGTGCAAGCCATAACCTCCCTGGTGCTGAGTGCAATGACCATACCTGTTGCAGGCAATCCAGCAGTTAGCTGCTTGGAGCAGCAGCCTCGCAACAAAGCTTTAAAAGCTCTGGACACAAGGTATTTGTTTTCACTTGTTTTCAAATGCATAAAACTTGTGCTTAATACATAATGACAGTTGCTTAGTCTAGTTGTAGAAAAAATGTGTAGATTGTATTTTCTAAGTAAGTCTATGTGAATGGATCTATTTACAGAGAAGTTGCATGGACTTGGCATTGTGAACCTGCTGACTTACAAGATTATCTGAAAAAGATAACATCTTAATAAAATCTAGTAAACAGTGTGCAGAACGTGTTTTTCAACATTTTCATTTCCATGATACTGAAAATATGCATAGACACATAACATTACAGAGTGAGCCAGACTTGCACAGAAGTGTTAAAGGAAAAATCTGCTAAAATTGATTTCTCTTGGGCTTTCAGGTTTGGGAGGAAACTAAGTGTTATCAGGGGAATTGTTGAACAGGAAATCCAGGCAATGGTGTCCAAGAGAGATAATATTGCTACTCATCACTTATACCAAGCTTGGGACCCTGTTCCATCACTTTCTCCTGCTACTACAGGTAAAAAGTGCTTCTTTGTGGGGGAGAAGGGGAGAGTGAATTTCTTTTGCATTTAAAATGTGGAAAAGGTGCTCTAAGAAAAATTGGAAATCCAGTTTGTGGGAAATGAAGCCATTTTCACATGTGCTTTGTTATGCACTTTTTAAAAATTCATCCTGTGTTTCCTTACAGGTGCTCTTATCAGCCATGAAAAACTCTTACTGCAGATCAATACTGAACGAGAAATAGGAGATATGGATTATAAATTGGGACAGGTTTGTTAAAAGCTCAGCTTTAAACTTGCTTTTTATTACATTTCTTCCAGTTCTGAAAAATTAGTTAAGAAGCATTGCTTGATATGAAATAGAAACTAAAAGCTCTGAGTGATGCAGGGTAGGTCATAACTGCGTGTCTCCTCAGCTAGAAGGCTGTGTATTGCCTGTCATTTAAATGAAAATATGTTTGACTTCTAAGATTCTTCTAGGCTGACTGTTGGGGTGTTAAATGCACTTCTTTGCTATTTGTTTTTGCTTTTTTGTGTTTGTTGCAAGGTCTCTATACACTCCATATGGTTAGGAAATAATATCACTCCACTGAGAGAAGAAGAGTGGGGTGAGGATGAAGAAGATGAGAATGATGTACCCGCTCCTTCCTCACCACCAATCTCTCCTATTAACACCAGGTATCTTACTTTTTTTTCCTCTTCTCACTTTTGAGTCATAGATAAGGTTTTATTTCTCCATGTTGTGTTCAATAAGCTGGGTTTATAAATTGGATGCTGGTAAATAACTGTATTATTTCAAATCAAGCATTTTAGCAGGGCTTAAGAATAGCTATTCTAACACTTCTTTACTGTTCCTTGCAGGAAACACCGGGCTGGTGTAGATATCCATTCTTGTTCTCAGTTCTTGCTTGAACTGTACAGTCAGTGGATATTGCCATCCAGCCCCAGCAAGAGAACACCAGTGATTTTGATCAGTGAAGTGGTGCGATCAGTAAGTCTGAATTGTTATTCAGAGTCATAATTGAGCATATGTTACCAAGTGTTCAGAACTAAGTAGCATTTATGAAGCATCTTTTAATATATGGAACATGCAGAATTTTCTTGGCTGTTCTGTGGGCAGTACAGAAACTTAACTTGAGCAACTACAGCATTATACTGATTGAAGCTATATCTGAATTTCATATTCTGCTGCTACATTACAAATACTTCATTGTTACTTAATGGCAGTTTATATTTTACTTGACTACTTGCTAAAGCACGATTTGCTTCTCCTATCCCTTTATAAGAAAATGAAGATGGAACAACAATGTATGTTGTTGATTATTAAGTGTAGAAGCAAAACTAAAGAACACAGGTGTGGAATGTGTCTTGACAGCCATTATTCACTATCATTCCTATGACTTAAAATGAAACTATCCCTGCAGGAGAAGTGTGTGTTGTTTGTTTGGGGATGGTTTAGTAAATTGTAAATAGCAATGTTCATGTCCCAGAGTTAGTTACTATAGTGGCTTTGGTTTTGTACACTTTTTGGTAAAAAGGACTTCTTGGAGGTCATTATTATCAGAGGTGAATGGTGGAATTAATTCTGGGCAACAATAGTAATAGTTATTTCAGACCCTTGAGTAAATGTTTACACATTTAATAGATCAGTTGAGGAATCTTTTGCTCACAGAAGGGAGAGTCAATTTGTGGCTGTCTGCTAATGGGAATTTTTTTATATTCAATTTTAATTTCTGTACAGCTTCTGGCAGTGTCAGACTTATTTACAGAAAGGAATCAGTTTGAGATGATGTACACAACACTAACAGAGTTGAGAAAGGTGCATCCATCAGAAGATGAGATTCTTGTACAGTATTTGATACCAGCTACTTGTAAAGCTGCTGCTGTTCTTGGAATGGTAAGAAATTCTCAGAAAGTTTATTGCAAATTCATGAGTGTTTAGGTTAACTCAGCTTCTGCTGCAAAACCTGGTATACTTGTTAATGGTGGTTTGTTTATAAGAATGTCCTTTAGCTGATCTGCATGGCTGTGAGAAGTAATAGGATATGTATTCTGGGCTTTCAGAGTTTGCAAACATTATCTCCAATTGTCCTGTATTCAAACAGAAAGGTTGTTTGGTTTTATATTTTTTTGAGGTTTGAGAATAATTTAATGTACTTTTTGGTTTGTTTTATTGAATTCAGTGTTGCCTTTGCCCTGGACTCTTCATTTGTTACATATCAGGCCAGAAATGAGGACTTGCAGAACAGTTTTTGCTAGGTTTATATGAATGGCTGTAATCTCATGGGAGGCTGGGACAGTGCATGTGATGAATATATAGCCCCAGATAGTCAGATATCCCTTTTCTCTCCCTTACTCTTCCCTCCACTGCATCATTCTGTCTTGAAATGTGTAAACCAGAAGTACTTTACAGGGGACATTTCAGAGTGGAGGTATTTAGGAAAAAAAATTACAAATCATTTTGGAAGGAGTGAGCACTTTTAGAAACTCTGAGACTAATATGAAGCTATATGGGTAATAGTGGTAAAAGAAATTCTGAAAGGCTTTTAGGGTGGGGCTTTCAGTAGCTAGTGCAGCAGCAACTGTGCAAGGGAAAGCTGGGAACATGATGGCAAACACACAGAAACAGTTTTAGAGATCAGCTATTCTGACCAGGCTGTCATTTCCCACTCAGTGAGCTAATAACACCTTCTCACAAGCAAACAGCTGAATGTAACAGCTTGGTGGGACTTAAAAAACCAGAAGCTGGTTCCATCAAGAGTTGCTTGTTTTTCTGTGCTCAGTTATATAGAAAATCTGCTTAAAAAGAGCAGCTAGAGAGAAGACACTGTCTCAAACTGGCCTGTGTCTTAGATACTTCATAAGTAAAGGGACAAGGTAAAGCAAGTAATTTCTTCTGATTACTTAGATAGTAAGGAGAAGACTTTCCAAAACTAAAATTCAAAATAGATTTTGTATATTCCAGTAAGTTGTGGTATTTGATAACAGGGAGTGAAGTATCCGGTACCAGCTTGACCTGTGAATACTGAAAATAAAATTGTGGAGTCATTTAGGTTGGAAAAGACCCTTGAGATCACTGTGTCCAACCATTCACCTAACTAAACCATTTCTCTAAGGATGGAGCCTAAGGAGCCTCAGGGGGAATTTGACAACTCTCTACAAGTTCTTGAAAGATTATAGCAAAGTAAGGGTCAGTCTCTTCTCTCAGGTGACAGGACAAGAGGAAATGGCTTCAGGTTGTGCTAGAGAAGGCTTGGGTTGGCTGTTGGGAAGAATTTTTTCACTAGTAGTCGTTAAGCATTGGAATGGGCTGCCCAGGGAGGTGGTAGAATCACCATCCCTGGAGGAGTTCCAGGAACGACTGGACATGGCACTCAGTGCTGTGGTTTAGTTGATGGTAGTGCTCAAAGCCTGGACTCCATGATCTTGGAGGTCTTTTCCAACCTTAATGATTCTGTAAAGTACAGGCTGGCAGTCACTGCCCTGGTCCTGCTGGCCACACCACTGCTGATCCAGGCCAGGTGCCATTGGCCTTCTTGGCCACCTGGGCACACCTGGCTCCTGTTCAGCCACTCTCAACCAGCACCTCCAGGTCCTTTTCCACGGGGCCCTTTCCAGCCACTCTGTCCCACCTGTGGCACTGCAGGGGTTGGTGTGACCCAGGGGCAGGACCCAGCACTTGGCCTTGTTGAACCTCAGACCCTTGGGTCCACTGATCCAGCCTGTCCAGATCCCTTGGCAGAGTGTCCCTCACCTCCAGCAGATCAGCATTTCTGCCCAGCTGAGAGTACACTTGATTCCCTCATCCAGATCACAGAATTGGTGGAGGGAAAGATGTGTAGGTCTGAGTACCAGTGGTCTCAGAGAATAATAAATGAATGGAATGATGTGCTATGAGTTGAGTAGACAGATATTAGATGGCAGAGTATAGTTGTCTCGTTTCAGATGGAAGAATCCTTTTTGTTTAGTTGAAAGACCACAAAATTTCAATCATTCCAGTCCTGTATTCTTAGTAGCACGTACTGTTTACTGAACTAATCCTTATCTTATTTGGTTTTTTTAATTTTGAATCGTGACATAACTTTGTACAAATAAAACAAAGTAGCATCAATTTCCTTGTTAATCTGCAACTCATCTCTTGTCTGATAGTATTATTCTTGTGACATTTATTCAAAGTAGTTTAAGCCAGACTCTGGTTTGTTCCCTATTTTCTGCTCTTTAATTTGTTCCAAGTATTTCTGAATGACAGGACTTGGCAGTATTTAAACCAGTGTTGATTTCTAATGAGTGCTCTTGTTGGGTGTATTAGGATAAAGCTGTGGCTGAACCAGTAAGTCGACTGCTGGAATCAACCCTACGAAGCACCCACATGCCAAGCCGGATTGGAGCTCTGCATGGAATTCTTTATATCCTTGAGTGTGACTTGCTGGACGAGACAGCAAAGCAGCTCATTCCAATTATCAGCGAGTATCTGCTCTCCAATTTGAGAGGAGTAGCACAGTAAGACTCTTCTCCCTTTCCCCCTGGCTCCAAACTGTTGCATGTTTATGTCTGAACAAAAGGGCTCTCTGTTGTTGGCAGTTGCCAATACATTTTAGAGCAGGCTGTTGTATCAAGCAGGTTTTGGCATTTTCATTGAAAATATCATCCAATTTTAGGTTTAATTTACAGAGTGGAATGGTATTTGAGGATTAGAAAACTGTTTGATGGTACAGGCTTTCGTGTCTTTAGTAAACTGTGTTGCTTAAACCTCATTTTTCTGTATTTTCATGATAGTCTATGTTCTCTTATGGTGCCTCAGCAATACTTTCTGTGATTGTAAAAAGAGCTTACGTTTCATGTTCAAAAATACTTTGAATTTCTAGGAATTGTTTATAGTATCTCTGTTTGTGACCTAAACAACTTTGGTGTGACCACTAGTTTTTTTGCTCATTTGCAGTTGTGTGAATATCCATAACCAAGAGCACATTTTGGTGATGTGTGCAGCTGCTTTCTATTTGATTGAGAATTACCCACTTGATGTAGGGCCTGAATTCTCTGCAGGAATTATACAGGTATGTTGTGATGCCTCCAGTGAGGGGTGTTTGTGTAACCTGAAATCACCACATTAGCTGTCTTTAACACTTAACTTGGGTAGTGAGGTGTAGGCATGCTTTTGGGTTTAGTTTCATCAGTTTTTGTTAATACCTGATGCTATTCCATGCTATTGTGGTGTGGTGCTAGAAGATGACCTGAATACACCTCAAAACCAAGTAGTTGGGGTTTTTTTTGCTTTATTTCAGATGTGTGGAGTAATGGTTTCTGGAAGTGATGAATCAACACCATCCATTATTTATCACTGTGTCCTGAGAGGACTGGAACGACTCCTTCTTTCAGAGCAGCTTTCCAGGCTGGACAGTGAGTCCCTGGTTAAACTGAGTGTTGACAGGGTGAATGTGCAGAGCCCCCACAGAGCAATGGCAGCCCTGGGACTGATGCTGACTTGCATGTACACAGGTATTCACTTTTTTTGTACTTCTTATGTGCTGGAAGACTGGCTTGCAAACAGTGCTAATTTTCTTAATTTATTTTTATTAGCAAGAGTAGAAGAAGTGTGTTTTAACATCCACAGTGAACTTGTAACAAATTATTTTGGTGTAGGAAAGGAAAAAATCAGCCCAAGCCGTATCCCAGATGCAAATCCTGGTGCTCCTGACAGTGAATCTGTGATTGTTGCCATGGAACGAGTATCTGTCCTTTTTGATAGGTAAGAGGACAAAATCTGTAAATGGGGCTCTGGGAGGGAAAGGATTGTGTTTGCCACTGCTTGGTCACTTCTCTGTTTGACAGTTCTTACACTTAATTAATGATGTTTCTCTACTTAGTCTTGCTTAAAAGTTACACTCCTGGTGCACACAGTAACACTGATGGAATTGCTGAAGGCAGCACAAATGTGCAGGAATGTAAATGAAAACCAGACATGTCCAAACTGATACTGTGTGTTGCACAAACCATGATACTTCATAAATGTATTTCCAGCTCCCTTCAGGTCAAACTCTTAAGTGCTTTTCAGGATGTCTTCTACATAGTCAAGAATATAAATCCAGTTTACAGGAAATAATCTTTCTAACCACCCTAAGAATTTAAAACATTTTTCCCCCTTCCCTCCTCACAAGAGTTGCTCTTTCTGAGGCTGTTAAGTAATTGCAGTGGAAGGATACAGTAAAACTTCTGTATTCACATGGAACTCATTAATGGGAATATTTCAAAACCCCTGTTTTGATCTGACAATCTCAAGCTGTCTTAAGTGAGTATAGCATGTTAGATTTTGTGTAGTAGTTTGTGGGTAATGGTTTACATTTTTTAAAGTGTTCAGTGGTTTTTCCATAAAACTGGAGGAGGGTTTCACTTCTGTACTTGGTGAGAACAGAACTAGAGCAGTGCTTGAGTGTTTTTGAATATATCACTCTGAAGAGCTAGCAAAATAAATGTGACTACTACAAGCAAAAAATAACTTTTTCCGGGAAGAATCACATGATGGTAACTTGATCTTGATACATCAACAGATGCTGCCTTTATTAGCAAGACTTTCCAATTAGTGTTATTTAAACAAAGTTGTCTGTAGGTTGGAGTATCTTTTCCCCACATTGCACAGCAATGCAGCTTGCTTTCCTTGTTTGATATATTGGTCATTCTAAGCTTGAATAAAAAATGCCAAGATGTTATGAATGCAAAGTAGTGTTCTGCTTATAAATGGTCTTTTCTCTGATAACTAGGAGGAGTGATCTCCCCCCTATTTTGCTCTTGTTTAGTTTTTTCAGCATTCCTGTTGGAAAGTCTCATCTCTGATGCAATTCCACACCTTCAAAACATGTGATTATTCAAAAAAGAAAAGGGGAGAGTGTGGGGTAAGGACACACCTGTAACAGCTTCTGACAGCTTTGATAGACCTCTTTGGGTAGTCTCTTATTAAGACTACATGAAGATTTGGATTCATCAGTGCTGAGAACTTGCCTACTCAGAGATGAAAGTAAAATGTTCTTTCTGTTGCCAATTAAATTGGAAAAGAACAAGATATGTGTTGACATTCAGTCATAATATATTTAATTTTTTATTATTTTCAGGATCAGGAAGGGATTTCCTTTTGAAGCTCGAGTAGTGGCTCGGATTCTTCCACAGTTCCTTGATGATTTTTTCCCCCCACAAGATGTAATGAACAAAGTCATTGGGGAATTTCTGTCCAATCAGCAGCCATACCCACAATTCATGGCAACAGTAGTTTATAAGGTAGTATTGATACATTTTTTTTTCTTGAATGTTTCAGAAAATATCTAAATAATTGACAGTTTAGCTTTTGTTAATTAGATCTAAAAAACCTGCCATGATTGAGCTGTCCTGCTGTGAGCTTTGCCTTCCAGGCAGCATTGAGGGCTAGAATTGCCATGTCACCTAGAGGCCAAAGCTCACAGCAGGAGAGTCCAGTCACTGATAATGAGAAAATAAAGAGAAGGTTAGTGGTTGTGATCCTGGTGCTGAGATTCTAGATCTGAGTGAGCCATCACCTTGTGAACCTAAAAGGCAAGCCCCTGTGGCTTCAGTTGGGCTTCTAGGCTTTTGGCTCTTCAGCACCTACTGGACTTGTGCATTACTGGAGAGTGCATGTGTGTAGCACATGTGATCTATAAAAAACAGAGACCCCACACAAGTTGTGTATTTCTATGTGATTGCTTCAGTTTGGCACATTTGTCATGAGTCCCGTTCAGTAATTCCTTAGACTCAGAGCTGACCCCAGGAATCCAGTTTGTGACCCTCAGAGCTTTGTAGCCAGAGAGAACAACCTTTACAAGAGAAACTGAACTTTTCCCCATATCCATCCACCCTGTCTTCATTCCTGTGTACAATTTGCAGGTGTTCCAGACTCTGCATAGCACTGGGCAATCCTCGATGGTCCGTGACTGGGTGATGCTCTCTCTCTCTAATTTCACACAAAGAACACCCGTGGCAATGGCAATGTGGAGTCTTTCCTGTTTTTTTGTCAGTGCTTCCACCAGTCAATGGATTTCAGCAATGTATCCTAAAAAGACTGAATGTGTGCCATTTCTGGGTAATTATAGTGTAAAGCCTTGAAGGATAAGAGTACAAGTGTAAGACACAAAAAAGGCAGTTTTACTGCAGATAGTAATGGTGTATATTGCTTTGTGCTGTTGGTACCTTGGGTTTGTAGGGGAAAAAGAGAACATCTAAACAGATTATGAGAACAAAGTTATCTAAAACTGCTGCTTTAAGATCAGTTCCTTTTGGCTATGCAAGATGATGGGGAAAGTCCTTACTTTGAAGGACTTTTTAAAAGCTTTGTCAAGATAGTATTGCTGTGACCTTTAAAAGCTTTGCTCTGTATTCCTTCTGCAAGTTAAAATATATTGAAAAAAAATGAAAGAAGCCAACAAACTCAAAATCAAGAGAATTCTCCTCTACATCCAAACTATATTTTCCTGTTATCCCCCTGGCTGTGCACTGCAGTAATAGTGAGCTTTGGTAATGGAATGGCATTGCCCAAATAAATTGGAACAGACTTATTCCAATTTATCTATATATCTATCTTTATATATATATATATGTGTGTGTGTGTGTGTGTGTGGTATTAGTGCTGGGTTTATTTAAAAACAAATAAAGAAACCCCTGAAACAAACAGAAAAATAACTAGTGCATTTTGTGTGCAGACAAAAAAATGGCCATTTGTCATGTTTGAAATGTCGTAATGATTCCCAACCTCAGCAGTGCTCTTTTGGCTCTCAGCAGTTGCTGATTGCATTGTTTGCTCCAATGGATAGAGAAAACTACTGCTAGCTTGAAATTAATTTCTGAGAATAAGAAACTGTGTGATGTTAAGGAGGAAACAGGATTTATGTAGTAGCAGTTAATTGCCAGATGACAGCATTTTGCACTTTAATGTCATTGCTGAACTTAAGAATAAGCTGTTTTAATAGAGAACACTGTTTAAACTGCTAAACCAAAAGAGGGACAATGTCTGTCATTTTATGACCTTAACTTTTATTTCAGTCTTCCACATATTATCAGCAGAATGGGAAAATCAGAGCAAGTGGATGTTAACATCTTCTGTTTGGTGGCCATAGACTTCTACCGACACCAGATCGATGAAGAGTTGGACCGGAGAGCCTTCCAGTCGGTGTTTGAGGTGGTAGCATCTCCAGGAACCCCATACCATCGCCTACTGACTTGTTTGCAAAATGTCCACAAGGTCACAGCATGTTGAACATCCTGATGTGTAGTGGAACTGCATGACTAGTGTTGGAATATGAGTTATGAGGAATGCAAGATCAAGAAAATCTCTGGGGTTGCATTTGTGATAAATACGGACCTGTCAGTTTTCCTTCCAGCATGCATGGACAAGTGCTCTGCAGCACTGGAAATCACCTGAAAAGTCAAGTGTAGTTGTTGTTGACACCAAGCACCTCTAAGTGGAATGAAGTATGTCAGTGTTTTTCAAGTGATGTTGGGGACTAAAGAAGCCACACATCCAAGCTGTAAAATATGAGCTAGCGCCACATGCAAGGTATCTGGTATTCCTCTTCTTCCCAATATGCAGCTGAAGCCACTGTGGTGCAGCCAGTAAGACACTGACAGACTGTTATTGCAACGTGCAGTCATTAGCCAGCTTCCTAGTTTTACGTACCTGTATATACTGTTGTGTAGTACAGAATAGAATTTGTTTCCTAATGTCTCTCCCAAACAAGGAAAAGAGAAAATGGCTTTTATGATTTACACTTCCAGCATGTAATTTCTCTCTCTGGATTTTCTGATATCCAGTGGTGTATGTGTTGGTGATACCAGAGATATAGTGCACATACGTAACCACACGTTTTTCCTTTTTCTTCTCAGGATTTCAAATTTGAGTACAGTATATCAGTGAAAGAAATTTTAACTTAAATATTTCTATATTATGTACAGTATGTAAAATTGTAAGATGTGTGGTGCATGAGCTGTGCTGTAATTGGAGATGAACAAAAGCCATGCTACTGAATGTCTTGACATCTGTATCGTCCTCATTTTTTTTCCTCATTCTTGAATTCATGTTCCTTTTGGAAATCCATCTTAATGTACAGATTACATCGTGTTTTGCATCTCACTTTTTCTTAAAAGTGCTTTAAAACTGGAATATGTTGATTAATTTGTCTTGAGAAACTGTACTAAGGAGGCATTCTTGTGATCCACTTTACTGTAGCTTCTTTTTAATTCCTTTATTTTGAGACATAATGGTAAAAAAGAGGACTAGTCACTCTGATCAAACTTTAGATAGTTAAAAAACTGCTCTTACTTGCTGTACAGCATTTTAAGAGACAAAATGGTGCAAGCTCCCCAGTAGTCAACAACCATTTGACCTTTCCTAACTGAGACCATGGAGTCATCTGGACCACTCTCATGCAAACAGATATGTGGTAGCAGTAAAGAATCAGAAGGCTGCTGTGGTCTACTTTGGGACTGGCTAAAGTGTTAGATTACACAACCTCTTTTATTACCTGTAGTATCCATAATGCTTTAGACACAAACACAAATATCCATGAATTTCAGGACACTACACAGGGCCAGATTTAGCTTTTACTCACCACCCAGGGAATGCCATTGATTCCTAAGCTTTACATGAGGAAATCTAGCACAGCATTTGTCTTTAGTTGTATTTAAGTCTTTCATTATAGAGAATTGATACCTTGGTTCTCAGTCAGATCCTACATTCAACCTCTCTTCATTTTCTTATCACACCTTTTGGTGACACTTGGAAAAATGAGATAGTGTTGTCAGGAGGAGCATGTACTGTATGTATTTCTGTATATAATGTATATGTTGAAATTATACACATGTGACAACATTTAATGTATACAGATGTGTATATTTGTATTTATTAAACCCATGTATTTAAACTAATTCCAATCTAGACCAAAAATTGTTGCTTCTGCCCGTAAATTGATTACAAAGGAATTGTCCACTGGTGTCTCTTCCTTTTAGAAACTGGTAGAGGAAATTGATAGTATGGGCAGTAGAAACAACTGTAGATGTTGCTGTATTTAGCTCTCTACAGGTCTTATTATCTGGAGCAATTATTTCTGTCCTTAGTTGGGTTACTCTTCTTCCTTGGGCCACAGCACTGTGGTGATTTTTAAAAGAAACTGAACAGGATTTCAGAAAAAGGTTTAATAAAATAGATACTGTTTGAAAGTTTTTGAGTTATATTGGAAATTATCTTAATTCTGATAAAAGTCTAATTGCAGGCAGTGAGATATAATGCCCTGTGTTTGCATTAAGGGGTAGTATAGATCACTCTTCCCTTTTGTAATCACCAATAATCGTTTTGTACTGTAAACCCACACACCAGTCAGTTTTTGTATGATATATAGTTTAAGTGAAAATATTTTTGTAAGCTATTTTCCAGAATTTAAAATAGATTTTAATATATTTTTTAAGCATCAGGTTAGTCAAATTCTCATCATATAACAGTATGTGTTGTGTTATGAAACTGTTAAATTCTTCATAATTTTAAGCTCCTCATGATTAACACAGACCAGCTGATTACTTTACCTTGGGATCACAGGAGCTAGACCCTTTAGGAAACTTTCCAAACCAGCTTGGGACTTGCTATAGCATCTTTCAAGCCGGTGAATACATTGAATTAAGCAGTCAGCACAGCTGGGTGAAAAACATTAGATGTGACAGACTCCCATTCAAATGCCCCTTGCCAGCCTTAGAGCAAGTACTTGCATTACCTGTATCAAGACAAGTTCTAGAGCTGATGCACTCAGTTCTAACCTCACACAGATTCACTGGTAATGACTTCATCTGTTTTAACCTCTCTTGGAGATTTGTTGTAGTGTATTACCTCCTGTAATGTGTCCCAAGTGTCTAAAGAAGGGCACCTCCTCTTAGGAAATTCTCTGTGACCCGAAGGAGTTGTAGCTTAAGGGTCTTCCTAGAGTGGAAGCACACTGCAGTAGTGCTTCAGTTCAGACATTTCACTGCAGCACACTTTCCTCTCTCCTTTCTAGACATTCTTTCCACACCCTAATTTCTTTGGGAATGAAATCATACTCAAAATCACTCCTGTCTGCTTTTAGTGACACGAGCCACGAGGTGTGCCACAGGGGTAGTAACAGCAGAACAGGCCATTAAGGGATTGTGATGTTGGATTTAAAGGAAATAAAAATACTGCTTGTCCTTTGAGACTGACTCTATGCAAGATTTTATTTCACAGAGTGTTTTTAACTTGCTGTAAACAGAAAGCTAATTCTGAAAATCAGGCTGTTCATTTTTTTCATTGAGATCAGGGTAGAAATGTGTTTGGTCTTTAGACATACATTTGTTGTCCTGGCTAAACAAAGCAGACAGCATCTGTAATGTGCTTTGCAGTAAAAGTGGCTTCTTTGCAGCCTTACAAGATGAGAGGTATGGCATGACTGGGAGCATACTTGAGACAGATTAATATTTAAAACTTCAGTTACAGTTCAGTTGGTAAAGAAACTGCACTACTAAATCTACAACGTGGCCCTCCCCTAAGAACACTGTATGCCAGCCAACTTGTCACAAACAGCTTTTGGACCAGCTACCCACTGGCCCATTAAATAAAGTTTGCTTTGTGTTGCATTTCAGCCTGCCCCCTCCCTTGCACTGAGTGCAAGAGTGAGGAGTTGCAAATGACAACTTATTGTAAACCTGTTCATATTTGTGGGATTCAGAGTATTTTCTTTACTATTTATGTTGTTTTCCAGTTGCAATTGAATATGAGTTTATTTAAATCTTCTCTGAAGTGTATACTCAGATGTCATTTCTTGCCTAAAGCACCTAGTAAATGACTGTGTGTTACTTTTGCTTTGGTAGGAATGCCTTCTTAGCACCAAGACATTGCTTGTTTTTTAACACCAGCAGCATTCCAAAAGCACTGAGTAATGACTGAACAGATGTAGGTCAAATGAAGGAACAAGTGGAACCTTTTGGGTTAAAAGTAATTTGTTGATATCTAGTAGATTTGCCTTAAGAGAATTCTGTCTTGCCATTCTCCTTTTTCAGTGGCTGTTAACTATATAGCAAATAAGGATGTTGTGTCAAAAACACTGCAATGACAGTTCTCGAAGAGCAGCAGACCTGGTTTGTCTTAGGATTTTGTGGAGCTGTCAGGGCTGAGCATTTATGCTTCCATAATAATAATAAAAAAAAAATTAGGGTATAATGAGCAATAAATAATAGCAATAAGCAGTTAAATTAAATTCAGTCATTCAGGATCTTACCCAGTGGTTGAAAGGAATGGGAGAAGATGGGGAACTGATTGAGTACATTCATTGTGTAAGTCAGACTTTTTCCATGTACAATCCCAGCTAAACTTTCTACTAAAGGTAGAAATCAACTGAGTGACAATGGTAGGTGCTTTGCTCTTGAAACAGTTTTGGTTATAAGGACACAATTGATGAAAGTTACAAGAGGGCAAAATATTTTGCTAGTTTTTAAGTAGTTTAAGTGTTTTAAAGTGAAAACAAGCTGCTGTAAAAACTAGAGTAAGCAATGTAGCAAAATTTTGGGAAAATTAATGATGTTAATTTAACCTAATACAGAGATTTTGGGTGAACTCATTGTGCATGCTACCTAAGTACCCATTTAAGAATCTTGAGAATCCCACAGTCATACCCAGGAGAGCTTCTGTGGTATATCTTGATCAAGTTTTTAGCTGCATTCAGGTAACTGGGTATAAATGCTGCAGAGCATTTGTGAAGCATGTGCTGCTTTAGTCATGTGCATTTTGTGTGAGCTTATCATTCCCATCAGTCCGTGTATACACACCATCAAGTTGGATAAACTTGACAAGGATAAGGTAATGCACCCTGTGGTGGGATACAGTTTGAGGGCAATGATGAGCAAAAGCTTGGAGCCCCAATCTGAAAAGCAATTGTACTCAAGGGAAAAGAAAAGCATATAATTTTAGATGTATGTTTAAGTTTAAAAAAAAATGCTGAAAATACTGCACATTGAAACTAAAAGAGAAAATAAAATGCAACTATTACTGTAAGTGATTTTTCTCTGGTTATTTAAAAAGAAGGGCTTGATGCTTTCTTACTAGAGTTTTTCCCTGGTATCTCTTCTTTTCAGCAACTATCAAATACTGAGTATTATTAAAATATGCAAGAATACTTGAACTCTCTTCAAATGTAGCTATGCTGCACAATCAGAGTGCTGTTTGCACTTAACCAAGAACTATCACTGTTGAGCTTTTAATTGTAACTAACAGTCATGCTTGCCAGAACTTCTCTGGGATTCTAGATGAGATCAGAAAAGGCAAAATTCAAGTGTACAGCTGTATTTGTGAATGAGAGTGTATTTATCCACAGCAGTCCTGGGGAGGGATAATGTTACACAGGAGAAGAAATGGTTTAACTTGCTGAAGCTTGGTTTCCCAGCTGTTGGGCTTGCATCTTAAAAGAAATTTCTGGGTGGTCCTGCTGCTGAACACTGGAGGATCTCTTGCAGTACTCAACGGCTCGCAGACATCTTGTTTTGATTAAGTTTGCAGCACTTGGCTGTTCCCTGGAAACTCTGGCATAAAGTCTGAAGTAGTAGCTTAATGTAGAAAGCACGTGCTGGTTTTGTCCTGAGTCAAAGTAACTTCTTTTATATCTTGTTTTTCCTGATCCGCCGCTGTGTCACCTTTTAGGGTAGCCGTGGAGCTGAGGGACAGAGCTGTGCTGTGGTAAGTGCCTTTGTCTGCAGAGCTGGAGACTTGTTTGAGTCATAAAGTCATATTTTTGTCACTCAGAGAAGAAAAAACATTTAATTTTTGGAAATATTACCCCTAAAGATGAATTGCCAGGCACAGGCAGATAAAACATTGCACTTAGTAGACTAGCACTTTTTAATTTGCTAGAACTTTTTTGCTTTCCCTGCTGCCTTTCCTGTCCTGGATAGGTATTGTGCTTTTTTTTCTACTTTTTAGGCAGTGCAGCTGTAAAGAGTATTGCAGCCATCATTTGGGAATTGGCAGGGCTCCACCCCAGTTACAAGACAAAAGGCTTTGATTGCCTGTAGAATTAAACATAATTATACCATAAGTTTTGCATAACTGTTTGAAGAGATGAAAAGATTTGTAACTTGTAGGTTTGTTAAAAAATTGGAAGTAGCAACATGAAAAATTTCATACAGTTTATATAGAATGTTAGCTTTGGAGTGAGCCAAGCTTTGTGCTCTTCTATTGCAGCCATAATTCCACCTTAATTTTGTTTCTGATCTTTCCCATGGTGTACACACCCCAATATAGCAGAGCAGTCCCTTACCCCAGGTGCTGTTTTCTCCTCCTTCAAGCTGCAAACACCATGGGTAGATTTTGATCAAGTGCAACCTTATTGTTTTATCTCATTATTTACATTTTGGAGTTCTTTCAGCCAGGCTGCAGTGTTTGGGCTCCAAGCAAAATTCATCCCTGAGGGCTGGGTTTGACCATGCACCAGATGCCCACAGAGCTGTGAGCCAGATTAAGTCAGATCATTTAAATACAAGGGTTTTGCTAATCTGGCTCATCTTGAATGAAATGCACTGTAAAACTTCAAGTCAGTGTTGAAATAACATCTCCAAATTAGAATCTTAGTCTTTTAGTCTTTTCCACCCCTTTCTTCCCCTGAGGAAGAGGCACTAAATGTGTTTTCATCCCTGTCTTGCTGTTAAATGGCTCTAGGATTGAAGCATCTGAATTGTCCAATGGAAAGGCAAGTGTAAAGCTTGCTAACTTAACTTTTCTTGGTGTGTCTTGTTAATGTTGACATTTCAAATATCATCTTTGGCATTTGATTTAACATCTATGAACATAACACAATTCATTGTTTAACTTTTATTTCAGGCAAGTTTGGGCAGATAGTCTTAATTACACTTTGTTCATAGTAATTTTTCTTTGCCTTCTTAACTGCTTCAAACTACCAGTGTTTTAAATGAACGCTGGATGCTGCAGATCTGGGAGGTATTTTTAAGTGCTTTCCAGGCTTCTGATCCTTCCATCTCTTGGTAATGTGGCTTAAGCTCATTCCTTCTCCTCCTGTCTTCTTTCCTCTGCCTTGGCTGCCAGAGTAAATATTTCACCTGTTGAATGCTTTAAAATAAAAGTTGTATGTCATCAATAGATTGGTAGGTGACTAACAGAGGATAGGGCTGAGTGATCCAAAGTACCTGGAGCTTGCTAATTAATTGGGAGT